AAGCGTTGCTATTCTTACTTTGATAGCTGCCCGCCTGCGAGGCAGAATTCCCACCCTGACGTTTTTCCATGAGGAACAGATGGGAACAGGAACATGCCAACCAATGCCCAGGACCCTGGACCACACAGTCACCATCTTGACTCAAGTCCTCTCTCTCTCTTGGAGTCCCACTCCAAGTCCCAACGCTGCCTGCCCCACGGCCACAATCCCAAGTGTGTGGGCCGGGACACCATGCACCGGGTGGGTTAACCAGTTGTAGTCTCGTCGATTCGAAGCCGTTGGCAAAGGCGCACTAGCTCGAGACCGAGCAGTACTGCGTAACTACCGAAACCTTCAGGCGCATGCCAGAACACTCCACGCTGCAAAATCGTGGTGTAGGCGCCATTAGTGCACTCCGTGAACGCCCCTTTCGACGACGGCACACACGTATGCCGCCGCCGCCGCCAGCCTGCAGGCCACTGCCATGTAACTCCCCTCACAGCGCCGCCTTGTCTTACACATCGGACAGTCTCCGACGGGCTCACGCCTTGGTGCTAGACCAAGCAAGTTTAACGTTGTCTGTACCGTTCAGAGGCGAGGCCTGGCGTTTACAGCTTCCTGCTGCGTCTGGTAATAGATCTGGCTTTTCTGGAGCCGGGACTGAGCAGTCGCGTGTCCAATCTCTCAAAGTCCAAACCAAACCAAACCATCTTTGCGCTTGCGGGGTCGGGTCGTTGCTCACACTGACCTCCGCCTGCCACTTGTCACTCACAGCAGGACGAACATTGTGGCATTTGTCTCTACCAGCGTCCCCCTCGCCAGCCGTGGCTTATTCTTAGTACTGTCGTCTCTGACCTTCCTCTTTCGAGCCGTAAGATGCGTTTGATCTGCCCCTTGATGGGAAGAAGACAGGACGACAGACCGTCTCCAGGCACATTCAAGCTTGCCCGCACACCCTTACCAAGTATGCTTTTGCTCTATGCTGATCCGTCCCGCTCCGGCCTACTGGTTGGTGTGTGGGATCGCTGGCTTCAGTCTCTCTTACACCGCTGCCGCCCTCATGGCACCCACCAAACTTACCCCAGGGCGCGGTAAAGAGCTGGCCGTTTGTTCATCGGAATTTCGACGACTTGCTTTATTGCCACAAAAGCGTTACTCTTTGCTCGGGCATAGTCTATGGGCCACGCAGCGCCGCGTCTCTTGCTTCGATGCCGCAGCCACTTTTCTAGTCAGTCTGGTATTTTCTGGCAGTACGACCCTATCATACTTGTTATGTATTGGCCTATAGATGTTGCTTGTCAACTATAGAGACCTCCTTGCATCCAATATTCGCTCGCCTCTCCCATTGGAGATCGCATCCGCTGCCCACCTTAACACGGCCATCATATCATATTCTCTTCATGCTCTTTCATTCCTGATATATCCCGGGCCGTTCTCTCTCGACGGTCCCCAGTCTTGTTTTCAGGGACCAGCCGAGTACGCTCCCTGGGTTTTGCCGAGACCATCACATATCAAGCTCCAACACACCGGGCCGGCTGAGGCCGTACTGTGAATATCGATTTTCTTCGACAGCTACGGGCGTCATTGACCGCGAACTCGTCTCCGTACATAAGAGTCAGGATTTACTGAATCGTTGACCGTGTCCAACATTCACCGCAAACAACCCTAGTCCTCGAAAAGGGAGCCGACGCCGGGTAATAGTTGCCTACGAAAGACCTGAGAACCTCTCTTGCATCGAGGCGTTTCGAGCAGTGATTGTGCCCCATCCGGGTCCTGTCCCTCTTGCAAAGGCTTCCTCCAAATTGCCGCACACCTCTTCGACGTCCTGGATACAAGCAACGTCGCCAGCCCACTGACCCTAGCAAGGAAACGTGGGAGCAGCTTTCTGAACAAAGCCCATTCGTCGCCATTCTGCGGTTCCGTCGGCTTTGGGCCTGTCAAACTCGTCACATTTCACCCTGTCACTAGCAGCTGCGGGCTCGTCAGACCCTTGTAGCATCACGTCTGTTGCGTGGCCAGTGGACCAGCCGGCCGTGTTCTTTTGCGGCAACTTGCAGATTCCCGCCCCTGCAACGACACCCCCCGGCCAATCTCGACCCCTAGCCAACTGCCCGGAGAGCAGCCTCAAATCGGGCAACAAGCGTCAGTAGGACACAAGAAGCACGCGCAAGACGCTGTGAGGCCCCCTGGCTTGGTTGCTGACTCTCCTTTCGACACAGGGCTCAACGACGCCATCCTACGCCACGCGTTTGAGAAACTCGCGAGCAACAGTCGCCCACCCCTTGCTGTGGCCCTGTCTGCGCCAGTCCATCGACAGCTCTCGGAGAGATAAAACGTCAATCGGGCATTCGGTTCTGCCACCGAGATATGCTTATTGCTCGTTGGTCGCAGCAGTAAACAGGACACGTGCTTGGCCGTTGCAGAAAGGTCGAGAACCTGCCGTCTACCCGTCGACGCCATTGCGACGTATATACGGAATACGACTTGGTGGTCCAGAAGATATCTAGCAAACCAAACCAGGCCGTGTTTCTTTTGCCTTCACAAACATAGGACATACCTTGTTACTTTTTCCTGGGAGAGCTTTCAACGACAGGTAAGTCATACTTTCGTTCCGCCCCTGTCTGTTGCCTCGGATCTCAGAAAACCCTATTCTTTTCCCACCCTCAACCGGCATCAACTTGATATCCTGCGTCGTTCCAGATATCGAACAAGTGCTCTCTGTTATAACCCGCTTGAAAGGCCACGGACATTACCCTTATGCCATATTTTATGACAAGATCGGGTCGCGATTACGTGGTCAGGGCCATGCCTGTCGTCAAAACCAATCAATCCGGCACGGCCACTGGCAGCAAAAACCCCCGAAGATCATTGTTCGATAGCTCCCGACGAACGGCTTAGCGGCCTTTCTCGTCAAGCGCACGTCCTCCGCCGGGCGGGCTGTAGTCGGCTCGTCTGTCGGCTGTTTAGTCTCCTCCAGCCCGGTCAGGCAAGGCGAGGCAGGGCACAGCAGAGCAAGACACCAAGAGACGCACTGGGAGCAAGACAAATAGGAAAAGAGAAGCGACAGACCTGGACCAAAGCTGGTCCAACAACTGCAAGTTGCTGCAAAACTCGTTGGAAGGATTCTGGACGCACATCATGTCCTAAAATAGTCCCTCAGCCCACAGCACCAGATGTCAGTGGCACAACCCGAGAGAATGCCGGCCGAGTCCCAACAACAACAAGTCTCCTGCAACCAAGTGCAGAAGTGGAAGAGCTTCATGTGCGGAGTATGCAAGTTTTTTCCCTAGCAAGTCAACCGAACCAACGACGGGCACGCAACACCCATCCTTACCTCCCATACAGAATGTACATCGATCCATCCATCCATCCATCCACACACTCTCGCACGCACATACACATTTTGCTCTTCACGCCTAAACTCTTTCCCACCCTCACCCAACATACCAGTCAGGCAAGCCCCCTTTTTGCTTTCTCCAGGCCTAGAAGTCGAGCCTGCATGACTGAGTGCCCTCCCACAACTCGACGCGCATTATTGCCTCTTCTCCATAACGAGCGTACTAAGGAGATTGGATCTCTGGTAACGCTCGTGCCCTTATTCCGGCCCACCGTTCACGAAATCCCCGATAGAAGGCGCGGAGGCGAAAATCGCGTGGTCTCTCCAGATCATTGAACACAGACAAGTCATTATCAGAACCAACCCTACCAACCTGTTCAGCCCCTTTAGAAACCATCCCTGCTCGGGATGAGCAGCAATGTCAGCCATGTTCTTCTCCCCTGTTTCTTGCACAAAAAAAAGTTGAGAACAAGCACCCCGGCCGAGTCCAAGTGGGCTTGTCGATGGGAAATGTCAGTGAGTCGCGGCACCGCGACCTTATTCTCGAAGCTGCTGCCGATTCGCCATCAACAATCCTGGGCTGGGTGTCGACGCTTCAGCACAAGGATCATGGGGCTTCCCAGTGACTTGTCCGAGGTTCCTGGGTCCCTCGTCCTCTTGAACCAGGACCCTGGCACCCCGGCAGCGCCCACTCTCCGGTCGAAACACGTTAGTTACTTTGGTTGATGAGCATCTTCCACAGCCCTGTTCGTCCTCCTTGCTTCCCAGGCTAGTGCTGGCAGGGATCTCGTCAAGCCCTCCACCACTCCAGATAATATTTCCGATTCTGCTTCCTCGCGCGGAGAGCCCCGGATCCAGACCTGATGCCTCAATGGCACCGCAAACCATCGTCGCCATAAACCCCGGTTACTACTTCTGTACCCGTCGAGTGACATGAGCTCCCAAGCAAGCAACGCTACTTACTGTACCTTGCTTGCTTTGCCTTGACTTAGCCTCCCTGGTCCCTCTACCCTACCCGCTTTCTCTTTACTCCGACCAGAGGCACTCCCCATTTCTGCCACCATCCCGCGCAGCCACATCTTGTCATTCTTTACACCTCCAACCCTCCGCCCAGCTCGTCTCGCTGCTTGCTCACTTCTACCGTCTCTTGTCCAAAAGTCAAGCCGTTCCTTACCGTCTCGTTTCCTCGTGGTCGGCTCGTAACTTGATATAGGACAACGACATCCATCATACCTTTGACGGATCCAGAGGAGCAACCCGCTAACCCAAGTGTTCGTCACCAGATTACTATTTGGTCACAGACGCTTCGACAGCGGTACCGCACAGCACAGCGGCCGTATCACTTCTCCATCTTTGCCGCCCTGTAGTCCTGCAGCCGAGGTTAGACAAACAAGCCGCTGGCATCGTGGATCTAGCCCGTCTCGAGTTACACAGAGAGCTGCAGAAACACGGGTTCACGCCAACATCGCCGAGGAAGACCGCAGTACGCCTGTTGCCCGGACGCGAAAAGGAAATCGGAATCGGTGGGCTACAGTTGCTTAGCGCTCCGCAAAGCTCAACCGGCGAAGACAGTTTTCGTGCCCTAGAGAAAGGTTTTGGATCTAGCTTCTAGTTCCCGAGCCAGTTTCCGGGTTCACTTAAACCACCTGAACTCTTGCCTCAGAAACCCGATACATCCGTCTGTATGTTCGTGGAGCGCCGCCTTCCCATTGCTCATCATCACCTTGGGGAGTCCGCGGAGACTCCTCTGAGCCAGACACGCGAGTACTGGTCGTTCGAACAGCGATCTGCCATGGCTGCGTCGTCACACAACCCGTATCCACGATCTCCCAATCCTTCCACAAGGTCGTACGACTCGTCTTCGGTCTCCTCTGCTACGTCCCCCAAGCAGCCAGCACAGTATCTTCCACGAGGTCTGATGAACACAGGACCGAGGACAACAGCGGCACCGCCGCCCCAACCTATTGGCATCCCGCCTCTACCGCCAGTCAACCACCAGAGCGCTTTTACGCCTTACACGCCAGTGACTGCGGGCTCCATCATGGGGCGGGATTCTCTTCCTGGGGCAGAGTCCGTGGCGAGCACGCCAGGCCCTTCTACTGCTTCCTTGCCCCCCATTTCCCAGGCGCAGAAGAGAGCGTACAGACAGAGGAGAAAAGACCCGAGTTGTGACGCATGCAGGGAGAGAAAGGTCAAGTGTGATGCCACAGAGACGACAAGTTGTTCAGAATGCTCGAGCCGTAACGTCAAGTGCCAGTTCACGAAGGAGACAAACCGAAGAATGTCGTCGATCAAGCAGGTGCAGGACCTCGAGAAGCAGCTGGAGCGACTAAGAAGGGAAAATGGAAGCATGAGGAGGATGCTTCAGGAAAGAGATGGAGCCATGGACGTTGACCCCGATGGACTCGAGCAACTGCCTCTGCAACTCCCGGAAATTGGCACCGACCCCAAACGAAGGAAACGACCAGCCCCAATGCACGATCTGGCGCGGGCGAGATCCAACATGCGCATTTTCTCTCGAGGAATCTGGAAGCCTCCGGCCCAATACCGTCAGGCACCTTCGACGCCAGCATTTGATCCCCAGAGGCCTGAACTACCTCCGAGACAGACGACTGACCAACTCCTGCACGCCTACTACGGTTCTGCGCACACAATGTTTCCCATTCTCCACTGGCCAACATTTCAGACTGGAGTCGACGACCTGTACAGGATTGGAAACACAAAATCAGTGCAACCGGCATGGCTTTCTACGTTCTTCTCTGCCCTTGCTCTGGGAAGCCTTTTCAGCCAGGACCCTCACTCGCACCGGGCATACCGGGCAGCGGAACTACTCGAAGTCGCCAGGGGCATGATTGACCCTTGGAATAACGACTACGTTCTCGACAACGTCCGAGCCATGGTGCTTGTCACTCTGTGCTTGAACGAAATGAACCAAAAGTCGGCTGCGTGGACGTGGCTGGGCACCGCGGTGCGGGCCGGTCAGGACCTTGGCCTCTACTCGGAATCCGGGCCATGGCCCGTCATTGAGGGGGAGATGCGTCGACGAGTCTGGTGGACGATATACATTCTCGACCGCAGCTTGGCGCTCGATCTCGGGCGTCCCGCGTTGATTGACGATGCCGATTGCGACGTGTCGCTTCCTGCCGGCGTGGACGATCACTACATTCACGAGGGTGGCATTATGGTTCCCCCTGGGCGAGAACCCCTCAACCACTCGCTGCTGGCGTTGATCAATGTTATCAGATCATACTCGTCCCTGATCAAGGCGTTGGCGGCTCCGGCTGTGGCCCCGACCAGATTAGCAACCTTCGATCAACACTTCGTTTCCTGCCTACGAGCGTTTCCGCCTGTTTGCGACACTTCCAGCACGGGTCAGATCTCTCCTCACCTCCTGACGCCCTTCACCTACCTGCTCCACGCTCGTCTCGTGTTGCACCGCCACAACCTGTCGCCAGCCTGCCCTCCCGACGTCCGCCTGGCTGCTATGGAGCAGTGCACTCATACAGCTCTTGAAACGGCCTCCCTCCTCTCCCGAGCGACCCCGAACCTTGCGGATGGTGCTACCGCTCTTCTCACCACTCATACGTTCCGCTGTGTTCTCTTCCTCCTTCTTGCGGGGTACTGGGACCACGCCACGACATGCCTGCGGGCCCTTGCTTCCATCGACGCGAGACGAGATGTTGCAATTCCCTGCGGTCGATTCCTCGCCTTCTTCGTCTCGGCACTTGGCACCAAGCGCGCCGAATATGCCTCATTTGTTGCTCGCACAACGCCTCCGAAGCCGTTTGCCCCTCCTCCCCCGCCACAAGGCCGCACAGGTCCTACCCCCTTGCAAGAGGCCCTTCTACACGACGAGGAGCTCCTCGCGTATGTCAGCGCCGACCTGCAAGCCGCACCAGACGCTGCCTGGATATGGGCTGGCGGCGAGCGCGAAGCGATTCTTTCTCCGACTTCCCCTGGATCCATTACTGCCTCTGGCGGTGCCAGCAGCGGCCTCTTCAACGCAGAGCAACGCATGGGGCTTAGTGAAGACGAAATCAAGGAATGGGGAGGATGGGAGCGCCTTGAGGCAGCCATCCGTGGCTTGGCTTCCGGTAACACGACGCCTACGCCAACTTCAGCGACTTGGTCTTCCGCTCTGCCAGCTGGTATCAAGTCCGAAGGCACTCCTGCGCCTACGCTGTCGAGCATAATGCCCGGTGGCGAGGGAAGCAGCAGCAACAGCCCGACTGCGAGCTCCAAGGGACGACCCCAGGACAGGTTGAGCATCGCAAACATCATTTAGAGAAAGATGATGGGTGTCCGAAGCAACACCCCTGCCAACAGGCGATGTTATCGAAAATGGCGCATGGGTCGTGTACGAAGTTTTGATGTCTTTGGCAGCATCATACCCCGGGCAACAAATCATGACCGTTCACGAACGTCACGAAAACGACAAAAATGCGAACCACGTAACGATACGGCGGTTCCCGAGATGGTCTTCACGACTGTCGAGTCAACTGGAGCAAAACCCGGCTCCATTGTACGATAATGTGTTGACAAGGCTATAGACGTTGTCTTTGCCGTTTCATATTCTCTTTCCAATCTTTTCAGAGCACATTTCCTTACTATCTTTCAACCCGAGCGGGCGTAGCCATACAGGCCCCCTCAAACCACTCGTTAACACCTTAATGTCTGCACTAAAACACCGGGCGGGCAACGGAGAGCCGTGGATGGAGGCGCAAGGTCCCGTGTTTTCGTTTTCCCTTTTGTTTCTCTCGACCTGGTTCGCTGGAAGACCGGGTCTGGGTAAAAGGAGTTGAAAAACACAAAAGCCTAGGTGGCAGATGGGTGGGGAAGGCAAGCGAGGAGTTGTCATCGCCTTTTGGATCACGAGGCTTTTCCAACGTTTGTCGATTTGGTCGTTTAATGGGGGGGAGAATTTGAGGAAGAGGCCGGGCCTTCTTTCTTCGGAGCGCCAGTGAAGAGGATGAATGGCTTGATTCGGTCACACAAGAGTTTTTTGGTTGCTATCTTTTGGGATATTTCGTGTCTATATGGGTGCTGACTGGACGTCATTTGTTTTTCTATGTTGGACACTTTTTTTTTTGTCGCGCTGGATTTGTACCAGAAAAGATCAGCATGCCTGCCTATCTGTAGGTTATGTACAAACACAGCGGATTTGGGTCTGGCCGGCGAGGCACGGAACTCGCGGGTTTTCAGACCACGATGACATTTCTATTGGCTTTTTTGGGTGATTTTCGTACGTCTGAAGATGCTAACAGCAGTATTGTCGTTTCTACTTCACGGCCGTGGTTATGAGGGCGGATTGTACGCCACGTTGGATGGGACTTTTGGGAGGCCTACAGCAAAACTCTGGGGCGCCTTGGGGAATCGGGTGGTTTTCCCAGCATCAACCGACTCGAGACGACTCAACGCCAGCAGTTCTGTCTCCATGGGGCACTTCCCTGGGGCCTCTCGCGTGCGGTGCTCACTAAGCCAGAGCCCGCGACACGAAGAGCCTAAGCGAAAAGGACTGTGGGAATCCCTTCCTTCTTCGCCCCTCGCGATCTCTGGGAATCCGGTGACACAGAGCCCGTCACACCAGCCTCCCCAGAAAACCACGGCTATTGAAGATCGAATGATGAAGTATGTTTCTGGACTTTTTCCGTGATGGACGCTAAAAGGTTGTCTGAAAAAACCCGCGCTTTCTCCAACACTCGAGAGACGTGCTGCGCCCACCTTGCGATGGCTTCAAGACGCAGCAGTCATGATACGAAACTCCCAAGATTTGAGAAAAGTGCTGGTCATTGTGTGTTTGACGCTGGCTCCAGATCTGACAGAGGCCCTCCCCCCCTCCGCACCAACACGGACCCATGTTTGGCTTCGTGTTTCTCGTCTGCTGGGTTTCTTGGTTGGGCCGGCCACATTGACCTGGGGGATGGATTTAGTTGTAGCGCGTATGTATACCTACGGTGAGGTCGGGTTGGGTATCCTTACCACGTGGAGGGCCGTTCCCTCTAAGCTTCTGCGGGTAGGAAGGAAGATTGTGTGTGTTGTGTTGTTCTAGTGTATGTACGACTATGCGGTAGCCCATCAATCATCATGCCTGCCTTCCATGCCATAGCCGTGGGGATCTGGAATCGCCGGGGAGGACCCTAGAGGCGTGGACGGGAAACCTGGCTTGGCAACCCAGACCAGACCAGTACCGGGACCGCACAGTCGTTCTACGTGGTGAGTGAGTGTGACTGAAGGAGTAACCCTCCCTCTCCCCAATCCAGGGATGGGGTATGTGAACTTGATGGCTGGGAATGCTGCTCCCCAAAGAGAAGAATCGGAAACTCAGGGCCGCACTGCCTCACTCCCCGAAGGGTGGTGGTTCGTTGGTCCCCTCCACGCTTTCCTTACCTTCCTGACTAGTGAAGTAGAAGATGTGGCTCTGGGTCTGGGCTGGCGGAAGTGACGAGATGCGTGTCACACATTCTCGCAAGGATGAGCGACGACATGAGAACCTTGGGCACGGTAAGCTTGTAGCGTGCGTGTGTTGAGAGCTTTCTTGTGGGCTAGAACTAGACTAGACTAGACGGCTACAGTCTGTGGTCTGTGTTCACGGCGGAGACACACCACACACACACACACAGACATTCGCATAGCCTTGTCGAGAGCATAGCCGGGCAGGCTTCATCGTTGGTCCAGAATTCTGCCCAGTTGTCTGATAAGGTTTCTGGCACGTCGACCGTGTCGAACTGCTTAAACCCACCCGTCGTAGGTAGGGTAGCTCGTGGCGGGGGAGGATGTAACGGGCACACACAGCCTTAGGTGCGTTTGACACAAGCTTATCGTTGGTTCGTGGATGATCTCCTCCCTTCCTCCCCACCCGCTCAACCTTTTTCTGTTCGAGAAATGTTCGTGATCTGAGAAGGTTGTTTTGGGACGTTGTCATGTCAAAGAGGTGTCAGCGGCAGTCTGTGGGATAAACCAGTCAAGTGGAGACTATCTTGTGTCAAATTCGGAGAATTTTTTATTGGGAGTTCTTGGCTGGTTAGTGCGTTGAACGGGAACACGAAAACGAAGTCGGGAGCGTTGCGGAGTTGTGGAGAGGAAAGGGGGGAACCGGCTCCCGGACCTTGGGGCCCGGGGCTGGGCAGCACAATTTTCTGCTGGGCTGGGACCGGAACGCGGCGGCCGGGAGATCTTGGCTGGGATTCTTTTGGGATTCAGCAACTTCCCGGTTCTGATTACCAAATTATCTAGTCTATTACTTTCTTTCCAGGGATCACAGGTCCCCGCTTGTATTGTTTTGTGGTGCGTTACTGTTAGGATTAGTCCCAACCGTGAGGTTTTAAGTCTAAGCCGCGATGTGTGGTGTAAGTCGGGTTACAGCACGCTTCGAAAAGGCTTGGTTGAGGTGGCGGGGTTTTCGACGTGTGTCGAGTTTTCCTTGCCGTTTGCTCTCACGTAATGGAGAGACTGACTTACATCGCGGATTGTTCCTGGCGACTGACGATGGTTGACAAATACGCAAGACGGCTTACTGAGAGGGTATGCTGGTGAGGCGTCTTGGTCGTCAGCCGATCCGGCTCTGGGCGCGGCATCCCGGCTGACGATGATGGATAAGGGGAGCCGAAGTCGACTTTGGCTGCGGTAGACGCGGCTGGCTATGAGATGGTTTGATGGCTAGGGAAGCTGGTGGGCGGATGGTTTGAGAGGTCTGGGCAGAAGAAGTCTTTTAGTGTGGAGTTTAGTCTTGGTCTGAGGTTATCCAGACTAACGGCAAGACGCAACGTCGCAACCGCGTATTACTGATGGAACTTGAGCGTAAAGGGAATTCTCTCGGCCTGGATCAACGAAGAAGGAAAAAGGCAAAAAGGAACCCGAATGATTATATCAATCGCTGTGAGGATTTGAGCCTCACGCGTGGGTCGAACCCGCAACCTTGAGATTAAGAGTCTCACGCTCTACCGATTGAGCTAGCAAGGCGGGTTTGATTAGTAATCGGCGAGGCAAAACTTCGGCACATGTTTGGTTAGCTGGTGGGTTTGCTGTCCGCCGTTCGGCTCCGCGGGTTCGGCTCCGCTCAGCGTGTAAGTCCCCCTTGGGTTGAGTCGTTCTTGTTGTTCAAGTTTGAGTGAGGCCATTCACACGCTACCACGCACGCCATGAAGCTTATCAGGACAGAGTTTTATTCTTTCAGAATATTGAATATTAAATGTGTACTTATTAGATATAGTGAGATATCTATAACTAGATTATAAGGGTGGCTGCATTGTATTGCGCGGCGTATTGCATTTGTTGTTGTTCAAGTTTGAAGTTCGATTCTTTCTAGTGGAAGCTGCCCATCCATCTTAATTTGACTTCTCCTCTTCAAGTTGCTGAGTCTTCTTTCGATTCAAGTACTTTGCAAAGTTTCGGTGTTCCGCCTTCCGATTTCCGATGGTTATCCCTCTTATTGAATCTTCGTATCCAATCCTGATATCAAAGCTTGCCTCCTAGACTCACTGGCTACAAAAGAAACTCTCCGCCTGTTTGCTTCAGCATATTGGTGTAATATGGTTGAAAGTTCAGCCACCCTCGGTGCCTTGTACCGATTCTCTGCTCAGTAAAGAACGCCGTCTCGTGATCAATCTCCTGCGGTCGCGACCCCTCTCCCTGGGCATTAACGACCGCGTCGATCATCAGCTGACTCTGGCAACACTTGTCGAAGCAAATGAACCAATACGCCGCTTCATCAATCGTCTCTCCCACCGACAGCAGCCCATGGTTCTGCAAAATGCAAACCTTGTCTCTGGGTCCCAAGGTTGAAGCAATGTTCTTGCCCTCCTCAGACGACAACACGACTCCTCCATAATCGAGGTTGACGCTGTGTGATTCGTAGAACCGCAACGAGTCTTGCATAAGGGCTGGCAACTTCCTTCCAAAGACAGAATATGCCTTGCCGTAGACAGTGTGGGCGTGACAGACGGCGTTGATCCAAGGATGCGCTTTGTGGATCTCGGAGTGGATGGAAAAGCCGGCTGCGTTGACGGCGTGATCACCGACGATGACTTCAGCGTCTTCGTTGACGCAAACTAGGTCGGAGACGCAGATGTCGGCAAAGTGCATGGCGTATCTGGGAGGGTCAGTTCGAATCTTTGGAGTAAATTGCTGGCCTTTCTTACGGGTTGATCCAGAAATGGTCTGGTCTGATGGGGTCACGGAGAGACATATGACCGGCGACACCTTCGTCATAGCCCCGGGCGGCAAAGACGCGAAAGGCGCAGGCCAAATGTTCCTTGCAGTACCTCTGCTCCTCTTCCTTCGTGGTAAAATTCGGGATAGTGGGAACTGAGCTGCGCCCATCCTTCGTTTGGGCACCAACGGCCATGGACTTTAGATCGGTGCCCCTTTTGTTGAAGACCGCCGATTTATCGTCTAAGGGAGCCCCATTGTCCACGGCAGATGGGGGCTGGATGTCGACAGTGGATGCTGGAGCCATGATGGTGACGATTGGAGCGTACTTAGAGTTTGTGGAATTGTTGACAGCAAATTATTGATGCGAATAATGAACAATTTGGGTGGTGATGCTGAGGTGCTGGGGATATCGTCCGGAGACAAACGTTCCATTTAAAAACACATGAAAACACGCAGTGATTTGTTGGCAATCATGATCATCAGTAGCGAAACGTAACTTTTCAATTTACAAATCGTTTCCGCCGATCAAAGAGCGCTCCTCGGGGGTGTCCGAACACGACAGAAGGTGGTCGTTGATCCTCCGCATAAGCTTCCCCGCATGGCTCGGAGCGCCTCCGAGTGCCCCGCCAGCGCAGACGGACACCTCCGAATCTCGTATCACTGATCTGCAACATACCCTGAACCATCAAAGTTGCCCAAGGTGTTGTGCATCCATTGCGGACTCTCCCCGGGGGGCAGAATCTCATCCCAGTCAATCATGCTCCAATCGATGTTGTCCAAGTTTAACATGTTGTCAGAGAAAGCCGGTGGCATGTTCCACGACTGTGCCTGGTGAATTTCGGTGCTGAAGTCCCCAGTGGGACCTTGTTCGCCCGTATTCCTCAAGGGCGCAATTGATGCCGCGTCACCTCCGAGGTCGACCACGAATGTTGATTGGAGTGAGTCCACGACCTTCCCCGCCAAAGCCTTGAAGATGCGGATATGCTTACCCACGCTCGTCCAGGTTTCCGCGATGTGTGCCAAGGTGTCGATGATCGAAGAGGTGATTTCGAGTATCATGGAGAGTTGCCGGTTCCAAGCTTGTAACGAGACGGCATGGTTTCGTGTCAAATCCTGCCGAGATAGACCGCAGTATAGCACTGTGAAGCCAGCCGACATGACGTCGTGAACACATGTCCAGTTCATCACGAGTTTGTCGCTGGTCCTCATAGCTTGGTACAGAAGTGCTACCTGCCCGGCGGCTTCCAGACAGCGATCCAGGCAAGTTTCAACAGCTTGAGGAGCTCTTTCGGTTTTGCTCATCAACAGAAATCTGAAGACTTTCAAACGTTCTCTGAAGTAATTCAGATCTCTCCACTCCCTCGTCTCGTAAGGGTTTCTGGCATTCGTGAGTGGCGGAAAGCTGTCTCGCCAGTCGTCCAGTTCTAATAGTATTTTGTCGGCTTCTGATACTATGTCTGATGGCTGTTTGCTGCGGTCGTTTCGGAAAAGAGTTGATTGCATCCTCGAGGTTACTCTTCGCAAACTGATTTGCCGAAGCTGAATGGATACCTCGGAGATACCTCGCAGCATTTGAGCTTCCTCTCGACCCATCTCGACCAAGTCGTCATCCGCGTCGATAGGCAGCTTCATGCCTAAGTCAGTCTCTGATGGCGAGAAACAAGTGCATCTTACCTCAATTTGAATTTCATCATCTTCCAAGGCCCTGGGTCGACCTAACATTGAACTGCTATGTCTGTCATTCACGTAGGAAGCCCAGAACACTCTGCGTTGCATCTGCTCGGTCATTGAGCTCATCCTTCTGTTTCGCTTTTGGTGAAATCTGTTCTCGATGCAAATTCGCATTGCAACTCGAGCAAGGTCCCATTTGTTGCCGACTGAAAACGTTAGATGATGCTCTTGGACGCTTCATCCATTGAAAACTCACTGCCAATGTCGTGCTGTAGGGAAAACAACAGGATGAGCAAGATTGCTTGGATATCCTCAAGCTGCGATAATCCCAAAGTAGGCCCTGTACATTCCATTGCAGATATGTAGTAGTTCACGGGTGCGATGTGATGCTCGCCTGCCCGTACAAGGGAAATGGCCCCTATGGCAAATACCATGTACAGTCTGAACATGGTTGGCTTCGAAGTAGCTTCTGAGTTTTCGTAGACGCCTTCTAATTCTCGCAACAAGGCAGCTCTGCATAGAAAAGGATGAAGTAGGTGCGGCCCACTCAAACTGTTTTACATCAAGTAAGCTGCTATGCAAGTCTTAGTGTGAGGATATCAACTGACTAGGATGCCACCAAACTTCGTGCGACTCCAAGAGGCGGGAGCGATACCGGGGTAGCTCTCATTTCATCGATTTCCATCTGCTCCTTGGCTACCTCAAGACCAACGTCCAAGAATGACATGTCTGCGGCTTTAGCAGCAACCGCTGCGGTAACTAACTGGGCCATACTACATGCATATTCAGTCAGCGCAGTTTTGTTGTCGTAATTGATACAGATATTCTCACCTCATGACACTACCGTCAGCGTGACATGTTGAATCCCCTCCAGAGGCCCCAGCAGTAGGAGAGGTGAAAGTTTCCTCCTGAACTTGAGTCGGCTGACTCGGCTGGGCCTTCGCTGCCTCTATTCTAGCATTGAGTCCGCGGATTCGAGCTTGAAGCTCTTCAACGTATCTAGAGCTCATCAGCAAATCTTACCTCAAGCTAACTCCATGAATCAAAAATGGGTAATGCATCACCCTCTTCTGTATTCTTGGCGGGAGGCGAGATCAATGTTGATGCACGGGGATTCCGCTTTTTGACAGTTTCGACATATTTTGGGATCGTCATCACACTATCTTAATGTTAGATAAGCTGCCCTAAAATGCGAAACCATCACATACCTTTAGCTTTTTTGCTTTGCATCTCTTGCAAGCAACAACTATTTTCTCGGCCATCATGTCTCCATGTAGGCTTCACTGGCATTCGGTGTAAGACTGTAGGTCGGCTGGCCAACTTCATGCGGGGAAATTGCAGAGTTAATTAACATCGCTTACATAATAGTAACTTTTTACCTGTCATCTTCATCAAAGCCCCAACCACAAAAAGGCGGGTTCCCTCTCACAAGTTGCCCTGGCTAGCTTCATCTCAGATCTGAAATGCCACTCCAAACCCCATCTTCACAAAGGCTAGCCCTTGCGTGTCAACGATGCAGAAAACGCAAAGTCAAGGTATGATGACTCAGTAGACTAAAGTCACGTTAACACTCGAAGTTGATCTGACCGGTATTCCACGGTAGTGCGATCTCCAATCACCAGAATGCGGGAACTGCTTGAAAGCCCACGTGCCCTGTGTGGGCCAAAGGTTGCTGTCAAGCCGAGCTGTAGGATCCCTACCACAAGGGTAAGTACCAAAACACGCATCATCATATCATTTTGGAGAGCGCTGAGATAAAGTGAAGTTTAATCGAAAGCCTTGAAGCTGAAGTCAAGAGACTGGAGAGAAGCGCTGCTGTTTCAAGCGAGAATGTGGATTGTATCGAGTCCGTTCCGACAACAGGGACATCGGTTACGAGCTCGCCGGTTCCCAATCTTGACGTTGACGAACGAGTTCCTGGAATCTTGTCGAAGCCAGCCAATTTCGACTGGACCGCAATTGGAGAGTTCAGCCCAGCCAACCTCCACCCCAAAGTCTCTTATGGCATAGCTCGCATGGTTCACTCAGCCATCGCTGTAGACAACCAAAATCCTTTCCATTCAAGGAATACGAACCTTCTCTTTCCTTCATTGAACGAATCTTCTTCTCCCGTCAATTCCCATCCCTTGTTCGAAGAGTACCTGGAAGCATACTTTGGAACCGTTCAACCAGCATTACCATTCTTAGACGAAGCAACAGTTCGACAACTGTACGACGAGGACATCAGAAACAGCTCAAAGTCTATAAATTCGCCTCTAATTATGTTGATTCTGTCAGTTGGGGCGATGCTTTCAGCCAGCCATAGATCCATCGCTCAGTATCACGGGATGAACCTCTATTCTTCGGCGATTCAACACCTGGGGACTTTGGTTCGTGGCGAGGATCTCCAGACTCTTCAGGCTCTGCTTCTTATGTGCTTGTTCTCATTAATGAATCCGCTGGGAGGAAGCACTTGGCACCTCGTAGGGCTTTCAATGCAGATTGCCATCTCTCTTGGGCTGCATCAGCGGCGGAATGCGTCAACCAAGTCGACTCCAAAGCCCGTTAGCACTAATGGGTTCTGGTCTGCCTTCGTTCTTGACCGGTGAGTATCCTGACGCTGCTTCCGGGAACGACACTGAAGTATGGACAGCATTGTATGCACGGCTCTAGGGCGACCTTTTTCAATTGCCAACGCCGATATCAATTGCGAGGTAAGGCATCATAGAAAATCTGGATTGAATGATTTGGGAATGACTTTGCATGCGTAGCTTCCTCCGTCGCAAGACAGTGGCCTGGACTTTACCTCCATCTGCAAAGTAGCTCTTGCAATGTCAAGAGATCAAAAAGGCAATTCAGACGAGTTAGTGACTTTACTTGAAGCTCAAGAGCTCCAGAAGCAAGTTATAACCGCAAGGACCTCGAATCCTAGCACACAGAGTGCAGTGGACCTAACTAAGCAACTCGGATTGCAGATGTTGGTCTGGATGTATCCAGTCTGGAGCATCAGGAAATACCCTGAAACCCTGGATCGATGTCTCGAAGTTATGAATCACTTTATTTCATACTCCCAAGGCCAATCTGGCGCTGACAACAGTCGTATGTGGACTTGCAGTCACGCAGTGTTTCACGCAGCTGCTCTATGGACCTACGCAACTCGTTGGCGCCAAGCCAACACTCACGAATACCGGACAGAATCTCATCTCGAGGAGAAAGAAAGTGAACTGAGGGATAGGGCCTTTCAGATTTTAGACACCCACGCCCTTGCATTCGGAGGGTTAAGTGGACTATCAACTGTGTTGAAGGCAGTTCACAGTCACGACGACATCGTGGCTCTCGTAAGTCGCCGATATCCTCCCCATCATTTTCTCACACAAGCACTGAATGCCACAACTCAGGAAGAGCAAAGATTGGAGGTGATTCAAAATGAAAGGTCGCGAGAGCTAGTTCGGCTTCTCGCAAGCTTGAGGAGGAGAGCCTAAATCGAGCTTGTGTAGAAACATTGTTGTGGTCGAATGCTTCTTAGGTGAAACATAGAGTACAATAAAAGATTTGAAAAGTCAGTAGCCAAAAGACTCGACGTGGCACTGATTTTCGTCAACATCAACGGGACACGTGGTTGTTTTAAACCATGGAAAGCAGGACGAAAATGTGGCTGAAGCGGTTCAATTCAGCCCGAAGCCCATACTTTTGGCTCAATTTGGTAGGCGAGATGTCAAAAAACCAGAAGAGAACCTGTTGAGTTGATGGCATGTTACAAGCTCCGAGGTTGGGGTCTGTCGGCCGCCCAGGCTCGGAGCACGTCCGCACTTCGCAAGCAGGCAAGCCAGTCAAGTCGGAGGTGTCCGAAATCCACCGATCCAATGACACCAAGCTAATTCTGTTTTACAAAGCCGGCAATCACCAACCGGCTTCATCTTATTGCCAGATCTGCATGTGTAACCCCAATGTGGGGGAAATGCACGCTAATGCGAGTATCCAGCATGACGGTGACCCCCGAAGCCCACGATATGGTCCGACTACCACCAACTGGCGCATCGTGACCCAGAAACAGGGCACCGCTTCCCCACGGGGCTGGCTTCGTTCCCTAGTCCCTCTGTTGGGAAGCTTCATGCTTACTCAGGATATTCCCCGAGTCTGTTCTCTTGTGTATGGTATAAACTTACTTCACCTTCCCAGAATCTGTTGTTGTTCTATGTTGATATTTACAAAGCCTCAAGACCTGCCGACTTCTCGCCAAATTCAATCACATCTTTTCGGAAGCATTTGAAACCAAACGTTGTGTTCATTCATCATTTGATTCCTCCATAGTCAGGCCACATTTCTTTGCTGTCATGGCTGAGAAGAGTGCAGACTTTTCTGAAGTTGAAAATGCCGCAATTCGCCAAAGCGGATTGTCTTCTGAGGATGCTGCATGGCTAGATGCCTTCCCCGATGACAGGCGGAAAAGGGCTGTAAGAAAGGCAAGATGCTCAACATAACACGAGCAGATCCCTAGCTAACATAGAGGTCTCAAACAGGTCGACTATCGCTTAATCCCATTGCTGACGTTACTGTATCTATTCTCGTTCATCGATCGTGCCAACATTGGTAAATCCTTCACTTACATCAACGCTGTAAAATGAGGTTGCCTGACGATTAGGCTAGGAAACGCGAACATTGAAGGCTTATCTGAGACCCTCTCGTTGAGCAGCACCCAGTTCAACATTGCGTTGTCAATCTTTTTCATACCATATGTTCTCCTCGGTAAGAAACCAATAATGCTACAACTGATCTCGTCTCATTATGATACAACAGAGGTTCCGAGCAACTACATGCTCAATAAGTTCAAGAAGCCCTCGCTCTACATTGGCACTATCATTGTGGCGTGGGGTTCAATGACCGTGGTCATGGGTGTCGTCAAAAACTTTGCAGGACTTGTGGCCGTCCGCTTCATGTAAGTGCGTTCATATTGCTACCCAGACATTAAAATGACTAACAATTTCAATTCGCGAAGGCTCGGAGTGGCAGAGGCAGGTTTCTTTCCCGGAGCTATTCTCATTATCTCGAAGTGGTACCTGCGAAACGAAACTCAGACGAGAATAGCCCTGTTCTACACAGCCAGTGCCCTAGCCGGCGCCTTCTCGGGGCTCTTGGCTTTCGGAATCGCCAAGATGGACGGCGTGGGCGGTTATGAAGGTTGGCGTTGGATCTTCATCCTCGAGGGCCTCGCTACTGTTTTGGCAGGCATTGTCTGTTTCTTTTTCCTTGTTGACTCTCCAGCTACCTCTGGAAAATGGCTCGATCCCGACGAAATTCGCTATCTAGAGCTTCGACAACTCGCCCAGGCCGGTGTATCTCAAACAACGGATGGTAAGAGCAAGCGATTGGACTGGAATATCCTGCGATCGGTTATCTGCGACTGGCAGATTTACCTTCAAGCGTTGATCTACTGGTCAAACACCGTTCCGAACAACGCCCTCAAGTTCACGATGCCCAAGATTGTCCAGAGCATGGGCTTCACATCGTCGAACGCGCAACTGCTTACCGTGCCTCCATACTGTGCCGGTGCAGTTAGTGCTTATCTTTCGGCTATCTTTGCTGATCGATTCACCTGGCGTATGCCGTTCATCGTTGGGCCCCAGCTCCTCGTCATTACGGCGTACGGTATCCTGTTCGGCAAAGCCGTCGACATTCGCAACAACATCCCGGCTTGCTATTTCGCTATTGTGCTCTCGTGCATTGGTCTTTATCCTATCAACCCCGGAGGCAACGCATGGACGGTAAACAATCTGGCAGGCCCAACGAAGCGGGCCATGGGAATTGCGTACATGATCTGCCTTGGCAATCTTGGTGGCATCGTGGGAAGCTACATCTACATGGAATCGGAAAAGCCGAGATACCAAACCGGATTCGGGACTTCCTTGGGGTTTGCGGCAGTAGGTGTTGGGGCATGCTTGGTACTCGAGGCCGCCTATCACACCATCAACAGGCGGAAGTCAGCAATGACAGAGGAGCAAATCCACGCGAAGTACACAGACGAGGAGCTGGAATCCATGGGAGATAGATCGCCTCTGTTCAAATACCCGCTGTAGATAGTGCTACTCTAGATCTTACACATATGACACGTCCTCCATTAGAGTTACGTGCGAACTCATTTAAGGATGTAAAAGCAGCCACTTTCAGCAAGAATGCTCCATCAGATGATCATGGACGTAAGTATTTGTATATATCAGGACATATGTTCAAGGGCGGTTTTGATGAGATTCCATATTCCATTCAACCATCTTTTGGCCAAGTTCCGTGATACTGTCAATTCGATAACCCCATCCAGGTTCTTTACCATTCCTTAACCTGAACATGAAGACTGAGACTTGCGCCATCAGATCCTCAACTATGGAGGACGTTTAGAGAGGAACTGTGCGACCAAACGGATTGCTTAGCATGCAACTACAACCTCATCCATCAGTCAATCAGCAACACGGAATCACGTTGATTGTATTATGAAACTATGTAGGCCTCACTGCCACGGGCGTGGCTTCTATCGCCAACGACCCAGGCATCATTGTGATTGCGATTGAGACTGTCACCGTTGTCGGAAATTCAGCAGCCATCTCCGTTCAATGCGAGGTCGGAGAACGGCGCACGCGCACATCAAACTACGACATTGCTCACGCAAGGACACTGTAAACTGGGAATCTAACATTCCAACAACCTCTTGGCTGGTCATGATGTCCATGGCTGAATACAACTTACGCTCCCCTCGATCCTCGGGCGGGGTCCGAGACCATTGACAATGGCCATACGTCGCCTCGGACTTCAGCCGCTTCCACATATTCAGGTACCCGGCTCCAACGCCGAAGAGCTGTTCCGTCATCGCCTCGATCTCGATCGAGGGGCGAGCGACTGGTGCGGCTTCTCAGCTCTGGGGGCGCTAATGCACCAATCGCAAATACCTCTGATGACAAGACCCCAAGACAAGGACAGGGCCGTTGGCCATTTGGGGGCCTGCGAAGAAAAACACAGATCTCAGTTGCGATGGGGGCCGAAAATCAGCAACCACCAAAGAAAACCGAATTGTCGCAGAATCCAAGACCGAGGAAGAGGGATCCTGAAAAGTCTTCTCCCCTACCACTCCACTCACACACAGACGCAGCATTCCCCGGATCCAATCTCCTGCATACCCTAGTATCGCCCGTAGCCTCGTCCCTGAAGGAAGACAAGACTAACCACGAAACGAAGTTGTAGTTTTCCCTTTTTGTCGACCTGCAGCTGCAGGAAAGACATGCATAAGGTAAGCCTCCAAACAGCGCGCCCGCCAGCGAGCCCACATGCAAACCAGACGTAAGTAGTTGTGCAGGATATCACGCATAACATGCCACAGGAGACCGCCATCAAGCCTCATTCAGTCTACCGTCCAACTGACAGAATGGCGGGTATGATCACCGCTAATCGTGCTCATGTTGATCAAACAATTGTCGAACAATCATTTTCCATATCCACTACCCACCTTGACAAAGTCTTTCTTACAACTTCCCTTGGAGGCGTTTCTTAAACATTACATTCTCCTCAGACGCGTGGTTTACTCGCGCAAACCATGCATAGCCTCTGCGGAAAACAATGAGAACAAACCCTTTGCAAGTGCCTCATCCGACACACGCGTTTATCTTGTTTTTACCCCAGTCTGCCGAAGTTCTCACACAAAGGTGTCAAGATAGACATCTAGACCAAGTCTAGCCCGTTATGAACGCCGAGCCACCAAACGGCACACACTTCGTGCTGCCACTCACTCTGAACCTCATCCGTGCGGTTCCCCGAAGGTGCCTGTTCCTCAACTTGCCCAATCCTACTGTAGGCCAGTCAAGCCACACAAGCCGTCCCGGCCGGTACGCGGCCAATGTCTCAGTCCGTCTCTCTTCGACCCCTGTTACAGTGCGATTTCACTTACACCACCCTCTTTTTCTCTTTCATATGAGCACTTGAGCCTGTCCAACACCAGTACGCATGGTCCCAAACACGTGGAACCTTTTCAGCCGTGCCTACAGACCCTGTACAGCTCCGATCGGGAACGCACGGCAGATGAGACAACACGGTGCTGAGTTGCCCTCAGGGATTCAAAACAACTCAAATCCATTCCTCGGGGATTCGTGTCAAGCCCCCCGGTTCTACGCCGACCCTCTAATGTGAGAATATCACGAGACAAGCACAAGTCGAAAATTTTGCACGCCCCGGCTGGTGAAAAGCAACGTCCTCAGATTAGAGTTAAGCCCGTTCTCTCGACTACGCTACTCAGATGAGCACGCCGCTAGATACTGCCACTCCCCTACGAGCCATCACCATCCTCGCCGAGTCATCATCGTGGACTCCGTCGCGACGCGTCTGAATACTCCGCCGGGTGCCAGGCACGACGCACGTACACGGGTCAGGGGCAAGGAAGAACCAAGAAGATGGCAAGGTACGGCTCTGAGCTAAGACAATTCATCAGGCTCGGGGTCGATCATCCCAGATTACGGGAAAGATACGGCCTTCTCTCTCTTTCGCGGGTCCATGCCAGGCGCGTCAGTCTTCGAGCTCTTGGGAGGCGCTCGTTGGTGTGGTCTGAATGGCGCAATCTAACCCAGCCGTGAACTCATGCCAAGCCTACATCTCATATCCGAAAAAGCCGCTGACCACGCAAGACAAATTCCCAGATACGAGAAGACATAGAAGCTCAAGACTCAAGTCATATGTTTCTGTGGCTTTCACCACGAGTCTAACGGAAAAGCGTGCGGAAAAGGCAAATATTGCAAGATTGCTCAGTTCTCGTATTCTCTGAATAGTGTGTGGCGAGCACACATGGGTAAAACCAATTATGAACACTTTTGTCAATTCTCACAATCTCATACTTCGGTGAATGGTGTCTCTTGGAACCTCTTTGGCGTTTCCGTTTCAGAACGTTTATATAACTTTGCTTCGTTGTTGCATGTGTTCTAGCTCAATACCTGAAGCTAGAAGCAGCTGAAGCCGTCGGTGGAAGCTGAAGTCGGTCGTGGCGTCGACTCGCTGGGAAAATGATGTTTTGGATTGTCTTTCCTCTGCAATTGAAGCTCCATGGCTGGAGTACGGCGGTCGCTTCCTAGCTGAAGCTAGAGTGAAGCGCGGCGGTGGAGTTGAATCGACAGTCGCGCTATTGTATGAGAAGAATCTGGTGATGTAGACAGCAACTATTGTAATCAATGTACGCAACGAGTACCTCTACAAGTTGTACAGTCAGCCATTGAGATGCGGTATCGGGTCTGATCAAAATGCGGGCCAAGCCGAGTTGCCGTGAGCCGATCAAGAACAGACTCCAGTTCACAGTTAGACTGACGTAGGGAACACAAACCCGATCGATACGTGATGGAGGTATCCACGTACGTAATTAGGCATCGACCACAAACTGGATCACGGAGCAGCCCGCACCGTGGAAAATGCCGATCTCCATCAAGTTGTCTGGCCTGCTCAGCCAGCTTTAAAAGCATTCGAACTAAATTGGAATTTCTATCACGTATACGCGGTATTGAACAGAATGTGGCTTGGGCTAAGGTTGAAGAAAACCGAAAGATGCACGATTGACAAAGGCTCAAAGTGAACAAACGTCCGGCGTGTTTTCCCCGTATTCCACGGTCACCTTCATTCCCGCCAATCGATGAGTGTTGATCCCGCATGCAACCCCATCCCCAAGGTCGGAGTTCCGGGGGCGGATACGGCAGTCAACCCCGCATTTCCCGGCAGTCCCATTTCCAGTACCAGGGGAAGAGAAAATCCCCTCGAATCCCGTGCACGTTTACTGTAGTGCCAAGTAATGTCGGTAATGAGGTAGCAATTAAGCCTAACCTCTGGTATTAGGTGTCAGAAAAGGTTATCCTGAATGAAAGGACCACGCGATAACAGTGTTTATATGTTTATCAAGTATGAAGGAATCGCTGGGAGATGTTGTTCAGTCCTTGTAGTCTGAGAAATATAAAGACATTCCATTTGATTTTATTCATACCCTGGTCAATTCGACCACCACCTTGGGCTGCGATTCGTGGTTTCGATTAACCTGGATTCCGATTCCCGATAACGAGCTGAGAACCTGCAGCTCAGAGCCCGCCAATAGCTTGCGATAATTGAGTTGGCCCGATGTTACCATACGGTCGAATTGCCGCCAACAGGGACGTCAGATCAGCAAAGGGAATGATCATCTGCGTCCCAAGTAAAATGCCCGTTAAGACCCCTGAACGCTTTTGTTCTCGTGACATACTCTTCCGGATCCATTGCGGAAGGTAGACTACCTTTTTGGAACGAGAATATTGAAGCTGGCCCAGCGATTCGCGCGGATAGATAGGCATTTCATGTGAATAGTCATGAATACGATGGCGAAATTAAGATGGCATAACTTCATAGTCGCTCGAAGAGAACCCGGTGGCATATAAACATTGTTCGCCCTACGATACCGCTCCATCAGTCTCCAGTCTGTCCACTTCAACCATCTCATCTCAAGATTCAAAGCAGTTCTCTGCAGAACACCCTCCGGCCCCACATCAAGTTCCGCTTCCGCCTCCGCCGACCTCCGCGAACATGAAGTTCTCCGCTCTCCTGGCTCTCATGCCCCTGGCGGCCGTCGCCACGCCTACTCCCACCATTGAGAAGCGGGCAACTACCTACTGCGGTCAATGGGATTCCGCTGTGACCGGCACCTACACTGTCTACAACAACCTTTGGGGCGCATCCTCTGGCAGCGGTAGCCAGTGCACCACTCTGACCGGCCTGTCCGGCAGCAACCTGGTCTGGTCTACTACCTGGTCCTGGTCCGGCGGACAGTACAACGTCAAGTCGTACGCCAACGCCGTCGTCTCCATTAGCAAGAAGGCCCTCAGTGCCATCAGCAGGATCCCGTCAACCTGGAACTGGAGGTACGTTGACGCTTCCCAATTTGTGCATCATTTGTATTTAATTACACCAAGAGGTAAATGAGGTCTGACATAACTATGTAGTTACTCCGGAAGTGGAATTGTCGCCAACGTCGCCTACGACCTCTTCACCTCCTCAACCGCCGACGGTTCCCCTCAGTACGAGATCATGATCTGGCTCGGTTCCCTCGGCGGTGCCGGCCCCATCAGCTCCACCGGCAGCACCATCGCCACGCCCTCCGTCGCCGGCCGCACATGGAACCTGTACAAGGGTGTCAACGGTCAGATGACCGTCTTCAGCTTTGTCGCACCCAGCAACGTCCAGAGCTTCAGTGGCGACCTGAAGGCGTTCGTCACCTACCTCATCAACAGCCAAGGCCTGCCTTCTTCCCAGATCCTGCAGAGCATCGGTGCCGGCACCGAGCCGTTCGTCGGCTCCAACGCCAAATTCACCACTACTGCCTACACTGCTTCTCTTGCTTGAAGTGCTTGATTAGGTCAGCGGGGCAGTCAGGTGGGCTGGGAGTCGACCAGGTGTGGTCTCTTGTGCTGAGACAGACATGTGGATATGAACAATGTCTCATCCTTCAACCGTTTCTCGTACATATTTATTCCAAACTGAACATTATCACAAATGACCAAACTTGACGTGAACTTGACGTGCGAAAAAGGTATTAAGTGAAACTCCAATGTCAAGACCTGTTGACTCAGAAGTTGGACCCAAAAGATGTCAAACAATGCAATAGCAGAAACGGTGCCAAAACCACATAAGGCGTCTGTATCGTACTTTGCCGATTCGCAAGCATAAGCCGTAGAATCCGCTGAAACCTTTGTACCATCAGTCAACCAGCATTTCCTGATACGGCTTGAAGCACTGGCTGTAAGTTTAATAGAAGTCTAGACGTTGAAAGACACTTAGTCGCCCGGTATGGGAGACCTGGCCGGCTGCATCCGGAACGGGGCCGTGGAGTGGAGCAAATCGGACGGCAGTGGGCCCCGGCGGGCCGTAACCTTGAGGCCGATCCGATGTCGAACCGGCTGCGGTCAGCTTCTTATGTAATCCAGCTAAAGCAGCGACAAACCGTAATCCTGGTCACCGAATTCCATTTTCCAATTCTCCTCATTGTTTATTCGTTTGATTCGTATGACATATGCATGCCCAGCTTTTCCGGCCGGACTGACTGACGTCAACCAACAGGTGACCGATGCCCCTGAACATGAGACGACAAAAGCAACCGGGCAAACATGGTTGCCTGAAACTTCGCCACCTTACCAGTTCGAGCCGCCAATCTGCCATTCTGAACTGACAAGCCGCTCGGGCGTTATCGTCCTACCGCAGCCCCAGCGACTAGGTAGGCATCGTCGGGCAAACCCCGTAAATAGCCACGTGCGGCCCCGTCTGATCGCTTGCGCTTATTACCTGAGGCTCCATTTGGCGACTTCATCTCAAAGAACGCCATCGCTTACATTCGCTCTCGCCTACCTGGTTGCATCGTCATTCTGCGCATCTTCTCGGCGAACTGGCGCGTATCATTGTCGACTGGAACGAGACCTGCATCATTTGCATTTCTTTGCATCGCCCCCGTCGCCCGTGCCACTTTCTTTTTCAACCCGGTCGACCACGCCATAGATACTTCGCTTCGGTGCCGGCACATCATCTGGCGGGAAGACCTTCGCTGAGGAGATCAAAGGCCACGGCCGTCTGATGAAACAGTTTGTCGAGCAACTGTCGCTATCGAAACACGCATCACCCAACAAATACAGGGGTGTGCGATTGTTGCTCCATCGCCTTACTGGGGGTGTTTCCTCGGGCTGACGATACGTTACAACGGGGGCGATCATTCGGCTTCGTTGGGCACTGGCGGCAATCTCTCCGCTGCCACCGCCGTCGTGGCTCTTCGTCGTTGTCTCTGCCGTCGTCTTTCGAGCACCGCACTTGAAGTGTGCCCATAGTGGATTTGCAGCGTGCTTAACGACTTCCTTCGTCATTGAGGATGTCCCAACTACCGTCGTACCAGGAAGCCATCAGCAGACTCGACTGGCTGGAGCTCGTGGCTCCATACGTCGAGTACCGGGATTTCGTCAGCCTTTGTTCTGTTAATAGACGTTTCAACGCCGTCTTCGCACCTCGCCTTTGGAACGACCCGTTGGTGATCGTCAGACAGTTGGGAATAATAGATCCTAGCGATGGTGCGTTTGTCTCAGCCCCCATCCATCCACCCGCCATCCCGCTAACAGATAACTCCTTTCCTTGCGGGAAAAGACCTTGACTGGTATCTCACCTTCGTTTTCGACCGGCTGCAGACCGTAATTAGGCCGTCGACTCGGGCGTTCATCACCACCCTCGACTTTCGTGATTTCGCCAAAGACAGTGCTCATTTCTCATCGTCCGACAATAATAGGACCATATCCGAGTCTTTGCGCCTACTGCAAAAAGTAACTCCTAATGTTCGATGCGTCTTGTTGGATGGCCACGCTGAGGCTGATCCAGCCTTTCTGACAGCTCTTACCCCGCCTTCGGGGGCGGCGGCGGGGGCGGATGGGTCTCAAGACCACGACCAACACCACCTGTTGGTGCTCAGCATGGCACATTGCGTAACGCAGCTACCGTCCGCCTTCTTCATGTCGGACAAGCTCCAACATTTAGTCTGCCTAGACGTTTCCGGTCTTCCGGGCTCCCTGCAGCCGCTGTTGGCGGCAAGAAGACGCCACCTCGCCCACCTGAAGATTTTGAAGGCAAGGCGTCGGGAGATCAATGATGGGCTCGCCATTCAGCTGTTCCAGGCTTTCAAAAGCACGTTATGGAGCCTGGACATCAGCGAAAACAAGGTCACGGATGCTGTTCTCGATGACCTTGCTGCATTGTGCTTCAGCAGCCCTTCTCTGCGGTCTCACTCCAGGCTCATGACGGAAGGCAAGCTCACAGCCGACGGGCACGGAAATGACTCTCATGGGCGGTTCATGTCTATCCAAGAGTCTGACTGGAGCGGCACCTTCAGGCACCCGGAACGACACCTCGTGGATGCCCCCGTGTATTCTGTCGACCCAACTCGAGGCCTGCAGGAGGACGAAGCCGTCCGGTCCAATGGCAAGGGCCCTCTGAAGAGAGACACTGTGGATCATATTAAGGCCGCAGTCGCGGGAAGCATGGATCGGCCGGTACCTGACTGGTCGGGCGTGCCGCATCTCGACGTCTGCACCGCGCCCGCCGGTATCACGCACCTACATCTCTCAGACACGCATATCACATCTGCAGGCGTTGAAAGACTGATTCGGAGTTCCCAAGGTCAACTAGAGGAATTTTCATGCGAAGGCCTGTTGTTTCAACCAGTCCAATTACTTGAAACAAAACAGTCAGTCCCGTGGGCGAAAGGAGTGCGGCTTCACGGCATCCTGGGCTGCTCTCATGTCTTCCGTCCCGTCTATTCATCGAACATTCGGGTCCTGCGTGTACATCACTCTCTGGTAACCCAGATCCTGACACTTCAAGGTGAAGGCCTGGGACTTTCTGCAATAGATCGGTTGTGGATAGCAGAGACTGCCATAAGAGAGAGGTCTGAATTGGCTTTCCCTCAGGGATTCGAGCCTGACATGAATCCTCGATTGGTATCGCTGACCTTGACGAACATACCTCGCCGCTCCTCGGGGCCTTTAATAAGTAAACTAATACACTTCTTGAAGCTCGCCGGATTGCAGGAGAGGGACATCAAGACAGGCTCGGCCTCTTATCAGAGGGGGCCTACGTTTCTTAGCGGCCTACGCCGTATTCGCTTGGAATTTGAGGCCGATCCTGGATTTTCAACTTCAGAACTTGACGCCGAGGGCCTCATGGATATGGGCAAAGACTTCAGCTTCTTCCCCCAAGACAACATGTCAAAAGTCGAAGATACTGCGCGCCTCGCACCCGCCGTCCAGCCACCCATCGCTAATCTCCCGCCGGTCAACCGGGCCTGCGACATGTACCCATTTAGTGACTTTGACGGCGAGTATATGGACTATTCTGGCGACACCTGGGCCGGACGACCTTTCGATCGCAAAGTCTGGATCGGGCCAGGCTTGATCAAGAACGTACAGCACAGCAAAGACTCTGTCACGAACAACCAGGCGACTAGGGAGTACTCGAAGTTGGCAACATACCCATTCCTCAGAGCCAGAGTCGGGCCAGCGAGCCCAGATCACATCAAAGCTGGTGTACCGTCTGGATCACTTCTCTTCCACGCTGCATGGGACGCTATTGTCATGCCGTCCAAGGAAGACCTCAGACCCTCGGCCGAAGGATTACGCGGGATGCGAGATGTCTTGGACGCAATCAAGGCATATCGCCTGCAGACTCGAACCGCACAAACAGCCGCTGTTGGCGATGTTGATGGAGATGGGCAGAATTTCTTCTGGTCCGGTAGGCTAGAGGTTTCTATCCCATTCCATGCTGAGTAACACCAAAAGGGACGTTGCCTTCTCGTTGATCTCCTCCGTTGATGGATGTCTGACTCTGTGTACATTATCAAAGTAAAGCTTCATAGTTGTCATTCATTCTAACTGTGTGATATCACCATTTAAAGCCAAAATCGCAAAGTCATCTTATGGCCAAAACAAAAACTCGTTCAACCTGAAAGGTGATTGGTCCAACAAATTTGGAACTTTGTAAGACGTCTGGCCGAAAGCACGTTACATCGGATTAAAAGAGATATGCATCCTGAGCGGTCACTGCAATTTAGTCGCAACAGAATCTAACTGTTCGACAGAGTACCGGTGAGACCTGGGCACGTACACATGCAGCATGGGTAGCTGCAGCCCGCCAGATAGCGCAGGCATCCGGATTAGATCAGCCGCATATAACCTTGTACGACTGCGCAGGCCTGCGTTCTGACCTGAGACTTGCACTCCGATTTGCATTCATCGAAAGTCTCCGTCTGGTTACACCGAGAAAGACGTCAAGAGACTTTCTCGTAAGATTTGATCTCGAGGCGACTACATCCATCAGAATTAATTTAAGGAAATTTCTGCAGAGTTATTTAGCATTCTTGATATATGCTAATCTGGTTAAACTTGATAAGCGGGAGGTAAAAGGGTCTTGATAAGTCTTCCCACGTTAGATTCTGAACCTTAGAGGAGTTCCTTCAACCATATTAATCCAAGTATAACAACAGGCAAGGAACAAACTAAAATAATTGATGCAAGTCGAAAGAAATGTAACAACGTCCACAAGCTCGTCCGACACCGGCGGTCATCAGTATGCTCTAAACTCCCAAGTCTTCAGTTACACAACATACGTACGGCCGCCGCACTTCCCGACGAGCAAACGTTCAGAACGCCCGACGGAGAATTATTCTCTTCCCCGACGACAATCTTCTTCGCCTTGATTGCCCGCCTGCAGAGTCTAGTCTGCTTCCCTCCAAATCGCACCATCTCGCAGCTTACCCCTGCCCCTGACGCGCAAATCCCCCTACCATGCCATCATCGCCGCCATCTCTCTCGCCAAACCCCTAGATTCCAGCGACGTCGCCCCTGTCTTTCCATCTCTCTTCCCACCCGTCTCATCATCTCGCCATTCTTCCTCAGGGCCGTGATGACGGAAGCTTCCCACCACCACCACACCACAACTCTCAGAATCCCGAACGGCCTGAACCGCACCCCGTTGAACCCTACCCGAACCACCAAAACGCACGATTGGGACCGGATGGTGCCAGTTCGAGGGGAACTCGAAAGCCCCCCTGGCATGAACATTTCTCGGCACCGTTCCTCGCGGCGAGCCTCGCCCGCATCTGAGACACGCATATCATTTTCTTACGGGCTTTTTTTACCACTTACGCGGGCGAGCGGAGTTTCTCGACTCTTCGTCCTCTCAGAGATCAGCACAAGGACCTGCCGAGATAAGCCGGTGCGCTCCCAAAAAGAAGGGTTCACTTCAGCTGTGGAGTCTTGCTCCCCATGTCGTCAATCCTCTTCCCGTTTCTCCAAGAATGCTATCGTAGAAGCGATGCTACGTTGGAGTGAAAGAGCCCAGATCGGTAGATAGGCTACCTGACCAACCCGCCGCGGAATCTCCATGTGCATGTTGCTCCCCTCCAATGATACCCACCAAACGGCCGAAAGAGGCTTGCATGATGCAAGCTGAAGCAAGATTTTCGGGCTGTTGGTGCTTCTTCGCTTTGCAGCGTTTCCTCAACAAACCGCGGACTAATGCAGGAGACTGATGACCAAAGTTTGTTTTCCAAATAGCATTGTGTGTAAAGTTGCGATGGCTCGATCGGCCATGCAAATCTTGAATTCTTCGTCTTCCTTTTGCTGTCTCTCCATGGGTAGCAATCTGTCTATCTTCCACTCTAGCTTCTCGTTATTCTCGCCAGTACAAAGTACAGAGTAATGGTAGTGCAAAAGTCTGCATGGCACATATCTCCATGGCACATCATCATCAACCATTCCGCCTCCCTCCCTTTTTTTTCGCCGTTGACTAAGACAAAGTTGGCCTCTCCTCCCAGTTTTCGCCCCCCGCCGGATTGATTCCTCCTCTCCCACCTCACGGTCAAGGTTTTCTTTCCACATGTCCTGAAAATGGTTTTTTTGTGATGGATAAAAATATGTGTCTCGTTTTGTGTGATGTGTTTTTCCGAGTGAAATCGTAGAAAAGAATTGCATGTAACGTCGTTGCGCGGTAAAGATCCGAAATGTATTCGATGACACCACCACCCACCCACCACCTTTCTCTGATAAGCAAAAGCATCCTCCATGTCGGGATCCAAAAATAAAAACGAACAATAACCGCAAACAGTTTGCCGATGTACGCCTTCCCCGTCCGGGAAAAAAAAAGAAGGATTTTTAGTGCAACAAAAGTTATTACAGGTAAGAATTCTTTGGGGTTTGTTGGACAAGTTTGTTGGTTGGTTGGTGCGGCGCTGCGGCTGTGCCCCCAGTAAGGCCTTGCCCTTGTCCATGTCGTACAGGGGTTGATCGATGTGGCCGCCATGCAAATGGCGTGCAGCGATGTCTCGCAAAAGCGGCCAGAGGAACGAGGGGGGAGGAAGATGATGTCCGGCCGTACGGGACTGTCGTTGGACAGGCGTTTCCCGTCTTGGCGGAACCGCTTCTCCCCCCCCCTCTTTCTCGGCCGCAGTGCAAGGTACCGAGAGGAACGACTTTGACGCGGGCTGGGAAACGCTGGGAGCACTGCAGTCTAATTCGACATGCATGTCTCAGAGATCTGAGAAGCCGTGGGGTCGCTGCCACCCGCCTTCCTCAGTTCTTGCTGCTGGAGCTGCTGGAGCTACCGCTGCTGGCACTGCCGGTCTTGACGCGCTTGCGGCTCTTGCTCTGCAGGCACATCTCGTCGTACATCTTGGCGGCCTTCTCGTTGTAGGGCGTCCTGCTCGACTTTCCCTGCTTGTGGAGGAGGAGGTGAGAGACGAAGTTGTCGCGGCGTTCCTTGAACACATGGTTGCAATTCGTCGCAGGGCATGTGTACAATTCGACCTCCTTTTCGTGAGTTCTGAAGATGGTTGTTAGTGATGGTTGACAGCCGTCATGAAAATGATGAAACATACGCCTTGAAATGCCTCTTGAGGTGCTCCTTGCGCTTGAACGTCTTGGTGCACTCGGGATATGTGCACCTCTCTCGCCTCGGCGCGACGTGGCGCACCTTCACCGCGCCGCAGTCGAGAACGGAGCCGTCCTGGTTGACCTGAATCGATCGCAGTTGCCTCAGCGCCTCCATGTCGTTCTGGTTCTTCTGGAGGGCGAGCGTCTTGCGCTGGACCTCGGCGAACATTTGCCGGCGAGAGCCGTGGCTGTGAGCGCGGTAGGTAGCGCCGTTGGGAGAGGAACGAAGGGGGGAGGGAGAGTTGGTGGTCTCGCGCTTGACGCCCATGTTGATCGGGGAAGTGGAAGGCGTTGACTCGTTGGGGAACATCATGATCGGGCTCTCGCTGCTGCAGCTCCAAATGCTCTGGATGTTGCTCGGCGTCGAGCTGGGAAGTGCGCGATGGGGTGTCGGCATGCCGAAGGGTGATGAGTTGAAGTCTTGCGTCAGAGCCAAGCCGTCATGGTGTTGGTGGGTGTGGTGGTGAGGCGAGGATGACATGCCCGGCACGCACTGAGAGCTCAGGGTGACGTGAAGCATGGTGTTGTAGTCGAGATGGTCCATCCCGTAGCCGGCGCTCTGCCTCCTCGACGGGGTGAGGGGGATGGTCGACTGCGCATACTGGTGCATGGGCACGCCCATGTCGACCTTGTCGGGCTTGGGGAAGTAGCTCCTGTCTGGTGTAGAGCCATGGTCGAAGCCGAATGAGGAGTGAGATGAGAAGCTGCTATCAAAATCGATCGTCGACTGTGAGGAGGCATCTTGGGGAGTTGAGCGGCCGGAGCGAGGTGTGTAAGGGCCGGTAGGGTCGTAGACTGACGATGCGGCGGAGAAGGAAGGTGTTGTAGTGCCGACGGACATGGAACCGTCAAAGACGAAGCTGCCTTCCGAAGCGAAGGAGTCCATCATGCCATCAATGGGATGGTCGTGCTCTTGTTGCCAGAGGTGCGAAGACATCATTGTGCCGGTTCTTCTCAGGGTATGTGTTGCTGGGCTGTTGCTGTTTATGCGTCCCCGTTATTAGATCAGTCGAGGGCGTGGAGGACTGAAGAGGGATCTTGTTGGAAGGTGCAATAGATAATGAAGAATGATGGGATAATGAAGCGTTCCACAAGACGAGCGGCTCGAGCAAAGTTATATCGTGGAACGGGAGGGCGGCCTAGATGTAATATGACGCCCCTAAAGAGCGATAGGCAGGACAATCCTCACTAAACGGGTGAATAGTGTCATCCAATACACACCCAGTCTGAGAGACAGAGAGCCCCAGATAGGAATGTATCGAGGTATGAGTACGTGACAGTGGGGAGAGGAGTGTGGGAGGAGGGAGCAAGGGCAGGAGGGGCGTGTCGAAAAGACAAGAATGAGGTGTAGAAAGAGGGAGGCAAAGAGGCTCCAATCTCATATGAGGGGGATCCACCGATCTATGGGCACAGATGGAGAAAGGCCCAGATCATTATCAGCGTGCGAGAGTGTTTCTTGCGCGGGATGGTCCAGTTCGGCCTGTCTGTTTCGTCGTCCCTGAGAAACAGTGAGACGATCGCCCAGTCCATAAACGCGAACCGGTGCATATATGTGTTAGTTCTGAGAGAGGAGGAGCCGAACCAGGTACGGTGCAGTGAGCGGCCAATGCCTTTCGAGCTGCTTGTCCAACGCTCGAGGCAGCTTTGTCGGCTTCGCCACGCGAGAAAACAGGCTATACAAAAGAGATCATGGGCAGACAACCAAGAGAGAAACTCCGAATGAGGAGCCGACATGGGAGCACAGCCAGGCCACGAGTTTGGATTCTGGGAAAGAGGTGGTGGCTCCAGCGCCCATTCGTCACGCCCATGAGTGCGCCAGGCCAACCCGGTCTACTCTATCTTGGGTTTGCATTTTGTTTTTGGACGAGCAGAACCCTGGTCTGGGGGATTCGAGTCGGACTGGGGGTGACCACGGCCGAGGGACTGCCAGGCAACTGGAGATTTCAAGGCCGGGGGAGGAAGAAAGAAGAAACAGGACCTGCATGAACCGCCTGGGGGCTTGTTCGTGGATCTTGGTTGCTTGGGTTGGTGAAGGTGAAGGTGATGAACGACAAGGGTCTGCACATCCACTTCTCGGACGCCGTCCACTCTATCTCTCGTCTATCTCCAAGTCTGGATGCCCAAATGGGCGAGACAAGCAGTAGACTCCTACTGGTGAACACCCAACGAGCAGAAGGGAGGCCGGTTGGCTCCATCGTCATATGTGAGAGGGACGAAAAAAAGCGTGTCCATAACGCTGTGTGCTACGTAGATACTTGACAGACGCGGCATACCGGACGTGTAGTGGGACGGACCAAACCAGACACCTGCACTGGCAATGGTGGTGGTGGTGGGGTTGACAGCTCGAGGTACGGCATCACAGCCGACAATGAGGACGAGGTGGAGTGACTAAGAAAGAGAGAGAGAGAGAGAGGCGCGCCCAGGCGTACGGGGCTGCTGCCGTGCGTGTGTCTCTCATCCTTTGCGTCTATCTGTCTGTCTGTCTCTTGCGTGTCAGGACCACAACGTGAATGTGTGTAACCGTGGGGAATGGAGCCCCGCCAGGCATGGAATGGAGGATTGATAACTTGATACGTGCGGCGCTCAATGGGCCGAGAATCTTGTGCCAGCTGGGTGCTGTTGGTGTGAGACAACGGGCACAGGCCCCGGTGCAGGTTGGATGGGGACCTTGACCTGGGCATGCACAATCTGCTTCATTACCCAACGCGCGGATGAATTGACGGATGGATTGCATTTGAGACACAGTGTAAGAAATGTGAGAAATGATGATGGCCATGAAGAGAGAGGCCCAGCAAGGGGAAAAAGCAAATTTCGCACGCCGGCGCTGAACCCCGGTCGCCCTCAGCCTCTAGCTACCCTCTCTCTCTCTGCGCGTCCGCTGGAAAAACCGCACGGTAGAAAGAGTGCAAAATCTACTCTGTCTGTACTGACGTAAGATATGCACATCTCATCTGGACGGCATAGCTCAGTGGCCAAATCTCTCACATAAAAATGAGGCGCTGAGACAGGACGATGCAGACGAGAGATGTGCAAAAAGCAAAGATTGAGCACCGCTGAGAAGCCATGGGAGACTAGAACTGCGGGAGGACAGAACGAGTATTAGCGACCGGAATGTATGAGAGGCCGAGAGCCATTGGCAGTGATAGAGAGGGAGGACAAGTGAAAAGTTGACTTGGGGTCTTGAGTCAGGGCCTTGGCCGTTACAACGCCTCAATCGAGTTGGGAACGTTGAAGCGTTGGAGCGTTGGTTGGGTGAAAGAATGGTGATTGAGCGATGAATGAGTGAGTGAGTTGAATGAGTGAGAGTGACCGAAAACAGAGTGAAAAGGAACACGAGAAAAAAAGCCTAACGGGCACAACTGTGACCGGCCCCCGGCCAAACCAACCAACCAATGGGGGAAACACTTGCCGATGATGCTTGCTGCTCATCATCCGTTTCATTGGCTTCGAACCCATGTGTAGCTCATGATTAGGTCATCGCCTCTCTCATTCAAAGCCTCGACACAATCGAGAGAGACTCGAGAGACTCGAGAGAGACCCTTGGCCATGAATGAACAAGGGCTCTCAAAAGGGGCCGCTTGAAAGGAAAAGCGGAGACAATCCGGATCACCATGTTTAGACTCCCCCCAGTCCCAGATCATTGACAGGGGATCAACACCCACACACCACAAGCCACACAACCACACCCTCATATTCATCCTCACCAACGACGGCAACCGCACCTCATTTTGCTCTCTCACACCCGCGGATGTCGACTCCCGGCCGGAGCTTCTGCAGGTCGGCTGCAGGTCGAACAACCTGCTGGGACCGACTAACGCGGCGGGCCTTCCTCTCTCTCTCTCTCTCTCTCGCAACTCAGCCTCCAAGTAGTCTCCGATGTGACGGGCTGCGTCTCCGGGACCCCCAAATACCAGACACGCAGGATACCAATGCAAGAACAAGGGCTATGACGATGACTAGCGTCACCCCTGAGCTGCGTCGTCCTCGACACCCGCGTCTATCGGCGCACTACGCCGTCCTTCTCGCGTCTGTCTGAGGGGTCCGCCTCCATTGGATCAGCCTCCTCTTCCAAAAGGTGAACTCATCCAGGCACACCAACACCCGTGCGTTGCAGCCAAATCTACTCGGCCGTCTGTGTGTATCACAGCTGCAGCAGCGTAGCATTCGGAGATTCACTTGACTCCCCTCCCCCCCAGTTCCCAGTTTCTGGGCAATCTCGTCTGTGTTGGACCGGCAGCAGCGTCATCGTCATGACCGAGAAAAAGAGAAAATCATTTACTCGGTTCCTGGCCCTCCCCTGCCCTGTTTGCTCACCTGAAGTCTGTTCTCCAAGCCCAGCACCCATGATCGACAGAGCTGCCGAAGCCGAGACTCGGGCGGCCAGGGCAAGGTTGGTTTGCTCTCCAGATCCCACTCCATCACCCCGTGAATGGCATCGTCACGGCCCACGAACGGGACCGAGCTCGCGGTCCATCAGAAAGGCAACATCTAAGCCCTCCATAGACTCTCGCTTGTCGGGTAAGACGAACGTGGAGAAGGGTGTTTGATCGCTCCCAAGCGGCGCCATTGAGGATACACCACCAGAGTAGAGCCGTCGACTTGTGGTCTGAAGCACTCGCCTCATCCATCAATGGGACCCAGACAGCGTTCGTGCCCGGTGCTGGCTCATGCTCCCTGCACTCTTCAAGATTTCCGGTTCGATATCGTCCAAGTCAGTCTATTGACAGATACGATCAACCACCGAGAAGGTATTCAACACACCACCCTCTGTGACGAACTCGTCTATGACCTTTGTGCATCCCGCAACAATCGAGTAAGATAATCCAAAGGTCGATAAGCACATCTCGTGGGGCACACTCGAGGCCCAAGGTTGGTTCCAAGTAATGCTCACTAGGCACACAATAGCCCAGGTACAACCACTCGATTGTCTCTGAACCTGAACGTCGTCTAATCCCCGAGGTCAGGGTGGCCGCCACGCATTTCTCAAATCCATGATTCAACCCCATCACGCCTCAAAGTGCCCCTGCGAACGAGGCCCACGAACACCGTGACAGCAGATATCCAGGCACGAACGAACCAGACCTTCGGCCGTTAGGCCACCACCGCCGAGACTCACGCCGGCACTACCGGTCCATGAGTCCACCGTCGCTGGCTTTCCCCGTCATGGTATCTCAGGAAGCCAGGGTCTGGACGCCGCACGCCGCCGCGGGAAAAAAAACCTCCTCCCCTCTGCCACCATCACCGAGATTCTTACTTTTTCCTGGCCAAACTTGGCACGCACGCGAGAGGAATGCGCCTTTGTTGTGCCAGCACCCTCAAACAAACGCGCATGGAAGCCTTCCTTTCGTTCTCGCTGCTGCTGAATGTCTCTATTTTCCCAGGCGTTATTTTTTTTTTCGTGCTTTGCCACAAACCTCCCACGAGGAACGCACAATTCTCGCGCGAGCGACTCACCTCCGTCGGTCTCACCACTGGTGGTCCCGCGTAACCCGCGTTCCTCGCCATAGCTGGGCGGCGTCCCTCTGTTGTACCTCTTCTGCCCAGACGCCTCTTGGGACAATCTTTTTGCCAATCCGCTCTCGATACGTCTCCGGTCAAAGCCTCCACCCGGTTAGCTTTGCCAGATTTTGATTCAACCGCATCTCCGTACCACGGCGCCTGCGATTCAGGACTCCAGACTTGGGAGCCCGGTCATCCTCCGTGCTCACGTACGTCCCTTGCGAGTATCCCGACAAGGGAACAGCAATCAGCCGCCGTCCGTCCGCTAGCCAAACCGGACCAACCCATCACATCCCGCCAGGCTGGGTCGGGGAGGACAATGCGTGGTTTGGGTTTTCCCATCCATCCCAAGAAAGAATTGTGTATTGTGATAGCTCACATCTGTCAGCTGCAGTCAAAATTCCCGATATGTTCGACGACAACGCTAAGCCCGCTTGGACCCCTCAGCCATCAACTGGGCTGGGCTGTCTCTACCCAGGCCTCTCAGTGGCCCCAATATTGACGCATCCTTGCAGGCCAAGTCTTGCCCCTGGCAGGAGGGGAAAGTGCCGTTTTCTGTAGAGCGCCCCCAGGGTCTCTCTCTCTCTCTTGCTCTCTTGCCCCTGGCGTGTTCTGTATATGTCCGAGGCAGCAAATAGTTCGCCCACAATGCGCTGTGTCAGTGGCAGATCAAGGGATTTTCGCGATTCCGATTCTGTAGCCTGGAGGAAACCCCGCGTCCGCCATGACGGGCAAGCCGTGTTTGAGGGGCTTTCAGATCTAACGTCGTCAGCAGTTTCTGATCCCTCCTTTCGGTACCGATGGGAAACCGTGTGTTAGGCACCTCGCCCACCCTGTGGTCTACAAGCATTGCCGCGAATAGATACTCGAGATGTTGTCTTGATTACTTAGATGTGCCTCAAGGGACCCTCAAACAGGGTCCCCAAAACCGATTGAGAACTATCAGGAGAACTCCTCGGCGAGTCTCGGTTCTCACGGACGTCAGGAATGCAAGCGGACGCGTTGTTCCAACTTCCTAGGGCGGACCTCTCTGGCCCATTGCGACCCACGGCTACCAGCCTGCCATCGCGATTTTGCCAGATATCTGCCAGGTGTCGTGTTGTTTGGCGGGTCATTCTCCATCGAATCGGATTATTGAATGAGCAGAAAAGTTCGATTGCTGTCCCTGGATGTTTCGAATGCCCTCGATTGGCTGCTAACTTGTTGAACGTCCCCATGTCTCGCTGGCCCCTTTGCACATGTTATTTGGGAGAATTGGCTCGGTAGGCTTGGTCTAGTGGATGTCTGGTCGTCTTCGTTGGTGGCTAGGCTGGCGGTATCGTCCGATGCTCACGCAATATTGCTTTTAGGTCCACTGGGATGGCGTTCATGATATTCTAGAAGAGAAGGTTAGCAAGGCGAAAATCACCACAACGGAGCATACGCCCGAGAAGATGCGACAGCAGTGATGGTATAGGGCTTTTTTTGGTGTTGGATAGCTCATGAGTCCTATTCCACTGCCTCCTCATTTTGGGCCATGACCTCGTTGTCCATATCGTCCAGAACATCCTGCATCTCTTCCTCGGTGGCCTCCAAACCGTCAGAGCTCATGAGCTTTGTGTCCTTCTCCTCGGCTGCGGGTCCGTTAGCAATCAATAGTAGCAAGTCAAGGAGCTGTAGACTCACTCTTCGCCTCCACAAGGAGGTTCTCCTGAACCTCGACATTTGTCAAGACTGATCCATCTCCAATCACACATCTCTTTCCAAGAATGCACCTTGTGAGCTTGCAGTTCTTGCCAACGACAGCTCCCTCCATCAGCAAACATTGGGAGAGCTTGGCGCCCTCGTTGAGTTGGCAGCCGGCGCCCACTACGGACTCCTTGATGGCAACCTTCTCCTCCACCGTGACGTTCTCGGCAACCAGACTGTCGGTCTTGGTGATGGTGGTGCGACCCTTGACGCCCTCGGGGTATGCCACCTTCCTGGCGTGTGCAAAAGGAGAAGCCGCATCGATGCCGGCCTCTTCCACCGATGGCAGCTTCGCAAGCTGCAAAGAGACATTCAGGAGGAGTTGAGCGGTGTCGACGCGACGGATCAACGGAGCGTCCGCATCTGATGGGTGTACGTAGGCGATGATGGGGGGCACAGTGAGTTTCTCATGAGAGTTTTGGGAGGTCTCGGTGTTCTTGTTGTCCTCCGCACTGGTAGTGGTACGAAACTCCTCAGGGTCGTCGTCTTGTGGTGACGTTGTGCTCTCCTGGATGGAGTCCTCGTCATCACTCTCATCGTCTTTGCGTAACACCTCGTCCAAGTGAAGTTTCTCGGCCAGGCCAGTCTGCCAACCGGCCTTCGCCCACCAACCAATGACGTCCTCGCCAATGTTCTCCAAGAGCTCGTTCTTCTCGACAAAGTCCATGATCCATTTCGGGAAGATGTAGAGGTGGGCGTCTCTGTGGGTAGTGAGCATCCTGATACGTGGATGGCTTCTCATGAGGCCGTGTCGAATTGGAAGTCCCTTTTTCTCCTCGGTCAGATCCTTCAAGGAATCTGTGGGCATAGAGTAAACGAGGTTAGACAGGTTGGACAGCAGAGTTCCCTTGGGCGGTGCAATGGCGGATGGAGCTGAGGGCGTGATTGCGACGAAGTCGGTCTCCTCCTTCTTCACGGCGAGGGCGGTCTTCGTCTCGTAGAAAACTCCCAAGCCACCGCTGAAAGGGCTTGTGTTGCCGTTAGAGAACTTGGGTGCGTCGAGGAGATTCGACATGCTAGCACCCTTGACCATCCATGCCTGCAGCAACTTCTCGCCGGCGATTTCGCAGATGAGGTCACATGGCAGGACGACAAAGTCCGACGTAACAAGCGTCTTGACCTCGGGAAGACGCAGGATATCCGCCGTGCCTGTGGTTTGGTCAAGGTCCTTGGGCGCAAGGATGTCTGGTCTAGGCAGGGGAAGTGCTGTCAGGTGAGGGTTGGTGTTCAGGGCGGTAGTGATGGCTTGCTCGGCAGATGCCGGGCAGATGAGAGTGATATCTAGAAGGGGTCAGCCTTGCGTGCGCAGACGAGAGGTCATGGCGGGGTAAGGCTGAGATGGTGCTCAAACCAGCAACTCACTCGTAATTCCCATACGATAGCAAAAGTCGATAGGGTACCAAACCATAGGTCGATTGGCAATTGGCAGCAACGCCTTCGGATTTTCGTCGGGGTTAGACGTGAACGTCGGGAACGAGGAGCCAGGGCCGCAGAGGACCAAGGCCTGAAGCCCTGGTGAGGGCATCGACACAGCGTGGGGCATCTTGAGATGCGATGGTGGGGTGTTTTGTTTGCGTCGGGATGTTGTCGGAGGACGTTCCGAGGATAGAAATTGGTATGTGAGAGACCCTAAAACGTGCGCTAGCACAAGAGGAGAAATTGAGTGAGGCTGCGGCTAATATTGGTGTTGTTTGAGCGGTGCATCCCAAGGCCGACTCAGTGACTCTTTTCTGATAACTGAATGCCCGCTGGAAGGAGTCATCGTCCAAAAATGCGACTCTGGACGTCGTCGGACCCACTTCCAAATCCGGCGCGTCATGGTAGGTATCTGCACGTGATTCCGGCTCAACCTCGGCCCGGAGACGGTTCCCAGCCAGGCGCCGGGCCAGTTCACGGGTGCAGCTCACATACCCCGGCAGGTCCAGTCAGGTCCGTCAGCTTCCTTGTTTTTGACCCGGCAACCAATGGCAGCCGGCAGCCACGGTCAACCTCGGGATCCCCTGGGGCCTTAGCTCCTTGTCATCCCCATCTCATCCCCCGTCCCATGTTGATGCGCCCCCCAAAAGACCAGCCACCCGAGCAGTTCGCGACCAGTGGGTGATTCCCAGCCCACCACCTCATTGCGACTTTCTGTCTTTTGACACCATCATTTTTCCGACATCAACTGCGAGCGATACCTAGACGAATTGGCGAATTTCCCGGCTCAAACTCGATTGAATCGCTTGCTCGCAAGCGCCGAATAGCTCCAGATCCGTCGTCGAATCCCACACCAATCACTCCAACCTGGGCTGGGCGCCCTGGTGCAATGGTCACGTCAAACTAAATGTCGTGGAACGATCAACATTCTCGAAGGCGCGGGGTATGGAGCCATTGGGTGCCGCTCGCTGTTACCGTCACTGTCGCGACGGTCGGCCTTGCAGCTTGGGTCTGGAGCCAGCGCAAGGATGAAGACGAGACTCCCGAGACCGACCCCCTCGCCGACCTCGACTACAATACTGCCGACTACGGCGAGAACGCAGCCTACGGATCGTCTAGAGGCCCCAAGCCACCACCTAGCAACGTTGGAACGGAGACTTACGGCACCGCTGATATTTCCCGAGATGGCGGCGCGGACGGCGGTGCGGAAACCTGGGGAGCGCGCATGTCGGGCGCATTGAGGCGCACTCCCAGTCCTCAGCAGTTCTTCGAGTCTGCCGGCAAGACGGTGACGGCGGGCGTTGCCGCGGCCGGCGCAGTTGCAGGTCGAGCACTGGCGGCCATCCGGGAGGAGGACAAGAACGCGTATGCCGACCACGAGACCTGGTCCGAGGAAGCAGACGCGCGCAAGGAGCGTTCTTCAGCACCGCGAGACCCGAACAAGCGCAGGAAGACGGTAGCCATTGTCGTTTCCGCTGACAGCCATGGCGACGATTTCGACGATGATGGATTCCACGAGCATGCCGTAAGTTACTGAACCCGTTATACCTATTGCGATTGTACAGCAGCTGACCCGCAACAGTCCATTCTGTCGCACATCCCGCGCTACACTGATTTCTCCAGCATCAAGCTCTTTGTCTTGATCTACGCCCCTGGTCTTAAGGAGACTGCGGGTGAATCTACGAGTAACCGACCGCCACCTTCGCTGAGCTCGTCCTTCTCTAACATTGAGCACCACCAAGCCCAAACTCCCAGTGATGAGCCGGCCAAGAGCCCCCTCATGAACGCGTCGTCCGCGAACCCCGTGTTCAACGCCATCTACTCTCAGGCGTTGGCATTGGTCGAGAAGGAGACTATGGTCTTACCATTCACTACAGCCAATGGCCACACCCACATCTTGCGTCACCTGCAGCCTGAGATTGTATATCTCCAGGAATCCTTGGCCGGAGACAACGGCAACATGGTCTCCAACCTGCAGACGTGGTTGCGACACGACATCATCTTGGTTGTGGGTGCGGACAACGGTCACGGTGGGCTCGCCGACAGCGAATCGGAAGCAGAGAGACCGGAGGAGAAGTGGTGGCAGCGTCCAGACCGGGTTGGCCGGGGCCGGGGCGTCGTGGTTGTTGACGGAATGCGGGTCCACGATGACTGGGCCCGCCGTGTCCAGGGACGGGAGTAAATATTGCCTCCAACGTACAAAAAAGAGGCCTTTACGCGGAATGATGGGCCGGATGATGGGAAGCGGAAGCTAGGAAGGGACCGGATTGTGTGTATTTCTTTGGTTTGGCATATACCAGGATATCATGTGACGTTATCATGAGATAGGTAATCTATTGCTGCTGCAGCGACGTACATTTTGCTGCTGCTAACACGGGACATCTCTGGAAGAAAATCGATCAGTTAAACTTGATTTGTGACATTGATTTTCAATTTATTTTACTCGCTACATTCATGTTTAATAGAAATCCATAACATCCAAGTCGGATAGCTCAAGGTTCTCCGGATTATCGGGCCGTGTGGACACCGTGCGTAGACAGTGGGTCTACATCCGGGGTTTTGCCTGAGGCTCTGGCCAAGCTGCGACCTGCCTCCAGCTCCCTCCACGCTTGCGCCCCCCGTCTCGGAGATGCGGCGGTTCGTCTTTGGAGCCTCTACCACGGAAGCCTGACTACATCCCAACCCCACACACTCGGAACTCATCGATCTGAGCTGCTGTGCATCATTTCCGCGTCTTTTCTCAATTCTTAGCTTTTATTCAATTCTTTCCAGACCGAATTTTACCACTTGCGACCGCGTCTCGACCCGAACCACCCTTCTCCACGTCGACGTCACCCGATTTGTCAACGCGAACCGCGAGCCACGAACGAATCGTCCATCCATCCATCAACCACCTCCCCTCATCCATCGCGATCGGCAAAACACCATCTCGTCCGCAAATGGTCGCTTCCTGATACCACGATAGCATCATACTACAGCGGAGCAACACCAGTCGCGACTCTTTGGCCCGGTAGCCGCACCATCTGGCAATATGGCGCCAGTCGTGACGGCGATCCAGCCGCCGGCTGTCGCGTCCAAAATCAAACGCCCTGTCCCTCCGGGCATCCAGACGAACGGAGCAAGCTCCATCCGATCATCACCATCGCCGTCGATGTCGACCAAGAAGCCTCCAAACTCCGCGACGATGAATGGCGCGAACCCCCAGTCTGCGCGACCGGCCAACCGCACGCGCCGTGAGCCATCCGCACATGCCGGTCGCAATTCTAGGAACAGCGCTGGCCTGCGATCCGCATCGCTCGCCGCTGACCTGGCCGCGGCGCAGGCCGTTGAGCCGCCACCATATAGTGCGTTGTTCCTCGACCTGCAGTTTCTTGATCCGGTGATGCTAACATTGCGACAGTTGTCACGGACGAATACATCTTGAAAAAGTATGCCGGCCATGCCCCGTCCCTGGTCGTACACTTTCACCCAACACATTTCCGGTTCGATCAACAAGACGGCATGTTTCAATACAGCTCGCCGATGAGGATTTTCCTCGAGCACTTGCGATCTCGCACCGTTCCACACGACCTGATCGAGTACTTCACACAAGGCGGAGTGTCCTTCTACGAAGGCTGCCTGATCGTACAGGTACACGATCACAAGTCAGTTGCCCAGGTCAAGGACGTGGCCCGCCCGACATCCGCATCCAGCAAGGTCGTGCCTTCGTCAATACACAATCACAATCCTTACATTGTGCCCTCACCATATGTCCCATATCCGAAAGAGTCGCTCGGCACTCATCCAGAACCCTCTCTCGCGGACCAGGAGGATGTCAAACCGAAGACTGCAGAACAGAAGGACAAAGAAAGCATGCCAGCACCAAGTCTGCCTGGCGACGGTCAAAAGAGCAAAACCCCTTCAAAGCCCAAGATCTTCACCGTTGTTCTCCACCCTACTCCGGAGAGCTTGCAAGCAGACCTCCTACTCAAAACCATGACGCCGCGTGGCGTAACCGACGGTCGCGGCAGTATTGACGGAACTGTGCCTCCATCAACACCCATCAGCATGGTCCCGCCGACGCCTACAGCAGGGAGCATGCCCCCTCCCGCCAAGAAGCCAAAGCGCGAGCGTATGGAGTTGGATGCCAGCAATATCTACCTTGCCGAATCGCAAATTCTACTCGCAACCAATGCTCCTCTGTTTTTGGAGCCAACGAAAAACGCAGAAGAAACCATCGGCCTTCTCGATGCCTTGGCTCACCCGAAGCACTCCGACCCTCCCCCTCAACCAAAGACCAGGAAAAGGACAGTGGCCGAGATGGAGGCCGACGAAGCAGCCGCGGCGGATCAGGAGAAATATATGCTCATCCTGGACGATCGCCTTGCTTCCGCTGTCGGCGGAGCACAAAGCGGAGCCAACGGGGCCGACAAAGAAGGCCCGGCCGTTGTTTCTACCTTTGAGCCAAGATTCGAGCGGTTCAAGGTTATTGCAGACATTAAGAGAGAGTACGAGCAGAAGAAGGAGGCAGAGAAGGCCGAGGCGGCTGCCAACGAACGCAAGCTCCAGTTGCAGAAGCAGAAGCAGATGCAGGACCAACAGGCGGCCATTGCAGCACAACGCCAAGCCGAGGAAGAGAAGCTACGTCGCGAGCAGGCCATGGCCCAAGAGCTCAAGGCGCGCCACGAACAGCAGCAACGGGAACAACAAAGACGGGTCTTGGCGCAGCAAGCCGCGGCAAACCAGGCCCAGAACAACCAGCACGCGGCGGGTAATATGCCTCAAGCCCAGCAAGCGCCTACGCCTATGCCTAATGGCAGCACAGGCGCTGTGGCAAGTGGCATTCCTGCTCAGACCCAAGCTAGGTTCACTCAAGTCTCGCAGCCGACGGTGTCTTCGCCTGTCGTCCGACAAGGCACGCCTCACAGCATGTCCTCCCCGATGCCGGGAGCTGTGGCAATGCAACAGTCCAACTCGAACATGGCCAACAGTCCACCAAGGCCCCCGTCGGCGGTCCAAGGGCATCCCCCTAACGTTGGAGGTGTTCCCATGTCCCATAGCATGTCTGCCCGTGCCAGTCAGCAGAGTCATCCCGCCGGTACGCCTCGCATGCCTCAAGGAACCCCGAGTATGCAGGCAACCCCAGTGCCCCGCCCTGCCGTCGCTGCCACGCCTCGTATGGGACAGGCCAGCCCTCCTCCTAATATGATGGCGACCAACTCTCAAATGGGACAGCACATGATGAACATGGGCACTCCTGTGTCCATGCCACAGCAGATGCAAAACCCTAGCATGGCTGCGGCACAGCTCGCTCAGCAGCAACGCGCAATCCAGCAGCAGCAGCTACAAGCGGCCATGCAGAGCGGCATGGGCATGATGAATGGAAACATGAACGGCCAACAGATGACACAGCAGCAGCAGCAGTTCATGCAGCAGCAAATGCACCAAAGGATGGTCATGCAGCAACATCAGCAGCAGCAGCAACAACAACAGCAACAGCAGCACCAGCAGCAGCACCAGCAGCATAACCAGCAGCGTGGAAACATGAACCAAATGATGACGCAACAGCTGGCCGCACAGTATGCTCAACAACTTCATAGGATGGGAGGCTCCCAAATGGGCGGAGGCCAGATGTCACCGCAGATGCAGGCTCAGTTGCAGGCACAAATGGCGCAGATGGGTAACCCGATGCAGCGCCAAATGGGCGGCGGCGGCGGTCAGAATATGATGAACGGCGGCCACGGCGGGATGAACATGCAGCAGGCTATGATGCAGATGCAACAGCAGCAAGCCGTGAACAACAGCTCAGCGCTGACGGCCCAGGTTAAGATGCAGGGGATGGCGTTGTATAACAAGCAAATCGCCAGCCTCGCTGCAAAATGGGGAGGAAACGTGGAGAATATCCCGCCCGAACAGATGGACACGTTCAAGCGAGACTGCATGGTTCAGGCTAAGCAGCAGATCCAAGCCGTCCTTGCGCAGCGTAGAGCGCAGCAGGTCATGATGCAACAGCAACAGGCCCAGCAGCAGCAGCACCAGCATCAACAAATGCAAGGCATGGGCGGCATGATGGGTCCCCACGGCATGTAGGCCATCACCTGGCCATACAGTTGCTCACATGTTTTCGGGGGGCCGAACGAGTGGTGTCCGAATTGGACTCGGGATGAATGAGGACAGCCGGGGTGAGAGCGTCTTTTTATTTCGGCGTCTTGGGGATGACGAAAGGAATCGTTTTATCTTGCATGGTCTTATATACCCCTATGAAGGCGCATCTATCTACCTTACCCTTCAAGGTGCGGTTAGGGACGGACGGCTGCTTTTATCCAAGGGATTCGGGAGGGAAACGGAATGGCGCATACATCAGAGCGGTTCGTGGCTCTTCAAGGCGATATAATATGTCGCTGAATGCATCAGATAAGTCATTAGAGCGAAGTTATTCATGGTGATTGTGATTCGATGATTAGTTCTTGAATGAAACAACTACCTTATTGGCATTAGTCTCATCAAATTCAATACCGACGTGCTTGGCCATGGTTGAGACTAGAATCGCGATTCTGGATGTGGTGTTGAGCAAGCTGTTGCATTAGTAAGCCAGCCTTCGCATGCTGTCACGTGCTTCGCCTAAACTCCGGCATGACGCTGCCCCCGATGATGCAACAAGCTAATTGCCGCTAAGGAAACAGGCAAACGGCCAGCTAGCCCAGCAGTCCGATGTGGAAGGTGCCGGTCACTCGTCCATTGTCATTGCTCCAGTGCTCCCGATCTTCAACCAGCGTGACCACCAAGCTTCCACCAGCTGCCTGTCGAAATACACTCATTGCTGGTAGTAGTCGCTTCTTCTTCTCCGTCTCCTTCTCAAGTCTTCGATTCTTTTAAGCAGCACAGTCCCTTCGCGCCGTTTCTCTCATACGGTCGATCCGACCACGAAGCGCCGTCGATCGATCATCCATCCAAGCTTCAACCAAAGCAACTCGGCCAGCCATCCCGTGATGCATCTATCTCGACCGGACGCGGCATTCCTGCTCGGCCTCCTTTTTGCCGCACCGGCCGCGGTGTCGGCAGCAGCGCTCAACTGCGAACATATCCGCGTCGACGGCGTTGACTTCAACCTCAAACCACTCGGAGGCCCTCACAGCGTCGTGACCAGCCAGTGGCACCCTCCCACGTTTACGAACACATCCTACACGGTCGACATCTGCCAGCCCTTGAAGCGCAAGAGCGACGTCAAGAAGGAGGAGCAATGCCCCAATGGCACGAGAGGTACTGCGCGCTTTGCGTTCTTTGCGTTTACTCCCTTTCAAGGCAACTGACTCGATTACTAACATGGCGGGAAAAATCCAGTCTGTGCGATCCAGCGCACCGTCCATCCGGGCAACGACAACGAAAAGGAAAAGGACGAAGTTGAGAAGGTGATACCCATTTCCGGCGACCTCCAGGACCGCGGCGGCAAGCCCCTCGACGCCAAGATCGAGCGCCTCAAGTCCAGCAACTCCAACTCGGACGCGAAGAAGGAGGGCGTCAGACTCATCCTGAACGGCGGCTCGTACCCGCTGAGCAAGAGCGGTAGGAACCAGCAGGCGATCATCGAGTTTATCTGCGACCGCGAGAAGACGGGCCTCGAGGGCGAGGTCAAGGCCGAGGACGAGTACGACGGCTCGTCAGTCCTTCGCGCGCGTGACGAGAAGGATGACAAGGACGGCGACAAGGATGGGGACGACGGGCCCTCGCCTGACGAGAAGCAGATCGTGAAGCCCGATACCCCGCCCGCGCTGCTCTGGAACAGCTACGGTCCTTCTGAGAAGGGAGACATCGATGTCCTCAGGATGACCTGGCACACCAAGTACGCCTGCGAGGATGCGTTTGGCAAGCCCGCGGATCCTAAGGATCCTAGTGATCCTGGAAACGGTGACACCAGCAGCCACTGGGGCTTCTTCACTTGGTTTGTCGTCTTGTAAGTCTTGACATTCTTCACCGCGATCGACTCGTGATCTTGCTAACGCTTTTTTTGCAGGGCGTTCCTCGGCATTGCCGCCTACCTTATCTTCGGCTCCTGGCTTAACTACAACCGTTACGGCGCTCGCGGCTGGGACCTTCTTCCTCACGGCGATACCATTAGAGATATTCCGTACCTGGTGAAGGACTGGACTCGTAGCGTGCTCACCACGGTGAACGGAAGCGGTAGCCGTGGCGGTTACAGCGCCGTCTAGACGCATTTATGTGAAGCAGGAGGAGAACGTTGTGTGTATATTTACGGTGTAAACTGGGCTCGACCCTTGGTTTGGGTGCATGGTTCCGCGAGGTCGCGACTTGGAGTTGGGCCGGTTTGGTCCTTGGATTGTAGCATTAGCTGGTTTGTCTAACAACGTACTCTTTGATCCAACATGACTTCGTTTCAAGTATGTTATGCGGGCATGGTGACAATGCTGCTGCTGCTGCTGCTGCTGCTTATTTCGTGAGGGAGAGGCTTCCGTCATAATATGTTGTGGGGACACTTCGACCATTCATTCGTCGCGATTGAATTTTCAGCATGTCATTACGAACGCCAAAATTCCATCTCGACTATCTCCATACGACAAATTTCATCCGATACAATGAACAATTCAGCGGGGTTTGACGAAACATTCCCAGATGACGAGGAGTCAGCGACCTGCACGCCCTTCAATCCGCCTCCCCTCCCACAACTCACCAACTCACCCCAAACAATCCCAGACTCCTGTCTAAGCCTCTCAACCCCCCTCCTCGCCGCCATCCACGCCTGTCTCCCGCCAGCGCCCGCCCTCGTCCTCTCCATAGGCAGCGGCACCGGCCTCGTCGAGGCCCTCCTCCAAGCCCTGCCCCCTCCCCCGCTCAACCTCGTCAGCGTCGAGGTCGCGCCCAGCCCGAACAAGTACCACGCGCCTCACCGCACCGTCGCGGGCACGTGGGCGCTGGAGCCGCTCGCGAAGGAGGCCGGGGCCTGGGTGTTTGTGTATCCCAAGCAGGTGGCCTTGGTGAGGGCGTACATGGCGACGTTGACCGCCGCCGGCGGCGGGCCGGAGACGGTTGTGTATGTCGGTCCGAGGATGGACTGGGATGAGTTCGGGGCTGCTTTTGAGGGGAAGGGGGAGGTCGAGGTCTGGAGTGAGCAGAGGATGGAGGAGGTTGGGGGACGGGCGTGGGAGTGTGTTGCTGTTTTGCGGGTGCCGGGGAAGTGAGCGTGTTGACGATGTCTCTTTGATGAGAGAGGTGTTCGCCGAGTGCCCGACGAGATTGCCGATAGCGACGGTCTCGGGTTTCGGTCGGATAGATGGGACGCATCGCGAGCCTCGTTCGGAGAGACGCGACGCTTGGGGTTTGGCGACGCCAGATCTGTTCGATGCCAGATCATGCCGGGTTTTCCCATACGCAGGCTTCGTAGGTGTGGTCCAGATCACCGTGAAATATCTCAAAGTCACTGATTTGATTCCACAGGTCAACCTCTCTGGGGACGTTCTATCCGACATCGCCATCATTTCACCACTTAACCTCACTCGGCCCTAGTGTCAACTATCCACGCCGCTCGAAAGGGTACAGTCTCAGCGGATCATGCAGCTGGAATCGTGAACAGTCTTATATGGTCTAGACTTTATGTACAACTACGGCAGCAAAATGCTAAGCTATGCTTATGAGGGGAAAAGTGAGAAACGCAGCCGCCCGCTCTCCACTCCATCATTACATACAAACAATACTTCAAGACCGTCATTGCATACAGCCCACGCGCTCATGCCTAAAGGAGCTGCCACAGGTATTTACACACACACACACGCATACACACGGAACCGAAACGACAGACTAGCCTCCGAGTTCAACTCTGAGAAGGCTCGGATGCTCACGCGCCGGCAGGGGGAGCAGCGGGCGCGGCAGCCGCCATCATTGAGGCGGCGAACTGGGCGGCCTCGTCGGCATCGTTACCGTAGGTCAAGTGCGCGCGGCGGATCTGGTTGCCGCCCTCGCAGATGTTGTCGCCGTTGTGGCAGATGACCTTGGTCTTGGAAGCGTCGACGCCCTGGACGGCCTGACCGTTGACTACATCACATTCACCAGTCAGCCTCATATTTCTCTCGCATGTTTATGTACTCTCGTACGGCAACTTACGCGGATCACCGAAGATCACAACACCGGCAACCTTGGCCACCATATCCGCCGGCATCATCGCCGCGCCGTTGTGCACGAGCTGGCCGCCCTGGGAGTACCCGGACATGATGACGGCCGAGTTGGGGCAGTTGGTGATGGCCTGCTGGGTGAGGGTGGCCATCTCCTGGGAGCCGTTGGCGTCGCCGCCGGCCAGGAAGCCCGGGATGTCGGCCGGGTACTCGACGCCCTGCACGGCGAGGTTTCCGCCGACCTGGGTCGCCAGGGACTGGAAGAAGGGCGGGCCCGCGATGGTGCCGACGTTGCCGCCCTCCGTGGTGCCGCGGGCGAAGACGACGATCATGTTCGCGCACTGGCCCCCTTGCAGGCCGTTCTGCGTGTTGGCGGAGAAGTCGGCCTGGCGCGGTGAGATGTTGACGGGGGAGGACGTCGCCGTGCCCAGCATGGCGAGGAGGGCTGCTGCTGTTGTGCGATGCATCGTGAGGTTTTGGTGTGGTGATTATTACTATGGAGGAAGTACTCGGGGCTAGGTTAACTTTGGATAAATGGGCGGGTAGAAGATGGTGGTGGACATCAAAGCATTCTTATACCGGGCATGAGAAACATCTTTCTCCCACGCATCCCACGCCTTCCACATACCGATATGGACACCTCCGGAAGTTCAGGCCGCCGCGGAAGATTAAGCTTCTTTTCCTCCTCGCTTACTACGGTAATCTACCCCGTATGATGCCTTGCTGCTCCAGGGCAGCTTCAGGTACCGCAACCTCATCCCAATGCGGAAACGAGGGCGGACCAGAAGGCAGGGACTTCACGTGGGACGGTAGCACATCAGCCTGATCCCGACACAGGACGGGCAGGGACCCGGTCTCCCATGGTGATCGACCGGCGCGAAAAGAGACTCAGGGGCCCGCAAGCTTAACCCAACGATGGGACGTGGACCCCTGGAAGCTTGATCTGCCTTGCTGGGCGCGGGCTGAAGGACTTCTCGACGATCTGGAGGTTGACGAGATGCGTTCGGGGCCGGATCAACACGCGGAACGGGATGCGATTGGGGGAGACCGTTTGGATCCGTTTCATGGGTGTGGCCGGTCTGGTCTGTTGCATGGGAGAGGAATTCGAAACAACGGGCGGGCTGTGCGCGAGGGCGGATGGGGAGGCCACCGAGCTTCTTTCCTGCCAGAGTTACACGCGGTGTGTTTTGGTGGGCTGAAAAGGTCAGACTTCGGGGAGGAGAAGGAGACGGAAAGATGGGACGGTCGTGCAGATTTCGCGCTGGTGAACCAATGTGGAAGTGCTCCGCTGCGGCAGATGGCAGGTCTCTGACAGCGCTTTGTTGGCTGTCTGATGTTGTGGGCGAGTGGTTGTCGTCTCGAGTCTCGATGGGAAAGATCTTGTTGCGTGCACATTAGAGTACGTTACCCGATGGCGAGGTTGACGCGCATAGTCGGCTGGCGTGGGAGGTCTGGAAGTTGTCCGATTTCTGTCGACGTTGTTCCGTCTGGCCGGTTGCCAAGATCATCTCGAGTTTCTTGGGACTGGGTTGACGTCGACGTGTCCGGAGTCTGTGTCGGGGAAGATGCGGTGATGGCATATCGGTGCCGATGCGCTGGCTCGGCGAAGGGTGATGGAGTTCGTGTTCGGTTTTATTATGGGTGACTCGCAATGACATCCCGGTAGTACTTCAAGGAAGTTCACAGACCTAAGATCCATATCTAAGAGGCAGACCACTCTGCACCAGAGAGAGAACGTGCTGAGAATTAGAGTGCTGACTGTGTCTGGGCGAGGGAGCAGCCAGGGGAATCGTGAATGGAGATGATGGTCACCGAGAAATGTTTCGTCACACCGAGAATAAAGAGCCACGGAATTAGGTTGAAAGAAACATGCGGGATTCACGCCGCCAAGGGGAAACGTCCGGAAGATCGGCCCCCGTATCGCGCTAGGGACGGGAGCTTAATCAGGTCGATCCACCATCTCGAGATCACGTACTCAGGTAGCTTTTGCTGCCCATGTTTCTGAGTGTTTACTCGGCTGTCAATATCGGCTATGGGTTACGTGAAAGACTATGATATCACAGCGCGAGCCTCAAGGTGATCTTGGTTGTTTAAGCCGAAAGATGAGTTCTGAAGTCAACTCAAGTTATCTTAGTCATACAACGTTCACACCAGAGTGAATCCAGTTTGGTGTGATTCGTGGAAGTCTAGAAGTGAAAGACACCGGTTCTATCCCAAAGGAGTCGAGACAGATATCTTTAATCATTAAACGAGATAGATTCCAAAGCTCCAATAACTCTGAGGTATCGAGTAGAATACCATGAGCAAGTAGTGAATTTCAGCCAGACGACTCGGCTGACTATTAAACTTAGGTTGAGCTAGTAATATGTCAGTGTGAAACCAGGCAAAGCTTAGATATGGCCGTCAATCTTGTGAGTGGCAATCAATGACAGTTGGATGGCATTTTCTCCTCCCGTACTATATGATCAGCAAATATTCCCGAGAGAAAACTAAGAATGGAGTTTTATCACAAGATAACAAAGAAATTAACGTAATTCGCTTGTTTTGCTGCTGCCGCGAAGACGATGTAAGCAGAACTGGCACACAGGTTGCCTTTCACAAGACTTAAGACGTTGCTGTGACCGACATCGAACAGAAACATTGACTCCGATGTTCATATTCACAAACTTGACTATATATGGTCAAGAAACATGACCTATTTACATGGGGAGTTCAGGTAAGTGTCCAGTCTTCTCAACGCTCAGTTTCTTATGAGCAAAATCGCCATGCGATGAGCTAATACGGTGCTATCCGAAAGCCTCTTGCAAGACTGACCACGTGGGTATCGGGTCGTCAGATATTGAAGCAGGGTTGTGGACCCTCCCTGTCGCCGTGCGGCGTGGAAGATCAAAGTCAGGTAAACCTGTCACCATCAAACATCGCACCAAGCCAGGATCTTTATCGAAGATATGCAGGCTTTTCTGTTTGCTTCAGTCAACTCCATGATGATTCGCGCAAACCCCTCCATGCCCACACCGGGGACCTCGACGCGGGCGCGTGTATGCGTGTTGGTGCCTGTTGCAGCTGCAAGCCAAGAAGAGGGGGGGCCGGGGATCATGGCCGTTTCCCAAATTCGAAGACCTTCATTTACCCCGCCTCTGCCATCTTTCCAGCTGTTTTTTGAGACTGTTGTCTCTTTCTTCGACGTTCGGGTATCACCACTGGAACACGTCCACCATGGCCCACCCCCAACACAACCCCGAAGTTGTGATCGCTGTCGACGAGGAGGTAAGATTGACCTCAGAAGTTACTGTTTCAGCCTTTTCAGCTAAGATTTACGGCAGGTTGACGATGCACGATCGGAAGTTGGAAGCGTAAGTTAGCACTTCCATTTTCTTTTCGCGGAATAGCTCCTCTGATCCACAGCACTAATGCCCATGGAAACCTGAAGAGTCTTGCTTCATCGAGCACCAGTTTGCGAAGCTCACTCCGCGATTACCGCGAAGAAAATGGCCGGACGTACCACGTGTATAAAGATGGCAGTAGGTCCGCACCACCAGGGCATGACGCATAGCTATTAACTCAGTCGTCAGAATACAACCTTCCAAACGACGCGAGAGAGAAGGACAGATTGGGTAATTCGTTATGCAAGTCTTACGAAGAAATTCACTAACACCGTGAGCAGACCTTGTTCATCAGACATGGCTTCTTACTCTGGACGATAGGCTTGGTGTTGCCCCTCCTTGCAAGGAAAACAGTACCGTTGGTCGTGTCTTAGACGTCGGCACGGGAACAGGCATATGGGCCATGAATTTCGGCGACGAGCATCCGGAGTCTGAGGTAAGCTACAATTCGGGCACTTTGTTTCCGGGTTATGAACAGTAGACTTTCAATGGCTAACAGTCGTGCAGGTCTATGGAAATGACCTCTCTGCCATCATGCCGGGACAGTGAGTGACTTCCGATCAGACATGATCGAAGTTAACAGTAAGGCGATGCTGACACGCATTCTAGTGTGCCTCCTAATGTGAAGTTTGAAGTCGACGACATCGAGGAGGAATGGACCTGGTCGCGACCCTTCGAGTATATCCATAGCCGACTTATGACATCAAGCATCAGCGACTGGCCGCTGTACTTGCGGAGATGTTTTGAGTAAGCCTTCACTACCCTCTTAGTCTTCAATGTCTGGCCGCTGGCATAAACTTGCTTCTCCTCTATGGCATAGAACAATGACTAACCTCTCTCGCTCTTGTTCCAGCAACCTTGAGCCCGGCGGCTATCTCGAATTACAGGAAATGGACCTATTCCCCAAGTCAGACGACGGCACCCTCAAGCCAGAAAGCGACTTTCTGAAGTGGGCCAATCTTCTTTATGAATCCTCGGTCAAATTCGGCCGTCCCTACGTCCAGATGTCTACCATCCGGAATTACATGGTCGAGGCTGGCTTCGAAGACGTGAAGATGGACGTCTACAAATGGCCCTCCAATTCCTGGCCCAGGGACACCAAATTCAAAGAGCTTGGTATCTGGAACAACGAACAAGTGCTCGAGGGCCTTGAGGGGTTTACCATGGCGCCCTTGACGCGCGCATTGGAGTGGACACCTGCTGAGGTGAACGTGCTGCTCATGAATGTCCGCAAGGATGTCAACAACAGAGCTATCCATGCGTATTGGCCGATGTAAGTGCGAATTGTGGTTATTATAAATACACATACACTAACTAGGTGTCAGGTACTGTATCGTTGGTCGTAAACCGCAAAAGACGAGCCAAGCGACAGCTAAAGCTTGACAGGACAATGAAGTGGCTCGTGATCAAAATTGAGAAAGTGGTCTGTGGCGTATGAAATCAGTTAAGAGTCACGAAAACGTGAATGGACACATAGTCCACTATTCCTAATATTCTAAATACGTAAGGTTTTCACCGTGGTATTATGGCTGAGTAGTCTTAGCGTGACCATGATTTAAATTTGATGAGGACATTTCGGCGAGAGCGTAATGACTGCAAGCCATCACAGTATGCCGTCGTGACGGGGACCCCACAGAGAACGGGTACTGTTTCCTGAAGGGACTTCAACCGCATGCACTTCTCAGACCCCGGTACTTCAGCTCCATAAGTTTCTGCTCCATGTAAGTACAGCCTCGAAAGCCAAGACTTCACGCGGGCGTCTCTATGCATGTTGGTGCATGTTGGAACTGTGGACCAAGAAGAATGGTCGGAAATGGTGTCCGCCTCCGAAAGCCAGGTATATATTACCCCGCGCTCTTTTCTCCTCTGGCTTTTGGGTTGTCTTTCTGTTCATTCTCAGAGAGTTTCAGTGCTATCTTTCCACCTTGATTTTGCGATTCACCTAAGCCCGCCACCATGTCTCAAGATATGCCCGCTGCTCTACTCGTGGTTGATGAGGTAATTAAGTTCTGTTGTGCTTGGTCATGGGCTGAGATGACTTTCAAATATCCTAACTATCTTCCCAGGAGACAGATGATGACCGTTCCGTCATCGGAAGCGTATGGCCAAGCCCCTTCTTCCTTGGCGAGAACTGCGTCGTTGATGAATGAGGAAACAGAGTCTTGCCTCGTCGAGCACGAGTCTACGGAACAGCCTCCGCGACTACCGACTGGAGAACGGGAGAACCTATCACCGTTACAAGGATGGCAGTAAGTCCAGTCTTTGTAGCAGCCATATTCGCACAAGCCGCGTTTACTTACATTGAATTATCAGAATACAGCTACCCAAATGACGAACAGGAAAAAGACAGGCTTGGTAAGATCCTCGTTGATGCAGAAAGAGCCGTCGACTGAGCTGCTTAGATCTCCAACATCAAATCTGGCTGTTGAGTCTCAATGACAGACTGGGTGTCGCACCACCCTGCCAGGTGGGTGCCAAAGTTGGCAGAGTCCTAGATGTTGGGACTGGCACGGGTATCTGGGCTCTTAATTTCGGAGACGAGCATCCAGAAGCGGAGGTAACAGAACGATTCTTGGCAGGGTGATTATTGTGCTCAACTGTATTTCAGGTCTTAGGGAACGACCTGTCACCGATCATGCCGGGCTAGTAAGTATTTGGCCACCAATGAGTCGCAGATATGTTGATGGAGCTGACAGCGTCATTCAGTGTGCCTCCCAACGTCAAGTTTGAAGTTGACGATATTGAAGAAGAGTGGACGTTTTCACGACCGTTTGAATATATCCACAGCAGGGTGATGACTTCGAGTATTGATGATTGGTCGGTGTATCTTCGCAGATGCTATGAGTAAGTCGAGCAATCCTCTTACGAGTGCTTCCTTCTTATACGCAGACTGACAGTATGGGGAAGCAACCTCGAACCAGGTGGTTACCTTGAGCTCCAAGAGATCGACATCTTCGCCAAGTCGGATGACGAGACGCTCAAGACTGACAGTGCTCTTAACAAATGGTGCAACCTAATCCATGACGCTTCGGAGAAGCTGGGTCGTCCCTTTATCAGCGTTGCTACTCTGAAAGCCCTCATGATCGATGCTGGATTCCAGGATGTCACCGTGACGACTCTCAAATGGCCCACAAATGGCTGGCCGAAGGATCGGACACACAAAGAGCTCGGGTACTGGCAGAACGATAATATTTTGGCTGGAGCCGGAATCGAGGCCCTTTCGTTGGCTCCGCTGACCAGGGCTTTTGACTGGTCCCGCGCGGAAATCGAGGTCTTCCTCATCGATGTTCGCAAGGACATCAATAACCGGGCTATTCATGCGTATTGGCCAGCGTAAGCTTTTTCCTCTGCTCGGCTCTTTTGCAGTTTCTGACGTTGACAAAATCCAGTTGCTGTGTCGTTGGCCGAAAGCCACTGGAAGAAGACAAACAAGCCGAAGCTTGATCTCATGTCGGGGGTGCGCATTTCACCAAGGCCGGCTAGCCGGAAGGTTTTATGGCATGGCTGGCATGCTTGTCTCACACAGTCTTGCCTTTGGGATTGCGGCTCACATCATGCGGAAACAAAGTAGTCACGCGGAGGTACATGTTAGGTGGAAGGGGTACTCTGTGTTCGTCCAGGGATATTTATATACTGCCAAACAAGATAACCTAGCCTCGGCTTGCTTCTCACCTCAAATGAACGCTTCGCTGCTCACGTTCAGGGAATCTACGTCTAAGTTTCGTCAGGTTTTGAACGCCGGTGCCAAATGATTAATTACATCAAAACTCGTTGCACAATGCCTCTCATGAGCGGGTGACAGCAATAGCCTCCTCGAGGATGTCCAGACCCTGCTGGATCTCCTGCTCGGTGATGGTCAGAGGAGGGACGAAACGCAGGGTGTTGGTGCCGGCAGTGATGATCAGGAGACCGCGCTCGCGGGCCGCCTTGACGATCGGGGTAGGATCCTGGGTGAGCTGGAGACCCAGGATGAGACCGCGACCGCGGACCTCCTTGATGAGATCCGGGAAGCGCTGGCGAAGAGAATCGAAGCGGGTCTTGAAGGTGGCGGCCTTAGCGGAGACGGCCTTCTGCAGGCCGGGGTCGGCAAGACGGGAGACGATGTTGTGGGCCAGGCGGCAAGCAAGGGGGTTACCGCCGAAGGTGGTGCCGTGATCGCCGACCTTGATCTTCTCGGAGACGTTCTGGTTGACGATGGTAGCGCCGATAGGGAAGCCGTTGCCGAGAGCCTTGGCGGTGGTGATGATGTCGGGGTGGGCCTCCTTGGGCAGGTGGGTGTGCGCCCAGAAGGTACCGGTGCGGGAGAGACCGCACTGAATCTCGTCGTAGATCAAGACGGCGCCGACCTCGCGGCAGCGCTTGGCCAGAGCAATCAGGAACTCGTCGGTGGCAGGGGTGACTCCGCCCTCGCCCTGGATCGGCTCGACGATGACTCCGCAGGTCTTCTCGGTGACGGTCTCGTTGATGGCGGAGATGTCGTTGAACTTGCCGAGCTTAAAACCGGGCAGCATCGGCGCAAAGGGCTCCTGGTACTTGGGGTTATGCGTGGCAGACAAGCTGCCCATGGTACGGCCGTGGAAGGCATTGTTGAAAGAGACGACTTCGAACTTGTCGCCCGAGGGTTGGCTGACCTTGGCCGCCTTGCGGGCGAACTTGATGGCGGCCTCGTTGGCCTCGGAGCCGGAGTTGCAGATGAAGACCGAGTTGGCGTCGTGCATGGCGCCGGCCTCGAGGGTCTTCTCGACCAGGAGCTTGGAGAGGGCGCCGGTCCAGGGGTTGTAGTACAAGTTCGACGCATGCATGAGAGTGCTACCCTGTTTGTGGGCAAGCCTGTTAGTGACTGCGCAAAATGACTCAACAGCGGCCGCCTCTCGGAGTTACTACGCACCTGCTCGGTCATGAGCTTCGTGATCTCGGTATCGCAGTGGCCCAAGGCGTTGACGGCGATACCAGCGGTGAAGTCGAGGTATTGCCTGTTCTCGATATCCCAGAGAAGAGAGCCTTGGCCCTTCACGAATACCGGCGGCGGGCGGGCATAGGTGGCCACCATGTAAGGCGCATGTTCGCGAACGAGAGTAGCGCTCGGGGAGTCTTCGGTGGGATCGGGGTTCGGTACGGAGGCTTCCTTCTATATCAACCGGTAAGAAAGAGTTCACAAAATAGCTCACGATCTCGTCGAACAACGACTCACGTTGATGTTGGTCTTGACGTCCTCGGGAAGACTGGAGGCAGCGGCTGTCGCAGAAGACAGCGCACGGGCGTGGAAACGAGAAGAGACGGCCAGCAGCGGCTGACACTTGGTCAATTGAAGTCGCAAAGGAGCACGGAACGCCATTTTGATATCGTCAAGGGCAAACGAGGCACCGGAGTAAAGAAAGGTGGTGAAGAAGGAGAAGATCAATGGTAAAATTTGGGCCGTTCGCGCATGGATTGACGGAGGGTGACTCGTCAATTGTCTTATCGATAAGGCCATAGCGTCCCGGTGTTTGGAGGGGCAGCTCCACTCGGACCGGAGGTACGTAGCTTGACGCCGGGGCCGCCTCCGATCTCGGGCCCAGCCATCACATTTCGGATGACCCTCACTTTCGCCAGCATATCCTGGAACGTCACTCATATCATCTCGTGGCATCCACCAATATCGAGGGCTCTGTGTGAGTTCTGTTGACATTCTCTTTTGACTTTTGAGATTGCAGTTGAGCTCATGGTAATTCAGAACGTGATCTGGCCATGAGCTACATGAAGTCTAGCAAAGTACGAACGTCCGAAGATATACACACAGTTCTATTAAACTCATGAAAACTAGCGTTCATTTCATTCCTCGACCTCTGCCTCGGGCTTTTGGGCATACACCACATGACTAAAACTCCTATTAGATAAGGTCGCATCAGTCCGCAGAAAAAAATACTCACAACTCGATAAGGGCATGGAAAACCTTCGACTTCATCTCATTACGGCATTGCGCAAAGAGCACCATGGCCTCCTCTTTCGTCCAGCCAAGGCTTCCTGTAAACAGCCTTAAATTGAAGGCTTCCAAGCCGTCAAGAACTTGAACGAGGTTCATCTGCCCGATTTCCTTCAGATGCGGCTCCTTCGCCCAGGAACCCAGCGGGATCTTGACCTTCCTATGGACAATATTCGTAAACCCAGCATCTTCGAGCCACCGGGGGAGAAGGGGGCCAGGGCAAGGCTCCCTGCCAATCTGTCTGCAGATGTCAATAAACATCTTGGTCATCTTCAATGTCTGATGATCGTCGGTTAGTGAGCCGTCGTCAGAGCGGTAGAGCAGATCCCAGTCCTGAAATTCTACCCAGCCCCCAGGATTGGTGTTTCTGAGTCGGCGGTCAGCTTTTACTTCAGCTAGTACGGCACTGGTGTAGAACGAACTGAAAGGTGCTCTCTACAAGCTTCGGCCAATCTTTGATGGCGCCAGCCATCGATCTGCTGAAGATGAAGTCGTATTTGCTCCCGACCCATGGGCTCTCGACGTCGTCAACCTCGAACTTGACGTTTGGCGGAACCCTGTCGCGGTTAGGAAATGTACAGAGACGTCTTTTCTGTGAGAGCTCTGCATGAGCAATTACCAGTTCGTCTGAATAGGGCTGAGATCGTTCCCAATGACCTGCTTGAGGTGTCAGTTTACATGACACTCAATTATTAGAAGTTGAGCGTGACCTCAGCATTTGGGAATAGTTCTGCGATTTGAACAGCCCCTATGTTACTTTAGCTGCTGTGTACAAGGAGACTGGAACAAGTTGCACGAACATATCCCAGTCCCAGTTCCAATGTCGAGGATCCGGTGAATCTTGTCTTTCTCCAGGGGAGCGTGGTGAAGTTTGCCGCCGACGGCTTTGATGAGAAATGCAGACATGAAGTCAAGCCGATCGAGCTCAGACTTCCCATGAAGGTCAGCGATGTAAGCCCACTAAGAGGCGGCATCAGGTCACATCAGTTACCTCGTCATTAGGACCATAGTATGCTGGTTTTTCACGCATCGTCAGCACTTTTCAACAGCAAGTCTCATGCTCTTCTGCTCGTGAGCTTGCTTACCTCCAGACCTGAAGGCATGGTAGCGTCGACCATGTTCAGTCGGGTAGTTGACTACGCTGGAGGTAAGCGAAGCTGTGTATGCCGAGATGGAGCTACGTAATTAGCTTTTATATGCCGTGATCGTTGTGGAAGGTCTTACAGCTGATCGTCCAAGACTGAGTCATTGTCCGCCACCTGGGTCAAGTTAGAAAAGTACGATGTTTGGAATCTGACCAACATGAGAAAATAGGACTGACAGTGTCATCAACCTCAATACCGGCCTGCGCAGACGTTGGCTCCGATGATTCCGCTTCCGTTGGCGAGGCAGTCTTCGATTTAGCCGGCGAGGCGGTGTTTGATCGCAATGGACCCGATCCGGCTTTCGCGTCGACAGGGGCTGCTGACGATGCAGGCGTTTCTGACATGTCGGCCATGTTGGGTATATTTTGTGTCATTGAGAGTGAAATATCTCAACACTATGGGGTCGGATGGCATGGAAGACAGGAAACTTATGAAAGAGGGGTGGGGAGCAGCATGCGTGGCTTTTGTACCTTTGGACCAACAGTCTTTCGAAACAGGTGTTGGCCCAAGGAATTATTTCTGCACGCCAAGCATGGAAGCACACATTCTATCCGATCTGGAACCTAATTCTCGTATCTCCCAGAGCCAACGGCTAGTTATTGGTTCCCGTCTCAGTGGGGGCTTTTACTGTTGCGCTGGATATTTGATGCGCATCATAGGGGGACAATAGGAAATACCGCGTTTCGTTGCCCCTGGTATTCATGAAGGAATCTCATATGCATGAATGAAGAAGGCCCTGTTTCCTCCTACATATGAGCGCTTGCACGGAAAGAGATATCATAGTAAACCAGACAATGATCGCGTCAGTTATGATGCTGTCACATTCATGTTTGGAACTGCTATAAACTCAGACAACGTCAAGTATTGACTCCAAATAACCCTGGATCCGACTCTTGATCATGCAAATCTGGAGAAGCGAGAATGACCTCGTGCGACTAAACGCCAACGAAAACACCTTCCTGATCCGGCATGCATATCATGCTGGCTGGTACACCATCTGGTTGGTGGGTTTAGTGCCAACAGTTGATATCTCGGCAATGGAAGTCAACACGACGCAGCGTCACAAATTTGGGGGAAGTCGGGTTTCTATGTTACTTAAGTGTAAAAGTTCGATTGTGAAAAGAGAAAATTCCGCGAACTGGAGGCTGATCACACCTTCAGTTGCAAATGACTGACTATGAACATAAACAATAATCACCCCTGAGATACCCATCTCCCTGGCTGGTGGCTGACTACTATGAGAGCAGTTAAGGCCCAAAGTCTAACCGCCATATCATTTGATTCGTGATGGCTTTTCTAAATGACTGTGTGGGTACACTCTTCCATCTAGGAGTGCGTCAAACGGAAGCAGTTGATCGCCTGTGAGTTGAAGCAGCCAACTAAGTGATGTGTTAATATAAGTACGGTTTTGAATGACGAGAAATACATACTTGGAGTGTTCTTTCCAGCACTGTACAGGTACTTCCCACACCAGTCACTGCCGGAGAGCCTGCTGAAGTCAAGCTGCTCGTTGCTACGAAGACCGCGGTAGCTGATGCCGACCGAGAACATGTTGAGGTTGACGACGTGTTGGTTGCCGTAGATCACGTTGTCAAACCAACCGGCCTGGCCGGTGCCTATTGAAAAGACATTAGAACTTGCAGTTTTGGGACATTGACAGCTGAGCAGATGAGACGACTAGTCACTTACACCCATCTTGGGCGAACATGCCGATGCCAATGTTGGCCCACTCCTGGCGCTTTTCGATCTCAGAGCGAGTCTCCTCGCTGTTGCCGAGATCGATCTGGGCACGAATCCAGGCCCATGCCTTGGAGCCTGGCTCCGCGCTGTAGTGGCCATCAGCGACCTTGACAGCGTCATCAGGAATGGTGCCGTAAACATCGACTCCCATGGCGGTTGCGTTGGTGATGGACTCCGCCACTTCAGCACGCTCGACGATGGGACTGGGTGCGGCAAGAATCGTACCAGCAGCCATGAGGCTGGCAGACAGAATGAAGGCGGAGAAGTGCATTTTGAGATGAGAATTGTAGAAAGGAAGTTCTTGGTGTTGTTTGGGAGTTGTGTCTTAATGGAATGAACTGAAGAGAGTGAAGAGGAGAGATACATCATGAAGGGGCTTTTGGAACTACTTTATATCCCGTTGATCGATGCTCGTTAGCACGCTTCCTCGTAACTAGGTACGCTTCTAGAATCAAAATACAGGGGTACCCTTCGTCTGGCCCATGAACCTTCAGACATGATTATTGTACCAGATACTAAGTTGTTATGTACATTCCAGCCAGCAAGAACTTCGTTGATTCAGTTAGAGACTATGTGTTGGATCGAAGATTTAGGCTGATAAGCTACGTATTGCCTACTTCATCACGACAATTTAAGAGTACTCGTTACAGCCAAGCTGAAGCTGTGAAGTACGTCTCAGAGGCAAATTCTGGTCAAACTATCAAGACTGATCTTGATCTGTAAGCATTGATGACAACGTCACAGCAAGAGAGGCCTCAGACTACAAGAGATTGTCCATAATCGAATTGACGACAGCGGAATTCCGCATCACATACTAGGCAGCAACATTGATTTCAACTCCCGACCGTATCTTGCAGCTTCTAACCTGATTTGCTCAGACTCTGAGGCTCATGCGGATGATGATTGACATCGCGGCCGCAGATCCCGCATGGAAAGGCGCGCCCGTTAAACAATTTCGTCAATAAACGGTGAGCTTAACTCAAGGTAGGCTATCTGGGGTTACATCGAGGAGCCATGTCAAAGAGCGCAACCTACCAAACACAGCTAAGCATGGTCGTATACTATGCAAACTCTTAGAACCATAGTTTAGCTGAGGGCAGACATCCATTTTTCTACGTCATCTGTCACACGAACGAGAAGTAGACATCGCTTTCTGGGCTTCCGAATTAGTAATACTGAACACAAATTGGCGAACGAGACCTCTGCAGAGATATCGGGATCTAACGCTGTCATAGAAGCGGAATTCCGGACAGCGCTTGAGGCATTTGTGAATAGTGCGCTTGAATAAGACGAAACAAGCAGGAGGCGTGTGGACAACTGAGTAATCGTAGTTGGAAGACAACCCAACTCCCCTTTGACTATGCTCAGCGAGTTAGGCTCCTGCCTAATACGGTGCACCACGTGGTCATGACAGCCATAGAACGAGAGTTGAAGCGGGATTTTAACCAACTGTTGCCACCAATTTGGTAGCCTAGTTTCTGTTTCGCACCTTAAGCATCCAATGTGGATGTCAAGCGTCAGCTGCAGTTAGGTTCCATTGCAGTCTGACTTCCCGCTTTATGCCCGCCAAATGGTAGAAGTTGCTTACCGTAATCGGTCTCACGTCGTACAGGAATCAATAGGAAGGCGTGTAAGCTTACTGCGCCGGATGGAGTTAAGAAAACGCGGCTTCATTGGTTGATTTATGTCATCACGTCGACTTGATGCCGCAAAACCTCCGCATGAAACCCGCACTCCGCAAAGACTCAAGCTCTCAACACCACAAGCTGACCAGTAGCCATGGGTCCAGAAGTTTTAGACATATTTTGGAACGGACAAGATCACTTCTTAGATGAATTGATTTCTTTTTCTTTTCTTTTTGAGCGTCTGCACCCATTTCTGTCCACAAATATGAGTTACATGCGGCGTGTTAGCACGATTTTCAGCGCTCCAGAAAGCGAGAAAAAAAAAGACACTGGCTGCATTCGTTGCAAACTAAAATTGAAATCGCGGTCATGGCCCAGGGCCCAGGATTTGTCCCAAAAGTCCCTTAATCGAAGATGCAGTGCGCAAAAGCCGGTGTCGGATTGGATTTACTTCGTTGGCGCCTGAAGAGAGACATCAGAGAGGAACACTAAGTCTAATATCAAAGGGAAAAAGTAAATAAGTAGTGACCAAGATGAACAGTAAGCCCGAAAAAGGCCTTTGCAATAAACCTCACGGAGCCCTGCTGAGAAGCTGCCTGTTCAACACGACTTCCGGCTTCCTCCGAGCCAGCTAGGCATCGCACATTTAACTCTATGTCGTTTGAGACGAATGGGTTGAAGACGTAGGTTCTAGACCATTCGACCTTTACATTGCGGAAGAGTCTCGTCATTTGCCAGTGGACAGTGCAAGACGTCGGTCGTTTCAACTTGAAGAAGTAATTATCACTGGAGCTCAATGTGACGTGGAGCCGGCGCAGCACTGAGGATCATGCCCACCTCGCCAAGCTAAAATGGTCAAACTTCTGTGGAATCGTCAGCCCATCCGGAAGCTTCAGTTACGACATCCGAGGCAGGCCTTTGTTTAAGAACGTTACTCGGGAATGTTGGGTTTCCCACTTTCCCCCACAATGTGTGGACATGCGATGAACTTCGCAGGAGTTTGACTCAACTCCAGGCTGGAATTTGACCGCCGTCAAAACCATACGAAGGTATCATTTTCTGTTGGGGGTCTGCTAAAAAGGCTCATCGCACAGACATTCGGTATGTGGGAGTTCGGCATCCCACATCACCTCATGGGCAGCGAGCCAACAACTCAGATAGCCGAGGGTAATTTCACAGCGGGAAGACGCGAGTGAGGATCATCATGGAATTCTCCCTAGGTATCGGATGCAACATGAACACACGGATGTGGGACCCAGCAGGACTTCCAGTCTGCAGGCGGGTAAGTTCGGCTTGTGTCCGTCGAAAGCATGCAAACAGCTTGCTCCTGGCTTCACACGCCATCGAATGTGAAGACGATGTGTGGAACTGACTGTTACTTTGACGCACAAGAAAAGCTCTCATTACTGACAAGCCTGCCTGGAGGTAAATGGGTATTTGGAAAGAAGAAAATGGTATCTCCATGCTGAAATGCAGTGCTCAACGCCCTCCCTTTACCATGCTTCATGTACACGCTGAGGACGCTGCTCCACAAACTGACTCGTCCTATCCTCAGTGGTAACCTCGATCTCGTTTGATACCACAATTCCGTTGGGAGGTTTGCTGCCCGGTGTCGGTGATACTGAACTGCCTTTGATATCCTGTAATTTGACGTCCTTCATGATTCGCTCCTCGCTCTCCGTAAACGTCGCGTTCGTGGTGATAGCATTCGCGCTGGATGGATTGGTCCGGCGGTCGTAGCTGCGAGGCCCGTATTGTCCGTTGCCGCCGCCAATAGTTTGAAAGCCCGTTGGTGTCTTGTAGGTCTTCTTTGAGGATCGCAACATGCTGGGCCAGAGGGGCTTAAGCCATGTCCGTAGTAGAGGGAAGATCATCGGAAGATTCGTTGTAACAACGGCGACGAACGTTTCGCGTGTACCCCAGGTACCAGCAAGTTGGGCGCCATTTACAGGATCCTGTGAGAAGTAGATATCAGCAACTTGCCAGCGAGAAGGAAGAGTGTTAGCTGAACACATTCCAACTTACCACTAATACAAAAATGCTTTTCAGTGTTGCGCACACCAGCACGAAGATACCGGCACCAAGGACGATAGTTGATGCAATCTTCTTGATGAGTTTCAGAGTCGACTCCCAAAGTAGTGGAATCGGAATCAAGATGAGGTAGATATCCGTCGACACGTTTGCGGCAAACGAGGTCCAGATGATCGGCAAAGAAACAGCGGCTTGGCAGGAGTCTGGAAAATCATACTTAGTAATGGCGGCTTCAACTGGCTTACGTATGGACGTGACTTACTGCCGGGGTCGGGGTTGATCTGCCAGTACTTGTTGAACGGAATACAAGCGAGAAAGACAGAGCCGAGTGACGCGATGAACGTTCCGAGAACCAATCCAAACCCAATCCAAATTCGAATTCGGTAACGGCGACCAAGGCCCTCCTTCACAGTTGTCAGCTAACACATCCAAAGGGTGATGATCTCGGAATACCATGCTTACTGTAAGCCGTAAGTAGAAGCAGAGCATGGACAACTTAAGTAGCCAGATCAGCGCAGAGTAAGTCGTCCAGCCAGCAACCTGGATTTTGGATCCGATGATTCTAATTCCATATTCGGGATCCGAGGTGGACAATGCTACGCGCTCAGCATCTGTCATGCCATTGTTGGCCAGACCATGGGCGATGTTGCCAACCTCATACGCCAAGGTTGATTGGATAGTGTAGAAGATCTAAAAAGATTGGGATCAGCAATGAGCTTTGTCGAGGTAACGTCTTAAGACCGCATGGGATATAAAGTGGACATACAGCAGCAGCAAAGGCTAGGTAGTCATCGGCTCGGAAATTTCGGAAGCCTACGGCCTTGACTCTTGCAAACATCCGGAGGAATGTCACCACCATACCAATGGCATACAGAGTCCAAGCCTCAATTGTCATCCGGCGAGCCGCTTCGGCAGCAGCTTGTGCGGCGGCCAGCGCCGCCGGGTCGAGAGCGGCATCACTCGACGACATCCCGCTTGAACGTGTGGTGTCTTTGTCAGTCGGATGGGCAAGCGGCTTGATAAGATCGGCGAAAGTTGCGAGAAGAGTAAGCGAGCGGAAAGACAAAAGCTCTTTGGGAACCCCATCTGTACAAATATTCGGCCCATCCACAAAGGGCAAAAGCAGAAACAGAAACAGGGCCAAAGTTAAAACGGCTGGTTGTTTGACTCAGGGTCTATGATCCGGCACTACTGCAGCGAGTGTGATGGAGGCTCTATCACCGAAAACCGAAGAACAGGCTTAAACGTGGCAAGTGAGAGCGTAAAGTTGCAATAACTGCGACGTTCCCTGATTGAGACTCGGGAGGGGTAGATTTCTCACTATGTGCAAGGCGACAGAGCTATGGATTCAATGTTTACCAGGGCCCCGGCAGCCTTGGGTTGCTGCATGACTCCATCTCCGAGATGCGACGTCGTGAACCAAAGTCTGTATCAGGGGCAGAGAATAAACGCAAGTGACAGCTGATGCAGCTAAGCTATAACGATCCCCTGAATCTAAGGACTTGTTCATCGGACTAAGGCCGAGTTTGGTGAATAAGGCGTGTCTAACTATTCTAAACGCGAGCTTTGAAGCTACACAGACCGTAGATGTTGCAATTCGACAAGCCTTTCCGGTAAGGCATCCGGATTTCCCTTCGGGATTCGAGTTCCATCCTGTGAACTGGGAGGGGCGACGCGAATACCTCGCAAGCTTCTCCCCGAGAGTGAGGAAGTGCCCTGCCAATGACTGAAGTTGTCTCCACCTCTTCCAACATCTCTCCCCTCAACTCTTCAGCGTCTGACTGAGATGTCGTGGGATCATATGTGATATCACATTTTCGTCTGAGGGTTCATTGCTTGCCTCCACCTCGTCGTCTACCACCGTTCAGCTCAACTATCAGAGGAAGGGTTTTCTCCACTGAGCCAAGCTGCTAGATCAGGATGATGAGAACTGAGCCCTGTCGACCCCTGACTCGCCGAGCGTCGACGACTTGCAGAAGTCCCCTGACCCTTGTTAGGGGCCCGAGCGGACACGGCTGTGCTTCCCCGGCGTCGAGCAAACCCCACTTCAATACTTTTCTTTACGATAAGGTAATACGGATACTTCGGGGGATGTGATGAGGGGGCGGGGACAAAAGGGGGTCATTTCCAGCTTTGAAGGTGATCAGGGTCGGAAACATGAGGAACAGACTCATTCGTGGCCCTTAGACTTGGTAACAACTTGGTGACAAGTCGAATTCTCCCGGCGCGAAAACCTGATCAAAAGAGCTATACCGAGTCAAGTGTTTGCGCAGGATCAATCAAGGATCCGAATGTCTGGATGACAGGTCATAGCGGCCCGAGAGGTAAATTCGGCACTCGCGAGGCGCAGAATCGCAGGCAGAGGTTTCCGGTTTACGTTTCCGTTGACTTCGCGTCTAGACTCGACGTTTGAAGGTCTTGTCGTCGATCCCCTGTCTTGAGCTTGATTAGTGAACTCCACCGAGAAGGATGAGACTAAAAGTCCAAAACATTCCACAAGCGAAGAAACCCCTCAAGTCTACACGCTGGGCACCGCGATGTGGCGTCCGTTATGTGCTCAGTGCCGCGTTGCCGAGTATCATGAGCTCTGGAACGAGTGTCGCACTCAGAAGCACGCAAGATGGACGATGTGATGGAGGGAGGGGACGAGGGGCAAGAAGTGGGGAGACGCAGCCTCTATCACGCCGAGTGGCGTAGGATCCTGAGTGTTGCATCCGGAGCTTTAGTCCTCGGCCGAACAACTTGGCATCAGCCACTGCGGAAGCCATTAGGTTTCTGGGTGACACTCAAGTGCACAGGTATCCCATGGTACGGGCCGCAGGATTTGCAAAAGACTCACCCGAGGCTTTCACGGCCGCTTGGACTGGATGGGACGATGTCCCTCTCTTGAAGGTAACCTCGTTGTTGGGGTCCGCCGCGGTATGGCCCCTGATTGGAAGGCTTCAAATGAATGTAACCAACTTACAAATTGAGACAGGGCAGAGACACGTGGAACGGGACTAGGTCATATCGAGGACCTTCAGGTCATTGAACGTCTCGCAAGAACCCAGACTCAAGCAATGTTTACGTGGACGGATTATGTCTTCATCCGGATCGCGCATAAACTTGGCCTCTAAGCCCCCAGGATCGCCTGACTAGACATGCAGATATCGACGAGGATTTCGAGGAGGTTTTACCCCTTCGGACCCAGCTTATGTGGTGACCGTTCGACCGAAAGCAAGGCCGCAAGCATGTTGACGCCAGGCTAGGGGACCACTTCGTACAAGGGGCCGAAATTAAGAATGCGCACAGCGTTGCGACGGGGCAACTTGACTTACCCCCGACTGCGACCGGAGTGCGACCACATCGCAACATGGATGGCGGAGTAATTGATAAATATTGGTCGAGGTGCTGCATCGCCAAAGGTTCTTGCTTGTGCGGTACGCTCAACCACCGGAAGGGCCTGTCCAGTCACTACAGATACCACCACACTCTTTTCTCGTCTCGAATCCTACGATCGGTGTTACATGCACACTTGAACCAACGTCAAGTAACCAGTTGCATCCTTGGGTATCGAGAGTTGTTATCTCCCGCCTTTCTCCCTCGTTTCTGTCCTCCCTCCCCCGGTCGTCAAGATGTATAGACTCAAGATGGAAGTGCTCACAGCTGTGGCTGCTTGGGCGATTGGCTCCGCGTGCTTGAACGTTCCTGTTGCGCGCCAGTTCCTTGGAGGCATCTGCGCGAGAGACACAGCGGAGCTTGGCAACAAGCTCTCGAGCACTGCCAAGATCTACCAGCCTGGCACGGCTGAGTTCACTGAGGCCTCGATCCGTTGGTCCAACCTCAATGCTCCTACAGTCAGCCTCGTTGTCGTGCCTGGCACGGAGCAGGATGTTGCAGAGACGGTAAGCTCTCGTTACTCTGACTTAGATGAACACGTTGCTCACCCTGATTCTTAGGTTAAGTTTGCGAATGAAAAGAGCATGCCATTTCTCGCGTATAATGGCGTACATGGGGCTATCACCACGCTGGGAAACATGCAGAACGGCATTGAGATCTATCTCAACCAGCTGACCAGCATCGAGGTCGCCGAGGATGGCAAGTCGGCCAAGATTGGCGGTGGAACCCGGTCCAAGAATGTTACGGACACTCTCTGGGCTGCCGGAAAACAGACTGGTAAGTCTAACCAAACAACATGAACGTACTCAGGATATCAGACACTGACTTTGGCAACAGTGACTGGCACTTGCGAGTGTGTCAGCACACTTGGACCTGCTCTTGGCGGTGGCCACGGATGGCTTCAGGGCCACCACGGTCTTGTTGCTGATCAGTTCCTGTCCATGAATATTGTTCTCGCCAACGGAACAATTGTTGCCATCGACGAGAGCTCTGACCTTTGGTGGGCAGTCAAGGGCGCTGGCCACAACTTTGGCATCGTAACTTCCGTTGACGTCAAGGTCTACGACATTGAGCACCGTGACTGGGCCGTAGAGACTCTCATCTTCAGCGGAGACAAGGTCGAGGAGGTCTACCAAGCCACCAATGACCACATTCTCAAGAACGGAACCCAGCCTGCTGATGTCGTTAACTGGTCGTACTGGTTGAACAACCCCGACGCTGACCCCGAGAACGTAAGTGTCATCAGAAACCTTCATCATCTATCAGCAAGAGCCTTCATTACTAACTGAATGCCTAGCCCATCATCCTCTACTGGATCATTCAGGAGGGTGTCACAGCCGTTGATTCCAAGTACACCCAGCCTTTCCTCGATATTGGACCTATCTCTGCCACGCCCACTGCCGGAACCTACCTTGACCTCGCCGCCTGGACTGGTATTGCCCTTGACTCCATCCCTTGCCAAAAGGCCGGCCTCAACAACCCTCGTTTCCCCATCTACGTCGAGTCTTACAACGTCACGGCTCAACGCCAGGCGTACGACCTCTTCGCTTCGTCCATCAGGGACTCGTCCTCCCCCTTCTTCAACTCGCTTTTCATGTTCGAGGGCTACTCCAACGAGGGTGTCAAGGCCGTTGACAGCGAATCCACCGCCTTTGCCTTCCGCGAGGACAACCTCCTCTTCGCTCCTCTTATCACCTACACGCCTGGTGATGCCGCCCTTGACAAGCAGGCTGCTGACCTTGGCAACTTGCTTCGCCAAATCATTCACGAGGGCAGTGGCCGTGATGAGATCCACGTTTACCTTAACTACGCTTTCGGCGACGAGACTCCTGCTGAGTGGTACGGTTCGGAGCCGTGGCGCCAGGACAAGCTGAAGTCTCTCAAGGCCAAGTACGACCCTGAAAGCAAGTTCAGCTTCTACGGACCTGTCGCTTGATTGTTGGAAACTTAGGGTCCAGCCGGCGGAAAGCTAAGACTAGGGCCTGGTTTATGATGCAGCAGATATATGAATAGATTAATTAACCGTCCGTACTAAAACGGTTTCCTCTGCCCCTAATTTTCGACTTTGGGGTATTGTCACGAAAGGCTATGAAGCGACGTCGCATCTAAAGGGAACTTTTTCATGACCAAGGATGGTGAGCTGAATATTACCTTTGTAAGTCTTAGTGTGGCTAGCTGGATGTTTTGATGGTACGGAAAACCTAGAATTGTTCTATTTTATGATATCTCTGGTAATGAGAACCACAATCGCAATACGCCGCGCAGTAAAATGCAGCCAGCTTTATTTCTTCTTCGCTCTATTCGACAACTCGATATACCCAACGAGTACCCATTTGTAAAGAGAATAAAGACGGTGAGGAATCAAGGTACACGCGCTTTCGTGCCGCAATTGAGGGTGCATCACCCAGTTTCGGACCATGACCTGGGTCTTGAACCGGCTTGCGTAATTAGCCTGCGGTCTTCATACAGCTCTTGATAACCCGAACGTAAGCTACCTTAGGTTGTGAATTGAATAGAGAGGCGAGACGCCGCTCACACATATGCTTACTTAGCCCCGACGCCGGTCAGCATGGGCGGCGCCGGCGTCTGACAAATGCCCCGCTTGCTAATTCCCTCGGCGCCGAAAATGACGGTGTTCCGGATGACAATGCCTGGCGATCGAGTTAAGTACAACATATAAATAAGCTGGTTTATCGTCTGAAAAGCCTGGAATTAATCTGTTATAACGCACCAAGAGGCGCTAATTCTGTGAATCAAACACTTCTCTACTAGCAACTCTATCTATCTTTTGAGTATAGAGACCCTGAGCAACACAGCAGCATACATCAAGATGTCAGCTCCCATTCCTCGTCGTCGAATCATCGTTTCGAACCTGCCGCTCGCCTTAGAGGGGCACGCGGAAAACACAGAACCAGCGGTTGAGGTTCTTTCGGAACCATTGGAGACGGAAGAAATGTTCGACGGGATGATTCAAAGGACTCCTGTGGGCACTGTTCCATCAGTGCCGACCAACTTCGAGGGAACGTGAGTATTTACCCTATGTATGAAGGCACTTCTATGAAAAGGGCTAATGTGAAATACAAGTGGACTCCCCAAGATTGAAATTGTACCTGGGAGCGGCATCGTTCTTCCCGGAGGTATCAACGTCTACTTCCTAGACCTTGCTCCAGGTTGCGACACCCCCATGGTATGTCATCAGCTGCAATAAACCCGATGCTACAATGTCGTTTTATTAACTTCGCAGCACCGTACTCCATCGGTTGACTACATTGCCATTATTAGCGGAACTCCAACACTCCTTACACCTAAGAGGGCTTTTAAGGTGGAGGACGGCAAGGGGACTTGGGATGAAGTTGTCGAGACTGTTCTTGGACCTGGAGATGTCGCGGTCCAGCGTGGCGCCATGCATGCGTAAGTGGTTCCTCGAGTTGCATCAATCATGGCACATACTTAACATACATAGGTGGACTAATCGTTCTGATGCTTGGGTTCGCATGGTTGGAATCATTGTCGATGCCAAGCCATCCAAGGTCAAGGTTGGGGAGAACTTCCAGGAGCTTGGTGAGAAATGGTTGCAGTAATTTCGACAACGAGTTTCAATTTTGCTGTCGATGGATAATGGGGGTGCTCTGGTGCCCAAGGATATGCAAATTTTCAGAAGCACTAAGAACAGCCATAGTGTGCCTAGAAAGTATTTTCCTTTCCAGTTACGACAAACTGCTACAGATACCATTGGAACATTTGCAACCTATGATCCACGTAATTTCTACTTACTTGTGCGCAATTTATGCTGAACACCCAAAGACTTTTCAGAATTTCAGATAATAGATTGAAACGAGCTGGCTGTGACTGAGTTTTAAATAGAATAACAAGAAGAAGAGCGATGGTGTTGTGTTGCGCGGGGAATCCCAATACATGTTGAACATCCAGACCCGATATCTCGAGCATAGAAGTTCCAAAGGTTTAGGACTCTTCCCCCAAACAGTGATAAACTGTGGGAATCTTATTGATCCCTCTCGGGCGAGAGAATCAAGAGTCTTCATCGACCATCTCTCGCCTCGCTGCTCATTACAATGAAGAGAAATTCTTTATGCGATGCTTTGTTGCAAACATTTTAGTAAGAAACAAACTACTATAGCATACATTTAGGTTGTTTCTTCAGTCTATATGCGTTTACCTCGTTGAAAGAAAGAAATAGAAAGAGTTAAATAACGTTATCGTCACATGGCTTACTTTTATAAGAAGGCAGTTAATATCCATAGATAGCAAACAGTAAAGACCGTCCGCATTTCATTAACGTTAAAGCTAGTTATAGAAGTCTATATGCAATTTTGGAAGGTGTAATCAGGATTGTGCTTACTATTAAAAACAGGCTGTATAATCATATTATTGTTCACATTGCCCCGCTTCATTGAACACTTGTACAGAAATAGAGACTACATATGCGAATCATGAGACATGAATCAGCCAAACTACAAGAGATCTGTCAGAATGTTTTGAGATGGTTTCAATTTTATAACCTGTTGCAAATTGAAGTAGGTAATAGATGTAAGTTCCAAAGAACGATTTATGAAACAACAGCGCCTATGAATCTCCAAGTGATTTTTATTAAGAAATTACTTTTTCCTTCTGATGAAAGCTTCAGTCAAGTTCAGCTCCTATTTAGATGCCCAGAAGCTGTGTAAGACCAAGCGTAATAAATAACGAGTGCCGGAAATCACAGCCTACAGGCCTCCTTTCAGTTCAGGATTTTGAATTCGAAGCGTGTTAGCACCAGAGTGAAAAGTACGTCAAAATTCCGCAACAGAGTAGTTCTACGCCTCATGCCTGCTATTGAGGGGAAATAAAGGAAAACATGGGCTGACATGATGTTTCTCATTTTTCTTGCCAACGCAGGACTGCGTCTACGCCTACACGATGTTTTGCATGCGCTGACCCTTGTAACTGTACAGCCAGGCGGTAACTGTACGTACAACATCAACCCCACCTAAGCCTGATGTCCATGTACGAATGGATCAGCCATAAGAACACCGAAAAGCATTGGAAATGCATGGCGTCAATCCCCTGAGCTAAAACCTACGTGCTGTACTAGAAGTAGACAGTGACTTAACTTAAATAGTCGGGGTAAGACAGGCAAAGAAGATGCCTCGGTCATTGCGACAAGCCACGTGGGCCGGCTGACTGTGGTGAGATAAGTACCTTACTTGACGCGTCGCGCTGATAAGGTGCTGATTACATACACATCCATATTCTAATTATGTGCCCCTGGCTTATGAGATCAAGTGAATAACATCACCATTCGATGAGATGGAGATAGACCCAAGTCATAAACGTGATAGAGAATAGGACTGACGATAACCCAAGACATAACGATTGAGGAGAAAACACCGATCGATCGAGCGTGTTGGGGCAACCCTACTTTTCTCGCGACGTTTTCACGGGTAAGGGCTCGGCGCAGGGTTAGGGGAAGCTGTTTTGGGCAAAGACCGGTGCCGTTTGTTGCTTTTCCAATGTCCAGCACACCTTGCCTATTCGCTTATGCTTCTGTGCCCTGTCCAATACATCTTGCAGGGTTAGACGCTCTTTGATGATCACCCATACCGTTGAGATTCAGGTGGCCCGGGCTCGGGCTTGGGGGGTCGTGTCGGGTCTGCTCGTCACCCTAAAATAATTCAGTGTCCACGCATTCCCGGACCATCCAGTCGTCCCTACAAACTCATCGCGTTCTGCTCATCGCCACGCCCTCGTCTTTCGCGCTACGGAAGATTCAGTACTTGCTATGCCTGCATTTTTGAATGAGGAATCACGTCCTCAGCTTTTTTGAGCCGATAGGCCCACGACTCGGCCGTGGTCGCTAACTTTTCCGCGACCCTTTGGCCCATCCTTTTTCGCGTTCCTAGGTATTCAAAACGAACAAGCGCACCGCACCGCTCAACTGGATGGTGGTATCATCCCCGGAACTTTCGATATGTCCGAACCAATGCCAATGGATTGGCTGTCGTCCTTTCACAGGCGAATATATAATAAAGATATCCATGACGCGTAAGTCACCTTGCTCACTGGCGCAGGTTTATCGGTTGCTTCTGTTCAGGAGTCCTCACTTCACGTGCACATTTGCTGATGAACCGCCCGCGCCGTGCAGGTATCTCGGCATTGATTTTGGCAGCACAAGCACGCGCGCATTCCTGTACAGCCCTACCCAGTCACCAGAGAAGCAGCGCAATGTGGTCGAGAATTATGATGGACGGTCTTTGAGGACTGCTCACCGTTTTGAGCGCGGCGACTTCTCATCTATGGGTTATCCGTTCGAACCGGGTCTGCCTGTTTACCAGGGTGAATCCCTTGACCTGCATCGCCAAGCCGTATCTCTCAAATACGCCATCTACGCGTTGACTCGCCATAACGACGACCTTTACTCCCAGTATTCTTTGGTACAGCCAATCTGGAACGCGTCAGGCGACGAGGAGTTTAAGGAAAGGCTACGTGAAGGCCTAACGGACCTCTTCATCGCAGTCAAAGAAAAGGTTGACAAGTTATGCAAATCTAAGGATCTAAATATCAAGAGGATTGCGATCACCGTCCCCGCCCAATGGACCGGCACAGGACAGTGTTTAGCGGAAGAGTACGAGTCTATTGTTTCCCGTGTCTTCGACGCGCCCGGGAGAGAGATCGTCTTCGTCACTGAGACCGAAGCATTGGCCCATTATCTCCTGAGGGACGAAAAGAACTTGGTCTCAACAGGCGAACCACGTTTTACCCTCCTCTTCATGGACTTTGGTGGTCACAACATGGTGAGTTGTTGAGGATGTTCCCACACGCAAAGACTCAGAAACTTATCTTGCCGGTACAGAACGGATCCATTTTCAACGAAGTCAACGGGCCGAGGGAGGCCAACGGGGAGGAAGGGTCGTCGAGCTTTTACGGAGACGGTGACCCATTTGGTGAGTGGTGTCTAGGGTACTGAGCCAACCAGATCTTTCTAACGCTCATCTAGGCGCCGGCGGTGGCAGCGAACACTGGTCTTTCCACATGGGCAACCTGATGGAGATGCGTTACGTGGAAATGCGTGGCTTATCAATGACACCCGCGGAAAGACAAGCTGCAGTTGACGAGTTTGACATGAACAAAGATTCTCTTGGACCCTGTTTCGAGGAAAATGTCTTCGAATGCAGACACCTCGGCATGACCTTTGGATATGAGGACCTATGTCACACATTCAAACAAGGTCATCGCAACGTGTTCCGACTTGCAGAAAAGCAAATCGAGCGGATCTCAAAGTTCAAGACAGGCAAGACTGTGGTTATCGCCGGAGGAACGGCCAAGCACGAGGCCGTGAAACAAAAGTTGCGTCAGTTATGCGAGAAATACGGAATGCCACCGCCACGCTTCGTTGCTGAGATGGGAGTATCGTATAGGTGAGTCCGGACTGAGCTCATCATTCCCCAGCCGCTTATTGCAAGAGCTATGCTCACCAGTCCTAGTTCTGTGAAGATTGCGCAGGGTGCAGCTTACGCCGCGTCCACAGACTTGGACCTCGAGACCTTCATCCAGCAGGGAGCCGCTTTCGGCATTCAAAGGAAAGCAGTACCAACATACACAGGCAAGGGCGCGGACAAAGCACGGGACTGGGAAAAGCTTTCCCCGGTACTGTTTAGCAAGGTATGACATGGTTTCCCACTGCAAATCTGTGTCGTGATCCCTGGCCTGACGCAGACCTTAGGACAAGAAAGGCGCCTTGGATCTTGACTTTGCGACTGGTCGCGATGAGTTTAAGCTCGTTTGCGATCCTTTCTTCACCGTGCAGGAGCGTATGCAAAGGCCAGACGAGCTATCGGGCGACAGATGCTATGATGTCCTAGAACTGGGAAAGCTGAAGAGAGGGAACTGGACCGTCGCAATGTCTCAGACACAAGCACTCGGCTTCGAGTCTTGTGTGACTCTCCAATCACAATGGTCAAATTGTAAGCCACGGAGAGGCGGATTGAAACAAAGGGGCTCGGAGGAACCATTCTTGGACGATTCTGGCTATACATCATGGCCCCTGAAGATGGTCTACGACTGCGGCGCAAGATGCTTCTTCTTCGAGTCAAATTTGGACGACACGCTCGACATCGAGAGTTTCCTCAGCGGAGGTACGGGAAGGCGAAAGCGGGAGCCTTTCCCAAGAGAAGACCCGAGCGCCATTTCAATGCGAAGAACACGGCGTACAAAACATCGGCAAGCGTCTCTGCAGGACGAAGAACCAGATACCACCTCAATGCAAAGACAACAGCATACACAAACCCCGCAGGCGCCGGCGCAGGACGACGAGACGAATGGCATTTCAGCGCAAGGGGAGAGGGTTCGGAAGATATTTGCATCTTTGACGACGAAGCTAGAATGTTGCATCGAAGAGGATTTCCCGTTCAATCCTAACAACTGGAGCTGGCTTAAGTACGGAAAATCTCACGGCGAAACGAAGGACGGCACATCGCAAGGCATTGTTTCGGCCATAGACTATGCTAGGCGTTTGGGATTTGTCTTGGAAAAGAGACCACCGGAAGAACACCGCAGCTCTATCGGAGACGAGCAAGATGTACTGAGGCAGTTGGAGTCCGAATTTGTCGCCCAACAAGAGATCGAGACCTACGAGGACTTCGGCAAAGCCGAACGAGATATTGAAGCAACACCAGCGTCTTTCTACGGCGCCGGACCCCCGAGCAACGGCGATTACCAGGACGAAATGGCGAGCGATGACGATTTAGGGGATGAACCGGCGAGCCAAAACTTTTTCATGAACAGAGACCTCCTTACCACAGCTCAGGACGCCATGTCCCGCATGAGAGGGTCATCTTTCGAGACAAGACCGAACCAGGAGGACGCCTCAAGGAATCACTTCGACCCAAGAGCTCGAAGCGAGCCATCACCATCAAACAGCGCAATATTCAGTTTTGAGGGAGCATCTGTTGATGCCGGCCAAACCCCTGTCGAAGTGCCTGCGACCCATCAACGAAGACCTCCGCCGAGTTCTTTGCACAAGCGTCCCCGTTCAGGGGCAGCCCTGACGCCCAGGAGCAGCCAACAGGCCGAGGCAGAAGCCTCAAAAAGGCGTAGACTTAGAGAGAGGCTGCGCAAGAAGGATGCAAGTGGGATATCGGACTCAGAAGATGCTTCGGATTCAGATGAGTCTTCAGACTCAGAGGCGAGTGGATGAGTTGAGGTTTCGCGAGATGGATGCTCGGAGGCTTTACCGTGCTTCGGGTGGTAAAAGTGGTTCATGTTATGTAACCAAGGACACATTGAGTCATCTTACATATTTCAAAAGTCTGCCACTGCTCTGTTTTGCCTTCCGAGAGCCGTTGCACCTAACTCAAACACGATGTCTCCTTCATGGAATTCCAAATGATCCCCACCTACCGAAGTTCACCTCGGTGAGGGCTCGGTGAGCCCGTGCCCATGTCTCGGTCTAAGCCGGCCCCGAAGTCGAGCCTAAGATGGTCCAGACCTCGCCGTCTTATCAAGCCATCTGCGGCATGACGCAATATTCCCTGTCAACTAAGTCGAATTCAAGGCATCAAAAAGCCTGGATTCCACGCCGCTTCGGCACCAATCCCAACAGATTGGTGGTCGGTGTCTCCTGGAATCCTGCTAGTGTTGCGCCATTTCCAGGGCCGGGGATTCTTCTTTGATTTCTGTTTCGCAGACGCATGTGCTTCTAACCTGAGCCGCTATCGAACGAGCGCCGGAATGTCGGTTCCTGGCTATTTGATTTGCTCGCGCTTTGCTTGTCACCACGTCAACCTGCAGTTGGACATGGGGAATCAGCCGCGATGCGACGCCTCGTAAGATGGCAGGAAGAACCCGCGTCTTGTAGCTAAAGTAGTCAATTGCTCTTTCTCAATGGCGGTGAATGCCGGCCATATATCTGGAAGGTTGCCGTCTTTCCATTGAACCTTCCGCCTCCCGGGTAGCTCTCTTCACCTCCCTACAACTGGTAGTCAGACCATCCTCACTACCCCTCACTACTTCGTCGACCCCTCACCTACAATCAATCTCTCGACGTCGCAAAGTTGCCCAAGATGGGAGACCAAGAACCAACCCCCGAGAACCATACCATGATGCAGGGCTTCGAATGGTATGTGCCCGCCGACCAGAAGCACTGGGTGAGGCTGGAGAAGCATGTGCCGCAGCTTAAGGCTTGGGGCATCGACAACATCTGGATCCCGCCCGCGTAAGTTCATCTCCACGCACGCATTGAACCAGCCACATGCTAATCATGGCCGCAGATGTAAGGGTTCCTCCAAGACTGGGAACGGATACGATATTTACGACCTGTACGTTCCGACCAAGTGACCCAATTGCTAGCTACGATGTTGACCAGATAGCTACGACCTCGGCGAATTCGACCAGAAAGGGTCCGTCGCGACGAAATGGGGAACAAAAGAAGAGCTTCTCAAGCTCGCACACACCGCCAAGGATAACGGCGTCGGGATCTACTGGGACGCCGTGCTGAACCACAAGTTCGCAGCCGATCGCAAGGAGAAGTGCCTCGCCGCCGAGGTCGACCCCGATGACCGCACCAAGTTCGTCAGCGACAAGTACGAGATCGATGCGTGGGTCGGCTACGACTTCCCTGGCCGCAAGGACAAGTACAGCGAGCAGAAGTATCACTGGTATCACTTCAGCGGAGTCGACTACAATGCCAGGAATGAAAAGTCGGCCATCTACAAGATCATGGGCGACAAGGGTGATGGGCAGTGGGCTGAATCAGTCGACGACGAGAAGGGCAACTAGTAAGAATGAGCTCTTCGTCCACAGGGGATCCTCCAAAACTGACACATGTGGCTCAGCGACTTCTTGATGGGTTCTGATCTTGACTACGACCACCCGGAAGTGGTAAAAGACGTCCTCAACTGGGGCAAATGGCTGGCCAAGGAAGTACCGTTGAAGGGCATCCGATTTGACGCAATCAAGCACTATAGTGAGGACTTCTTGCGCCAATTCATTACTGAGCTTGACAAGGAGTTCGGTAAGGGCTGGTTCTTTGTCGGCGAGTTCTGGAAGGACAGTCTCGACGACATGTCCGAGTACCTGTCGCGAATGGGCCGTCAGTTCACCCTCTTCGATGCACCTCTCGTCTACAACTTCAGCGAGATCAGCAAGGGCAACAGCGCCGACATGAGAAAGGTGTTTGATGGCACGTTGGTGCAGAAGGAACCCATCAACGCTGTGGTAAGTGACTTACAAAGGCGACTGAAGGCAAGCAACTGACATGCGCAGACCCTGGTTATGAACCACGACACCCAGCCGTACCAAGCGCTTGAAGCCCCCATCGAGGGCTGGTTCAAGCCCATCGCATATGCGCTCATCCTGCTTCGCAGCGAAGGTTACCCCTGTGTCTGGTACGGTGATTTGTACGGTATCAAGGGAGAGCACCCGTTCCCTCCATCTTGCGGCGATGCTCTGTCGAAGTTCACGCTCGCACGAAAGCTCTACGCCTACGGCAAGCAGGCCGACTACTTTGACTACGCCACTTGTCTTGGCTGGGTCAAGTACGGAACCTGGGACCGACCTTTCGGCTGCGCCGTTGTGGTCAGCAATGCCGGACCTGGCTCCAAGCGGATGCACGTTGGCGAATTGCACGCTGGAGAGGTGTGGACTGATGTTCTCGGGTGGAACGACAAGGAGGTCATCATCGGCGACGACGGCTTCGGCGAGTTTGTGTGCTCTGGCACATCAGTCAGTATCTTCGTCAACAAGAACGCAGATGGCAGAGACAAGTTCACCAAAGAATTGTGAGTAACACCTTGAAATTTAGGAGCACTTGCTAACTCACGAAAGTGACTCCAACATCTACAACGAGTAACGGATCATTGTTTGTAGCGGAAGGACTCTCGTGCCATTCTTACGCTGTGTAGACCTACATATCTTGGCGCGACTGAAGGCATGGCGTTGTATATTGTCATGGGGACCGCGATAACAACCTTCCAAAATAAGGGGCTCTTGGCTACGGGGTGTAATAGTCTCGAGCCGTTTCGATCCCCCTTGCTGTGTAATTAATTTTGTCCACTTTCGCACAGAACTGAATAGAATTGGCAGTCTTGATACGCATGCGCTGTTATTACGGCCAAGTCGTTTGCTGAACCAATCTGCCCACCAATCAGCATCGGCACGAAGACTACATAGTATCTGCCCTCGACATCTCAATGGGTCAGCCGTAGCTCAACGCAGATTTCGTTACCCAAACCACCGTTATAGCCTCCGCTCGCATCTTACTCTTTGTGATATAGAACGAGTCTTTCGTTAATGGTTCTAGGCCAATTTCCATGCGGGTTGGAGCCTGGAAGCGCGCTTAGCTCGCAAGGTTCCCAAGTTACGAGCACGTGTGGTACGAACGTTCGGTGCAAGGATCAAAGTGCCGCGGAATCTAGCCGAGGACTGGTTATGAAGAGGCCTCTCTCTTTGGACCTCCCAGGAAGGGGGAGACTCCTTGTCCACAACCCCATGATATTCCTATTGTAGCCGGTCGGTTAACCACAACGCTGACTCGTGCTCGACCTTTACGTCCTTGTACAGATCGCGAATCTGCCAATCAGGGGCTTGTCAGGCGGATCACGCCGGGGAAATGAGTAAGTATTCGGCGAATATAGTTATTCTAGCGCGATGGTAACGGAAATATCCAGATTATCACGGGCTGAGTCCTGCGCTGCGACCCAGCAATGAAACAGGAAGCCCGCTGCTGGGCCAAGACCTGGATGACCTTAGAAGCGTGGCGGGTATTGTCAACGCATGATGCGCAGGGACCTCACCTAATCTAACGTCAGCTAACTCGAGATTGTCTGCCCATACTTTTAGTTTGTTAACATGAATTTCGGAAACCTAAGAGCTCGTGATCGTGAATGACACGACGATGCTGCGGTTCTTCCAGTCGTCTTCAGTTTCTTATGCCAGAAGAGCTCATCATTTCATAGCAAGAGGGTTCCGAAGCTGGCAGAGTAAGGGGATTGAGCAAGTTTTGGATTCAGTTGGTTGATGTCTTATGTCTCCTTTATTTCCACATGCGACTTCTCCACGGCTGCGCTTGGAACCACATCCACAAGACAGACCCAGCGAGATCCTGAACATGTGGACCTGTAAGGCCAAGACATCACAGTTGGTGGTGGTTACGACAAGCTGATAATCCATGTTTTCCATCACTAACACGTCAGGGCCACTTTCAAATTGGGAAGGAGCAGTTCTTACCAAGCAGACCCGTCATATAACCTGTCTACCACGCAGGGGAGGCGTTGACTGTGATAACCTCTTTCAGCCCAACGTCTTCCAGATTCGTGTTAGCAACCCCGCCTTATAATCAACATGCTACCGAGCCGCGTCGCTAAACCTGAGCCAAGGACAATCCTTAGATCTAAGATGCGGTGAGATGAACTGCACGGCAGGGCCGAACCTGGTGACGGACCGAAGGACCGAAAAGAAACAACACCTTGAGCCTCTCAGCCCTCTGGGTTCTGTAAGGTCGAAGTATATATATCGAGCCTTGATGTCTGACATCTCCAGACTCTTCTTCGTCAGCAGCCACCCTTCTCTAGATCTCACTTCTACACTTCCATTCTTTTACAACACTATCCAGCCGGTTTTCCCTGGACCTTCCATTCTTTCACGATGCGTTTCTCCATCGTCAGCCTCCTCGCCGCCTCCGCGCTCGCCGTCAACGGTGCAGCCACCACCAGCCGCTCTGCCCTCGCGTCCCGAGCCAACCCCGCCGCCCTCGCCATCGATGTCGAGCGCGTCTCCTTCTCCGGCAAGAAGACCCACGGCGAGATCGTGGCCGGCCAGTACGACGAAGAAGACGACGTCGTCACCGACGCGGACGCCGTGAGCACGCGTGCAGCCGGCGCCACGGCGGCCATCGGCTCCGCCCTCGGTGGGGCCGTCATGGACGTGGCCACCGGCGTCGCGGTCAACATCATCACCGAGATCCTCCAGGCCGTGATCGAATGGACCAAGGCCCGCGAGACCTTCACGCAGGCCATGACGGACGAGATGTGGGCCCAGAACCCGGAGCCCGGAAAGTACCACGCGGCGATCTGCTACAACAAGGGCTACGGCGTCGCGGACTGGAACGGCATCGCCGGTCTCGCCAAGGTTACTCTGCGACTCAACGTTCTCCACACCGAGTGAGTTCTTCTCTCTTCCCACAGACCGGGAAACCGAGCCGGTGGTGCTCCACTGGGACCCGATGGGGCTTTGCTGTTTGCGGCTAGAAACTGACATGCCTTGCAGCTACGATTGCATGTACATGAGCGGACCTAACCAGTTCTGGACTGCTTCTGAGGGCGGATACATCAACGTGAGTGAACTCCCGGGCCGGGCGAGCAATGTTTGGTGATGTTTTCTGACGCTTTGCTTTAGCTGTCTTACACTTACGACCGTAACCACTGCTCCTTCGACGGCAAGACTGGCGACTTGACCTGCTGGTAAGAGGAGCAGCAAGGACTTTTTCGGAGGGGGTTCGGATCACATTCCGGGAATGGGTCAGCAACAAGATGCAAACCCCGCTGCGAGATATGTGGATATTGAGTCCCTGGATTGTGGGCGATTCAATGTAGATATTCATCGGAGCTGAGGTGGCACAGTTTCCACTTGGAAATTGGCAGCGAGCTTTATGTAAATACCTTTCTTATTCAGGCAAACATAGCAGGAGGAACAACTTTTCTCCATGATCTTTCGGGCCGGTGAAGGTCAAACAAGACGGTTCACCAAGTGATCCCCGCATCTCATGGTCCTTATCGCCGATTGTGCCCCGGTCCCCACGTCATATCCCCGTCTGGAATGTTATCAGTGCGGAGAAGCTATCCCGGCGTAGCTCTCCGGTGTTTCACGGGCCTTTTGGCATTTCTCATGTCATCAACAGGACGAGTCAAACTGTCTTTTAAAACCTTCATCGTGTGAATGATCTGGCAAGGCTTCCTCTTACCAAGTTCACTTCTTTCATCTTTCCTTAAACCGTGATACCCCTCTCTCGAAAACGGGAGACTCTTCCAAGCAACCATACCCCGCATTACATCCCTGGCAAACATGGCCGACCTTTCCGTTCAGCTGCAAGCACCCAATGGTGTCAAGTACACCCAGCCGACCGGTCTTTTCATCAACAACGAGTTTGTCAAGTCTTCGACAGGAGAGACGATTGACTCGATAGACCCTGCGTGAGCCCCCAATCCGTCTTCTGCATGGATGAGAGCAGATGAGCTGACGCAGCCGTAGTACCGAGGAGAAGATTGCCGCTGTCCAGGCAGCATCAGAGGAGGATGTCGACAAGGCCGTCAAGGCGGCTCATGCCGCACTGAGACACGAGTCCTGGAAGGGCATCTCGGCAACAGATCGCGGTGCATTGATGTACAAGTTCGCCGACTTGATTGAGAAGAACAAGGAGGTTCTCGCCACAATCGATGCGTGGGACAACGGTATGTGAACCTACCCATCTACGCATCCAAGCCTGACAAGCTTACGAAAATTAGGCAAGACCTACGCGGACGCCCTTGATGGCGACCTGTCTGAGTGCGTCACCGTCATCCGCTACTACGCCGGCTGGGCCGACAAGACCTTCGGCCAGACCATCAACACAACGCCTCAAAAGTTCGCCTACACGATCCGCCAACCCATCGGCGTCGTCGCGCAGGTTATTCCTTGGAACTACCCCCTCGCGATGGCGACCTGGAAGCTCGGTCCTGCCCTGGCTTGCGGCAATACCGTTGTTCTCAAGGCCGCCGAGCAGACCCCCCTTAGCATCCTGTTCCTCGGCACCCTCATCAAGGAGGCTGGCTTCCCGCCGGGCGTCGTCAATTTCGTGAACGGTCTGGGTCGCGTTGCGGGTAGCGCGTTGGTCGGCCACCCGCTCGTCGATAAGGTCGCATTCACGGGCAGCACCGCGACTGCGAGGGCTATTATGGGACAGGCGGCCAAGACCCTGAAGAACATTACCCTCGAAACCGGTGGCAAGTCTCCCTTGCTTGTCTTTGATGACGCCGATATCGAGCAGGCCGTGAAGTGGTCTCACATGGGCATCATGTCCAACCAGGGCCAGATCTGCACCGCGACATCCCGCATCATCGTGCAGGAGTCCATCTATGATGACTTCATCAAGCGCTTCGTCGAGACGCTGAAGGCCGTCAGCAAGGTTGGATCACAGTGGGCCAAGGACACATACCAGGGTCCCCAGGTGTCCAAGGTCCAGTACGAGAAGGTCTTGGAGTACATCGACATCGGAAAGAAGGAGGGCGCCAACCTCGCTGCCGGCGGTGCACCCCTGAAGATCGGCGACAAGGGCAAGGGCTTCTTCGTCGCGCCGACGGTCTTTACCAACGTCACCACCAAGATGCGTGTATGGGGAGAGGAGATCTTCGGTCCGGTTGTGGTTATCGCCAGCTTCAAGGACGAAGCGGACGCCATTCACCTGGCCAACAGCACACAGTACGGCCTTGGCGCGGCTGTCTTCACGACAAATGTTGAGCGCTCTCACCGCGTGGCGTCGGAAATCGAGGCGGGTATGGTCTGGGTTAACAGCACCCAGGACAGCGACCCTCGCGTGCCTTTCGGAGGAGTTAAGCAGAGTGGCATTGGCAGGGAGCTGGGCGAGGCGGGCCTGGAGGCTTATTCTCAGATTAAGGCTGTTCATATCAACATGGGCACCAAGCTCTGAGTTATGAACGATACGGACTGTAGAGATGACCCGGAGAACCGAGGAAAATTAAGTCAGAACCCACACGAATGCTTCAAAATGATGACCTTAAACATGGAATATCATTTGGAACGATATGCCTCATTGCAATCAGAATTCGTGAGTTCACGACGTTACAGCAGACCATTTCATCAGCGGTCAAGCATTTTGGGTGTACACCTAAGGATACAGCACCAGATCATACTGCCCAGGCAGAAGCTTCACTTTCTTTCCGGAAGCTCTGCTGTTTCCATCTCCCCCTTTCCTGGTAATCTCAACAGCACTCTCTTCATTCGGCAACAATAGAGTCGCTGTCGTGCTCGTAGGCACTGTCACCTTCATGCGCACATCCTCGCCCTCGCGTTTGAAGGTAACCTCAATCAAGCCGTACGGGCACTCGAAAGTCCCTTCGACTAGGTTGAACTCCGACTTCAGAGGAGGTTTCAAGGTCCAAGTCTTGTAAGCGTCATCCTCAATCTTGACACCGAGCACCGCCTCGTAAAACCACTCGTAGATCGTTCCCAGCATGTCGTGACACTTGCTGCGGCAGGCATCCTGCCAGAACTCATTCAAGGTAGTCTCGCCGCGCCTCAGGAAACGCATGTACGAGGGATGCTCCTCCTGTCGAGCCATGGCCATGACAATGTCTGGTCTGTCTACGTCCGTGAAGGTGTTCCACAACCACTTGAGTCCGATCTCGCCAGCTCGGATCCTGCAGTCAGAAACGTCATCGACGAATGCCTGCTGCACGTCAGAGATGTGCTCTTCTGGGACTAGACCAAACTGAAGAGCCATCGCCTGAGCAATCATGGTACGGTCGTGTGTGCCGGGGTTGTCGAGTGATGTGTAGAAGGCGTAAGGGTGTTCCCTCTTATCGGAAACAAGAAGATGGCGATTGTAAACCTGATAGATTCGGTCTGCCCACTCCTTAAACCGCTTCTCTTCTTGGACGTATCCTAACTCTCGCGCCATCAGCTCAACATTACGAAGACATCTGTAGTAGATCGCTGTCTCGATGTTGGCTTGGTGGTTTCCGAAGGCGATGTCACGACCCCAGTCACCGAGCCCGTGCTCGATAAGACCGCCATGTCTCTCTTTCGTGTGAAGATACTCCATGTAACGCACACATGGCTGGTACATCTTGCCGAACATGTGAGTGGAGCCGTAGTACTTCTTGATGATCTCGGGAATCAGAGCGATGGCACCGCCCCAGGTGATGGTGTCGTGAAGAGGCCCACACATGTATCGGATCTCCGGGGCCATCGTCGGGACCAGACCGTTGTACTCCTGCGTGTCGAATATGTCGTCGAGAATCTTCGAATGCAAAGCTTCAATGTCGCGGATGTACTGGGTCGCTGGCGCGAGAAGATGCGTGACTTCAAGCCATCCGAACTTTTCAATCTGTGGACAGTCCGTGTGATAACTGAAGAGGTTGCTGACGAATGACCAGTAGCACATGTTGACCAACGCGTTGGCATCCTCAACATCTGTCTTCAGCGTACCCAGGCGGCGGGCAGCAGATGACACGTGGCGACCGACAACAGAATGAACGACCGGGAGGTCTCCTCCGGCATCGAGTGAGACGCCTTCGACCTGGATGTATCTAGCACTCGTGAAGCTGAAGTCAGGTTCCCAGACCTCGATACCCCCAGTTCCTGCTAGTGTGATCTTGGAGTAGACCTTCGTCTCAAATTCTTTGAACAAGGGATCCGGCATCAGCACCCTGCCTGTCTCGTCGATGCTCTCCGAGTATCTAACAATGACTTCAGCGCCAGCGGGACCGCTGACTTCGATGCGAACCATCGTCGACGCGTTCTGGCCCAGGTCAAATGCGACAACACCGGGTTCCAGAGTCTTCCTCGAAACGGGCTCAAAGGTTTCGTGCAAAGTGACGGGCGGCTGACTCTGGTACTTGAGCTTTCCTCTGGGTCCTGTGACGGGAGTCACGGCCTTCCATTCCGAATCATCGAAGCCCGGTGCATCCCAGCCGATGGGGTAGTTCCGCAGGTCCTTGTTCTCCGAGGCGTAGATATTCGCCAACGTAGTGGCGCTCTTCCTCGTTTTCCAGTCAGGGCCAGTGATGATGGTCTCTCTGCTTCCATCCTCGTAGAAGAGATGCAGCTCGGCGAAGAAACAGAGTTCGTTTCCGTAGCGGACGTAGGTGTTGTCTTCGTACATGGGCCAGAAGAACCGATCACCTTGGTCACCCGCGTAAAACCCGTTGCCGACGTGGGCTCCTAGGACGTTTTCGCCCTTCGTGAGAACATTGCTAAGGTCGTAGGCGACGAATTGGACGGTGCGGTGGTAGTTGGTCCAGCCCGGGTCGAGGACGTGGTTTGAGGCCGGGTTGCCGTTGCACGAGAGGTTGAAGTGACCGAGGCCCGATGCGAAGGCGACAGCTCGTGTGGGTTTGCGGTCTAGATGGAGAGATTTGCGAAGGTAGAAGGGTTTGTCGCTGCTATCTCCAATCCATACTCCCTTCCATCGGTTGGGCTCGTCTTCAAACCACGCGCGAAAGATTAAACTGGTATGGGGCATCTGTTTATCAATTAACATCAGCCAACTGCGAATACAAAACAGATGACCAGAGTTTAACTGACGTATGTCTGGTTCATGCTGTAGGGCGGCAACAGTCTGCTTGATCTGGGATACGCAGTGAAGAATTCGTTGACACCGCTAGACACAAGCTGGCCATCTTGGTCCCAAACAGTGACCTTCCAGTAGTGGAAGCTCGCTGACTTGAAGCCACCATCTGGCTTACAGAGGATGTTTCTCTGAGCATTGCTCTCAACTCTGCCCGAATCCCAGACGATGTCTGAGTGAGACCGCTGATCGAGCGCGTCTGGGCTCAGAGCAACCACCGCTCTGTAGGCGACTTGTGCAGCATGTGCGAGATCAGAGTGAAGAGTCCAGTAGAAACGGATCTCATCGACGTCGATGCCCAGTGTCTCATGGAAGGCGTGAATGCCACAACGCGTGACTTGCATTGTTGCCGGGGTTGAAGGAGCCGTTGCTCCGGTTGCAGGCAATGAGTGACACCGCTACGAAAAGTCCGCTGGCTAGAGTGACCAGCGTGTAGCTCTTCAAGTACCGTTGCTCAGGTCTTAGCGAGTTTACGAAAAGCTCGCGATGCGTCGGACAAGTTCCGTCAACAACGGCTTCAGGGTTCAAAATACTGGGTTTCCCGAGAGCTAGAAATCATCAATGAACCGAAAGAACCGAGTTTCGGTGCTTTGTTAACTCGAAAAGGTGGTTCTCGAGGCTCTGAAACAGGCCACTACAAGTCTTGGGTACCCATTCGCTTGGGTCGCATTATGCCGAGACTTGGTAGGATTGAGACGCCGGTGGGCTGGATCGCCGCCATTCGGTACTTGTTGGACTGGACAACTCTCTTGCCGAGTGGAGTCAAGAGGGCGTCATCGAATTGAAAATGCTGCTGCTTTCTCCTCTCTCGGATGTTCCGAGTTGTAATGGATGACCAAGCCGGGTTATCCGGAGCAGCCAGGACTTAAATCCTAGGTACCCAACTATCTCAGAATCACCAGTCTCCCACCAAGCTGGAGTTCTTGAAAAGACATCAAGAGTTTCTTCCTTCTCTGAGACCTGCAACTTTTCCAGTCGTGTTGAAAAGAGAATAGAACCCCATTTTCCGGTCGAACTGCTCAATCAGGAACCCCCACTAACCCGGAGTCGGCCCCTCACAAGCTCCACTTACCGCGGTGTAGGCCCGATAGAGATGCTCGCGAGTTGATGACAAGATCCTTATGTATTGTCGCCTCGGTGCCTATTGTCTTTGGTCTCCAACCATTTCGGTAATGTCGGGGTAAAGATGCAGCTGAATCCGGGGTGGGCGTGGGGAAAGGTTGCCCCCAGATTCTTAATGCGAGCAACATCGAAAAAATCAGGGGAGGATCGGCCGAGTACAAAAACTTGGGAGACCCACAGCATGGGATGACACCTTTGATCCGAACCCTCCAGGCGGACAGAGAGCTCATTGGTCTCTACACGACCGGTTCCTCGTAAAACATTATCCTTTGGTCTCTATTTTAACCTTAATAACACCTCGCGATTCGAGGTGGTTTGGGCTGTTGTCCGTTTCAAGCAGACTCTTGAACCAACAACTCCAAGTCATCCAACATGGGACGCCTTACGACGGTGTTCTCGGCCGTGTTTCTGGCCATAGGAGGTTTCCTTTTTGGCTATGATTCCGGTATCATCACGTCCACCATCGCACTCGATACGTTCAAAGAATACTTTACGAACCCATCGGACACCGTCACCGGCGGCATTGTCTCAGCTTTCCAAGGAGGCGCCATTCTAGGCACCATCATCAATATGATGTTTGCCAACTGGATGGGTCGACGCCACACCATCTTTGTGGGATCTTTGGTGTCGTGCCTTGGTTCCGCCTTGCAAGCTGGTGCCGTTAACATGGTCATGTTGATCATCGGACGATTCATCGGCGGCATGGCGGTAGGCATGGTCACCTCTACGATCCCTATGTACGCATCCGAATTGTCCGAGGCCAAATATCGTGGTGTTTTGTCCGGACTGTTGCAGTGGATGTTAAGTTGGGGTTTCTTCGTCGCTCAGTGGCTGGGATATGGCTGCTCCTTCAACAAGACCGCATTTTCTTGTTAGTATTCCCGACCTGGTGGTCTCCAGCGAATCATTACGCAGTTCACTAACATTGAACTCATGACTAGGGCGATTCCCCCTTGCTTTTCAAGCCGTCCCCGGTATTATTCTCGTCGGTGGCGTATATTTCCTGCAGGAATCCCCTAGATGGCTCATGGAGAGGGATCGTCATGAAGAGGCTCGCAAGTCTTTGAACAAGCTGCGCAGCGGTGTCGACGAAGACACAATCGACCTCGAATTCCGCGAGATTCGCGATGTAATTCTCGCAGACAGAGCCGTCGGCGATGTCTCATGGAAATCCATCATCACCAAGCCGTCGTGGAGAAAGCGTCTTCTCTTGGGCTGTGGCATCCAGGCTTTTGGTCCTCTCAGGTATGGTTCTCTACAAGATTCAGCACTGCCAATTGCAAGTCACTAACCTGTTCTTAGTGGTATCAACGTTATCAACTACTACGGCCCGCGTATCTACGAGATCCTCGGAATCGAGACCCAAGAATCCCTCATGATCATCGGCATCAGCGGTGCGCTGTCCATCGTCTACTGCACCATCGGCTTGTGGATGCTGGACCGCGTCGGCAGAGTCAAGCCCTTGATTGTGTCGGCCGCCGGTTTGGGAGCGTCATTGCTCGTGAACGCTGTGCAAGCGCAGTACATCAACGAGAACAACACCAACCAACTGCGCAGCATGGTCGCCATGAACTTCGTGTTCAACATGTTCTACACCCCGCTTGGCATCATCAGCTGGGTATACCCTGCCGAGATCTTCCCTGTGGAAGTGAGAGCACTTGGAAACGCGATCACGACCTTCACGAACTGGACCGTCAACCTCGTGTTCGCCCAGTTCTCGCCTCAAGCCTTGACGACTATTGGCTTTAGGTACTTTTACGTCTTCTTCGTCTTTAACCTTATTGCTATGCTCTGCTACATCTTCTTCTACCCCGAGACTAAGGGTAGAACGCTCGAGCAGATGGATGAGCTGTTTGGTGATCAGCTTGTACCTCACGCCATGCAGGACTCCGAGGGCGCGGCAGCCGCTGTGGCCAAGGACGAGAAGCTGGTTGAGCAGCTCGATCGTGTCTGAATAGCATTTTAGCTTATTTGGTCAAGGATCAGTCAAAATACACACCTATGTAGTATCGGAGTTGGTTGTTATCAAATTCAATCAGCCATAGTAATAATGCATCCTCAACGCACCATGGTTGGAGATATGCCAAATGATGCGCGCGTGAAAACCTCCTTATTAGTTGAATCCTGGGATATGTAGATTCGAGAATTGACCGGATACGATGTTAGAGTGAATCCCGGTGCACAAAGCTCGTTCGCATACTGATGCAAGTGCGTTCGAATGGTTGTACGTCTCAGCTAGGACGCGTTACAAACAGGAGCTTCTCCGGCTTCCTGCGCCGATTTTCATGCCCCACCTACTTCCGGTCCGGGCCGTGTGGGCCAAGAGACTTGAGAAGCGTGCATCCGCTCTCTTTCCTAGCGACCTATCTTCCAATTAACACCAAGCGTATCTTTTGAAACATTTACTACATGGAATACTGCACTGCATTATTCCTCCCACTGAAGCGAGCTGGATCTCTATCTTTGCTATGCCTGACGGGCTTATTGCATGGTTGCACCCATCCCACTGTTCTGGTGTGTGGAAGTATTTCCTGAAATTTTGGGCAAGGTTGTTAGAGTATGGAAAGCAAGGTGCCGTCTTATATCGAGAGGTATGTGCTTAGCTTCATCTACGCCGAAGAGTTATCCCCAGAACGATGGTTCACCATGCTGTGCCATGAACCTCTTCTACTGAATGTCGAGTCTGTTAGCTGTTTAAGACGATGATAGATTTGTTTTGCCTCCATATCAATGTAGGATCATTACAGAATCAGTTAGAATCACCTCTCCAACGCCCGAAGTGCCTCCCGTGGATCTTTGGGGGAGTTTCCAGGTAAAGTACGTTGTGATGGACTTCCTGTAAATCGGGAGATTTGCAGCGATGGGATCCACGATTGTCTTATGAGTTGACTTTCCAGGAGAAGGGCTCGATGGAACCCGTTTGCTCATTGCCTGTCTCATAAACCCGTCAGGTTCCTGAAAGGCTGTGTTGCCAGATGTATTTAACAACCCGGAGGTTTCCTGCCATGTATATAGCCGGGTAAGCTTCTATAGAATTTACCTTCATAGGCTACTCAGGCTGTGTGATAGCGGGTTATTTCGTATTCATTTGTGTTTATATCACATGATTTCAACGTTGTAGATCTTGGTTTTGAAAGATATGCCTCAGGGAATGACAATGATGGTCTGCTATTATTTACCGCTGTGACGGCTTTAACTCTTTGTGTAGGGCAAAGAGTGCCCTTGGTAGTGTTTAGAACTCAATGGGATGGGATACATGGAATGATTTAACAGCAGCCACCCCTAGTTTCAGCACGTCACTGCCGATGCCCTGACAACGTATTCCAGATTGAGCTCCCCAAAAGCCGGTCCGACGTGAAGGCAAAAGCCCACATTGGATACGTTCTTCAAAAGCAGTGACTTCGAGACCCGAAGAGATTGTTTGCTCCGAAATCGACCTTCTTCCACATACAGGAGGTAATCGGACTGTGAAAGTACTTCAGGGAAATAAGGGGGAGTTGTCTGTCTTGTTCCGTGATCGAAGACCAAATCGCTGGCCAAACCCGTTTCGGTAGTACCCAGGTTCAACTCCAGTACGTCATCGTTGATTTCTTTCGATATTCTCTGCCGGATCCATTTAGCTACATCATTGGCGTTGCAGATTGGGCCATCTAGGTCTTCGTTCAGCGAAGGGAAGTGCCCATCATGTAGCGTGCTTGAGGTAGTGCGAAGCATCAGGTCGCTCTCAAACTGAGCAGCTGAACGTCTGTTGAAAGAAGCCATGGCCAAACGGTCAATTTCGCCGATACCGGGTCCAAGGTGCCAACGAAGATTGCAAAGTATCTCTTCTCGAGAGTGATGTTGCAAAACGTGCCGGAACGTTCGCCTAGTAGCAGAATCTGACAGGTCGATGTCGTTGAGTAGCACGTAGTAAGCCGACTGCAAGGCTGCTAGTGCGATTTGAAGACTGAAAGGGCTGTCGAGCTTTGCATGTTGGGCATTTGTGCCGGAAGCAGTTGGCATTGGTGGTAGCAGCGTCATCCAACCGTTTCCGAAGATATTCAGCCGATTGTCGGAGAAATTGGGTTTGTCATAACTATCGCCAGACGATGTGCTGATTGGAAGATCAGAGTCCACATCGTTCTTTTCTTCTTCGCCGCCGGCGGATACTTCCTTCGTCGGGGTGCACCTGGGTTCGCGAATCGAAGGCTCGGTATCAAAATTCGGGTTGTTCCTTGGACTAGTACCCATGCCGCCTTCCTTAGAGGTCGAACTGGCAGGCTGTGCGTCTTGTTGTAAAGATCGATGAAGAGGCCGTGGACTTTCGGTCAGTAGTGACCGGACACGATTCATTGACTGCCGTAGTGTATCCATGAGAGTCGTGTCCTGTCGAGCCTCTGGTGATTCAACCACACTTTCCGCAAAGCTGGAGAATATCGTCACAACCTGGTCTATAGTCCTTTCGAGATGCTCTACTTCGTTCCTGCGCTCGCTCTCTATGGCCTTTTGGCGAAGGCGGAAGGTACTCTGAGCGAGGCGGTTTCTCTCTCGGCGATTCTGTCGCGGTCAGGGGCACGGACAACTACCATGGAGGAAACGGAACTCACATACGTTCAGCTCGTTGCTTCGTGATGGTTCTTTCCGTGGTCTTCCACGTCTTTTGGAGTTCGGTTCGCCGTCGGAACGGCTTGATCTTGGGTGATCCATCACAGAGTTCGAAGCCACGTGTGCGTGATATCCAGAATGCGACTCGGCAAGCACGATCTACCTGACCGTGCTGATGCAGAATAAGAACACTTTTGATTGAAATGAAGAGTAGTCACGTGTAAGGCGTGTTAAATTAGATGACAAATGTCTCGAACGTTATTCTATTAGAATGCCAAGTCGTGACGCCAATATTTGGCATGATTACTGAACAGGCCCTCGGCATTTCCATTTTCTCCAGCTGCAATTTGTTGTCAATCACGCACCCCCAGCATTGATAGTCTTGATTGTCCGTGCCCTCTGTAGCGACCATGCTTTGGATAATCTGCGCCGATAGAGAACATTTGCCAAAACGCTGTGACGTTTTAACAATCACCCACTGATCGACGTTATGTTCTTTGACTGAAGCCACTGGATGATCGTTTCGGCCATATCGACAGGCTTCTCAAAGGGCAGGAAATGTCCGCAGTCGTTGAAAACCTTGCTGGTGAAGTCTGGCCACAGAGCCTGCAGGTCCGGATTGTCGAAGATCGCAGGAGGGCAGACAGGATCGTTGACCCCGCCGATGTGCAAGAATGGAACCCGAATGACGTCCAATTCCTTCGGTAGGGTCTTTTCAACTTCCAGGTGTGCGTTTTGGACCAGCGCACGATACCACATGAGGGGAGAACGGAAAGCGACGGTCGGAGGGCTGCCTTGAGTTGCGAGAAGGTCTCGGGCCCATGGTTGGAGAGCTCGTCTCTTATCGGCCGTGAGCCAGTTGCGAAGTCCGTCGCGCCGACCGAATGTCTCATTCATCGCGTTGTCCACTCCATAGCCCGACATCAGGAAGCTCTCCGGGTGGCCAGAGATAAGATCGGGTGCCTCTGGCCCTGCGAGAAAGTTGTAGTACAGCTTCACCGGCCAGCCAAGCGTGCGATTGTATTCGGCCGCTTGCGCCTCTATGTCGATGGGATCCCGAACCACACGGTCGTAGGAGTAGGCACCGACAACAAGGGCATCAACACGATCCGGGTGCCAGAGATAAAGTCGGTGGGCCAAGAAAGAACCCCAGTCGTGGCCGATGGAAACGAAGTTCTTGATGTTTTCATGATCAAGTAACTCCATGATGTCACTCGCCATTGCGCGCGAGTTGAAGTAAAACGGGTCCCATGGTTTGGACGTATTGCCGTATCCCAGCAAATCCGGGATGAGTAGGCGAAAGCCAACAGCTGTGAGCAGTGGTACGAGCGAATGCCAGGCTGCCGCTGAGTCGGGAAACCCATGAAGGAGAACTAGAGTTGGGCTAGAAGTGGAAATATTCGAGGTCGGAGAAACATAGTAGTTGTATTGCAATGATCTAGAGTTGATCAGTTGCTTTTGGACGAGAGAATCCATGATGTAATTGGTGCTCCTTGGTAGGTGTGACTTTCAACTGGCGATGTGCTGGCAGACCGAGTTTTGACTGCTGCTGAGATCACCGCTCCCTTATAAGAGAAATTTGGCCGTCGTCACATAAACTGTGATTTAGGATGCCTTTGAAATCCTGAGAAAAGACTCCGGTTGATATTGTAAGCTGCGGACACTAATGATAATCTGGGGCGATGAATTATAAGTAGGGCGCCCCCGACAACTTATCAGGCATACGAGGGCTCAGGAGCTCTGCTAACTGCCCTAAACTCAACTATCAGTCTTTACGCACCTTACTCAATCTTCTTTTTGCTTTTCTAACAGTCGTGTACTTTGACTAAAGCTGTAATGATTGGTCATCGGCTGAGTGGAATGCCGGTGACCAAGCATCGGACAAATTATATAATACCCAAACCACGACAAGATGTCTTCATGCCACCCAATATCGTAGACTCAGTTTCTCATGTTAATCTACAGATCAAAAGCACAAAAGGTTCTTCGAATCTCACACGTGCAGTTAGACAGCCAAACTGGTGAATTCGATAACGAGTGCGACCATGAACGTCGAAGAGGGCGTCCCAGCAAAGCCAACCATGGAGGAATCGGCACCCATCTCCAGTAGCCGAGACATCAGTCCAGTGAAGGAAAGTAACAAAAGATGGCGAAATGTTTTGGCGTCAATATCCATCATTCTTTGTCAATTTGTCCAGGTATTTGAGCATCGTCATCTATCCTTCTGCCGAGATTGTTAGAAAGCTAAACATCGCTAGACTATTCCGCTGGGGGCGGGGTTCAATGGCGGACTACACATGGCAAAAGAGCTCGGTGTTAGCCCTGAGTACGCATTATGGATCATTGCTTCATACCCGTATGTCGATTTCTCATAACCGATTTGTTTCTCACCACTCTATGTAGAGAGTACTGACGTCGAAGCAGACTCACCCAGGGAACGTTCGTCTTGATGGGGGGACGCGTTGGTGCTGTCTACGGGCACAAAAATGCAGCTGTTGCTGGTGGTGCTGCTTGGGTCATCTTTCACTTGATATCCGGGTTCATGCGCAGCATTATCTCCCTGAGCATCATGCGCGCATTGAGCGGAATCGGTGCTGCTTTCGTCTTCCCAAACGCCGTCGCACTTCTTACTATTACCTATCCACCTGGCAAGGCCAGAAACATCTCGGTCGGATTGTTTGGAGCGATGGCACCAATTGGCGCAGCAGGAGGAAGTGTATTCCCTGGCCTGTTCGGACAGCTCGCTCCTTGGTGGTGGCTATTCTTCTTCCTGTTAAGTCCCTTCCTATCACATTTACTTTTTGGATGAAACCACTAACAGATGACCCAGTGCCATTCTGGGGACGGTGATATTTGTGTTTTTCTTCCTCATTGTGCCCGGAGAGACTCGCCCGATGGACCCCAATGGCAGAGTTGACTACGTCGGTGCGTACCTGGGGGTTGCAGGCTTGATTCTCTTCAATTTTGTTTGGACGTAAGTTCTCTGTCTGTCCCGACCTTTTAAGAAACTTCAGACATCTAATCATTGTACTGCAGGCAATCTGCACTCGTCGGCTGGTCTGTCCCATACGTCTATGCACTACTGATAGTCTCGGTCTTACACATGACCGCCTTCGTGTTCTGGGAGCTCAGAGTATCGGAGCCGATCATGCCCATGAATATCTGGGGCTCCCCATCCTTCAGTATGATGATTGTGTCGTCGTTTGTCTCTTTCATGGGCTTTGGTATGCTTCTGTGGTACCTGACGGCATGGCAAATTCAACTGAGGGGCTACAGCGTTCTTCTCAACGCCGCCACTTACGTGCCCTTAGCCCTTGGTGGTGCTGGGGCTGCAATACTTAGCGCTAGGGTTGTACGGCATTTGGCAGCGCAGTACATACTGGCCATCGGCTCCCTCGCGACACTGATCTCGCTTATCCTGGTCGCAACAATGCCCGTTCAGCAGACGTATTGGGCTCAAGCTTTTCCCTCTATTCTCCTCGGATCTCTCGGGCCCGACTTTGTATTCACAGCGTCCCAGCTCATCGCGAGTGGAACTGTCAAACGCGAAGAACAAGGACTGGCTGGATCGCTAATCGGTACCATTCTTTCCTACGGTCTGGCGACGGGGTTAGGGTTTGCGGGAACCGTCGAATACTACACAAATAATCACGGAAAGGATCTGGTGCAGGGTTACAGGAATGGCCTCTACCTTGGTATTGGCATGGCTGGTACGGCCATCATATTGTCGCTTGTCTTTGTGAGGATACCGAGAGATAGAAGGGAAGGTTGGGACAACGAACCGGAGATGAGCGACGTTTCAAACGCTTAGTTGATCTTATTGACACGACATTCAGCTGAACTACTCAAGTATGAAATCAAATTGTGCGAAATACTTGATTCAAACCCTGAAGGAATAATGCTCTGGCATTGCAGGCGCAGTGGTTCGCATCTTCAACTTATTGGAGATGCTGTTGAAACCAGTTGACAGCGGCGGACTTCCCACGGACCATAGCATCTCGTTCGCCTTGTTTGTTCGGATCACCCCGAACCAGACAAGCATGCTCAACTCCCGGGAAATGGTGGTACTCAAAGGCAACAGCCTTCTTGACAGCCGTCTCAAAGAAATGCGACTTCAGTTCCGCGGTGAAGACAACGTCAAACTCAGGGGCCAGGACCTGAACAGGAACAGAAACGCCATCAATATCCTCCTTCGTCAACAGGCTAGGGTGCCCAACCGCGATGCAGTCTACTAGGGGCGGCTGGTGCTCGCCAGCCCCGAGTCGGAATGCTGCCCAGCCTCCGTAGCAGAAGCCGATAGCACCCACTTTCTTGTGCTTCTCGCGTAGAGTCCGGGCGAATCCGAAGATTTCCGGTTCGCGGATGTCGCGGGCGTTTCTCTGCATGAAACCCGGGAGGTCAAGTTCGTGGAAGCGGCCGTTGAGAAGAGGCTCGAAAGCAAGAACCTCACCGCCGAAGAAGTCGGGAACGTAGACCGTCACATTTGCTTCGCGGGCGTAGTGATCAGCGAGAAGTCGCGCGTTCGGGAATGTCCAGCCCAAGAGGTCGTGTACATAGAGGATGCCGACGTTGGGATTGTCGCCGGCGATGTAGACATCCGTGTCATTGATCCTTTCGATGCGGCCAGTCGGGGTGCCGTCCCACTCGAAAGCTTTCAAACAGCATGTCGAGACGGCCATGATTGCTAGAGATCTGAACAAACGAGGGACAGAATATGCGGTTTCTGCTTATAATTTGTTGATGTTATAAAGATAACTCTCCGAGAATTCTAAGCTTCCATGTATTGTGATACCCGGCGTCAAACGCGTTCCGGTGTGCGGTCAGCTTTAAAGGCCGCACCGAGCGGACGCAGCATTGACCCGACGTATTCCAGTAGGATGACACGTGCATCAATATTCGCGTTGCCAATACGCATAAACCTGGTATTTGCCTGTCCTGCAGGAACACCGAGCTATGAGTCATGGTGAGATGGTGACCGAAGCCCTGAATAGGTAAGATCGTTACATCCTGTGCCCCTCGAGTGTGCAGTTTCCCCAGCATCAGCGCTCGGTTTCGGTACGCGGAGAAAAGAACCACTTATGTCCGGGGTAATATCCACCTTCGGAACCGCTCCGGAGATTGATACTGTCCGACTACAAGCCAATTCGTGAGAACTGCAAAGCATTTGATCCGACACCCAGTGAATGTAGAGAATGTGCGCAGAGCCAGATTGGCCAAGGCACAAGTTCAAGAAAAAGTCTCATTCTCTGCAGTCTTCTCTCTTTCTTTGTTGTCAAGGCCATTGTTTACGAACATTGTAATCTTTTCTTTCTGTACTTTTTTTGAGTCTTTGTAATTGGAACCCTGTATCGTAGAACAATGCCACTCATCAACGCCTTTCAAGTTTCAGAAGACTACCTGTATATAGTTGGGCTGAGAAGGTCTCACGTCTCTTGAATTGACTTGATAGCCTCGTGCAGCTTCTAAGCATTCTTATTGTCGTCGGGACGATGACCAGCTTCGACCCAACCTCACCAGCTGTAAAGCTCGACGATACTAGATCAACTTTACCCCTCTATCGTCACAGTGGTTGGACTACCTTCGCAAACATCTCTTTCGAATCAGAGGCCCTCAAAACTGGACTCAACCCCCGAACAAGACCAGACCTCATACCAGTGACATGGCCTGGGACACTAAACATGGGTAGGAGGCATGTCCGTCGAACTGTCTGAAGTTCTTCTCCACGATTTCCAACTCAGTGCAGTTACCATTGCATCTGTCGTCTTGCTAACCTGCTAGCCTCGACGACTCATCGAGTAAACAGAAAACCTGCGGTAGCTGCTTACATGTACATACTACTACACCACATCTGCAACTGTATCATCCATCGTAGCTTTGTACGAGTTCTGAGACCGAAAAGAGGCTACTGCCAAGCGCCAATGTCCTTTCCACCATGTATTTATTGTTCCTGCAGGTCAGGTCATTCGAGCCTGGTGAGATACTCGACAGGTTGCTTTGGCAGTCGATGTTTCAATGTGTGCAGTCAACAAAGCCCTGATGACGCACAGGTACTCATTTAAAAGGTTGGCGTTTTCTCCTACTTATCTGGAGCTGTGCACGCCTTGATGAAGATGTCAACGTGCAGCGTTGCTGAGGCCAGCCTTTGCACGACAGCTCATGCGGTACTTACACAACTCTGGTTGAATCACTATCCGTCTTCAAGCAATTATATATGTTGGTACTTCCGACGTCGCCCAAGCCCAGCTTATAAGACTATTTGCCACCTGCACATCATTTCTTTTAACTAGATAGAAATCTCAATACAACTGCTATGACTTGTATTTCCCTTTGTCCAAGAAGATATTGAAGACAAACTCAAACAATTAACACAAAGCTTCACAGTCTGGTAGATGTGCAGTTCATAAACCTGAATAGTCTGCATATGAGGAAATCGACGAGTTATGTTACAACGCTAGCAGACCTCATCACACTTTCCGCCGTATTCTCACTGCTTCCGGTCAATGATCCCTTTCCGCCCACTTCCTGTCAAAAACATTGAGCGATCTCTGAGCTATTCAATGTCAACTTCAGCTCCATTTCGCGCAACTGCCACTTGATAACCACTTACCAGTAGGGACTACGTCCAACGCTTTAATGGAAACGTGCGCAGGCTGATGCAGCATGTAAACAGCGGCCTGTGCAACATCGTCCGATACCAGTGGGCTATTGAAGCTTGAATTAGATGATCATTCTGTGACACAAGAAAAGGAGTCTTACTCGTATCCCTCGATGAACGAGTCGTATTTCTCCTTGTCGTGCCCAACACGCTGGGCGTGGAAGTTGGTGGTGACAACGCCAGGGCGTAGTGCCAAAACCTTGATGTTGGTCTCGACTAGCTCGTTGCGGATCGAATTTGTGAAGGCTTCTTGAAAAGCCTTGCTTGCGTGATACACGGCCTCTCCTGGGAATGGTGGAACTTCAAGACCAGTTACGGAAGTGATGTTCAGGATGGTTCCTTTGCCAGGCTTTTCCTTCATCATAGACCTATTCAGCACAGAGTGAGTTACAAACATCATGCCATTGACGTTGGTGTTGGCCATTGTCATGATGTCTTGGATCTTCAGCTCCGGGAAGGTTGCAGGTGCTCCGAGAGCGAGACCGGCCTAAGAAGAACTTCAGTGTCTGTTGCTGGACGGTCCATGAGGTCGTAAACTGTTCAGGATACAGCTTACGTTGTTAATCAGGATGTCAATATGGCCCATTGCATCAACCGCCGACGCAATGGCCTTGTCCACAGACTCGAAGTCGCCAACATCAGCGGCACGATAGATGATTTTCAGATTCCCATGAGTAAGTGAAAGTTTGTTGGCCAAGGTAGCTAGATTTCTCTGATCAGATGTTGCATTAGTATGTCAAATCTTCGCAACATGATGTTACTTAATCACGCACCTCGGATCTTGAGAGAAGCACCAAGTTTGCCCCCTGTGCTGCTAAAGAAGTCGCAATCGCTTCGCCAATACCCATAGAGGCTCCAGTCTGCGATTGGTCAGTCGATGGTGTTGCATCAATTATGCCGTAGACCGTGATGGCTTTCCAACTCACGATAAGAACATTCTTGCCTTCGAGGCCCATATTTGCAATTTCGTAAAGTTTATTGGCTGGGAGGTGTTTTCAAACAGTCCTGATGACACCGTCAAATGTAATCGCAGGTGTAGTCGTGTGTTCGATATTTGAAGTCGTCGCCCGGAGTAAAACAACCCCGCCCCTTGTCGAGGCACGATCAAAGCCCTGATGATGACAAATGTCTTTCCGCTACGTCACTAGGCGATAATTATTCTAGAACCTGAGCAACTCTGAACCCCACCCCTTCCATGTGAGAATTACAGGGCCGGCCCTTTGTCGGGAAAGGCGACTGTTTCCCGATTTCCCGGGACCCACAAGATTGAAGCCGGCCCGACCGGAATCGGAGGTCGGGTTCTCGTCAACGCTGAAGATTAATTCTTTGAAGGTTTCGTCAAACATTGCCATTATTTACTCCAAAATAATTCACAATGGCGGCGAGCTCAAAAGCAGCGGCGGCATATCGTGTGCATACAGTGAGTCCAGGACACCAATCCGAATGGGTCTCCTCAACTTGCCACATGATGATAGTCAGCATGATCAGAGCAAAAGAAACTAGGGTTGCTGCGTTATATTGAGAAGCATCGATCGAAAGTAAGCCATAATCAGCACAGGCGTCAGTCGCCGCTTCGTGTCGTTATTCCTTGATGCAGGTCGGATCAGCCGGGTGATGAGTTACTGCATTGCTTTCGGTCGTAGAGTGCACATCCATTTTTCCCGCTGTCCACTATTTTGTATCCACAGCATCATACTCACGTCAAGATAACGTGCCCTCTGGGCGTTTTTAAAAGACCGGTGTGCCAGTCTACAAATTGGTTTGAAGCGACGAGCACTACTTCACAACATCTAGATCCTCACAAGCACGATGAGTACGCCTAACACGAACGCATCACAGCCGGACGAACGACGCCCGCACGTCTCAATGGAGAAAGTTGATGCACACTCCCCGCCCGAGACCTGTCAACTTATGACCCAGTCCGGTGTTGCGAAGGCAAAGCTTCCTTGGGCAGATCTGATAATCAAGTCATTCTTTGGAGGTATCTTCATATCTCTTGGGTCGCTATTCAACCTCGTCGTAGCAGGTGGTGCTTCTGGTCTGCGCTCCTCGGATCCATCTTTAGCTACGTTGATAGCCGCATTCACCTTCCCCATCGGCTTTGTCTTGACTATCATGACCAATGTGGAGTTGGTCACGAGTAACATGGCGGTAATGACGTACACAACCCTGCAGAAAAGGACGAGTTGGTATGATCTTGCGAGAAATTGGATTGTTTCATACATTTTCAATTTGGCAGGGTGCTTGTTCTTTGCTGGCGTTCTGGCGTGGTGGAGCGATACTTTGGAATCCGATGCCCAGTCGACGTATGCTGTAACACAAGCCGAAGGCAGGGTTAATGTCAACTGGGGCTTCAACTTTACCAGAGGTATCGGATGCAACTGGCTTGTAGGATTGGCGGTTTACATGGCTACGAGCGGGAAAGACAATTTGTCCAAGATTGTTGGAATCTGGCTACCAATTTGGACCTTGTGAGCATATCAATCCCCTGCACCAGTTTTCATGATTGCATTGGACTGACAGTTCTCAGTGTTTGCCTCGGATACCAACACTCCATTGCAAATTTCTTTCTCGTCCCTATTGGAATGTTTTATGGTACTGAGGTTGGCGTGGGAAAATTCATCTACCAGTCCGTGATTCCTGTAACGCTTGGTAACATCGTTGGAGGTGCCGGCTTGGTTGGTGTTTTCTTATGGTTTTCGTATGGAAGAAATGACACATTAGCCACAAACACTGGGCAGCCACTGAGTGGCGAGAAAAGGATTAAAAACGGATCCGGGGCTCACGATATATCTCATAGATATCAGCATCATGACGCTGGGAGCGAGGAGACGGTCTCGGTGGGGGGGAGTAGTGATAGCGTGCGAGAGAGAAGAAGGGGTTCAGAAATGGTTTGACAGCAGACATCGGAACAAATTGCAAGCAATCAAAGATGGGACATCAAGGTTCACGTTCCCGAAGAGTACTCTACAGCTTTATTAAAATCGACAGCCATACTCTCAACCGTATTGGTCTTGTCGACTGTGCCGTTTCTAATGTTCCGGCAAATCGGCCTAAATCCGATCCAAGACTACGGCATTTCGGCGAGCCTCCGGACTTTTAACCAAGACTTCTACAACTGACCACCGGGAGCTATCTAATTCCATTGTTCCAAGTCATTTCACAGTCGACATGACCGGTCAATGGCCATGTAATTTGTCAGCTAGCGGTGATAAGAACGCGGCAGTCCCTTCGAAGGTTGACTACCTTAGTGAGAATGCCCGCAACTCTGTTCTCCGCAGACTCCTCCTCAGGCCAGGACGTAACCTGTTGCTAGGATATAACAACATGAAATTACCTTCATCATTGTTATGGATAAGATTTTCCGGAAAGGCAGCCTTGCAGTGATCACCGGGGGCGCCTCTGGGATAGGGCTTTCGCTTGCCCAAAGATGTCTTGCAGCAGGCATGTCTGTCATTGTCGGCGACAGGGACCAGATTGCCGTCGACAGCTTGAACAAAACATACGGTCATGCGATGAGAGCATTCAAGATGGATGTAGCGCAGCAAGAAGACTGGGCAACTTTGAGACGGACTATCGACAACGAATATTCAGGTATGCAGCACGTTTGTTTCCTGCCATTTTGCACCCATAAAAGGAAACTTCAGCTAAGACTTTTCAGGTCTTGTAGCACTACTTGCCTTGAATGCTGGGATCAAGCCTGAGTGCTCCTTTGATGACGTTTCCTCCTTTCAGACAACGTTCAACACAAATGTCTTTGGCGTCGTTGCAGGGATTAGCTCACTGCTACCATGTGTCAAAGCAAATGTTGCCAAAGGCAACCCCTCTTCTGTCGTAATCACCGGCTCAAAGCAGGGCATAACGAATCCACCTGGATATCCAGCCTACAATGCCTCCAAGGCAGCAACTAAGGTCATTGCAGAGCAGTTGCATTATGACTTGAGCAACATCCAGTGCCTTTCGGTACACCTTCTCATTCCAGGGTGGACGCATACCGGCATGAATGGCAGAGCTTCCCAGGATGAGACGCAGAAGCCAGACGGGGCCTGGTGGCCAGAGCAGGTCGTTGATTATTTGGAACAAAAGATGCTTGAACATCAATTTTGGGTGATTTGCCCCGATAATGAGGTGTCTGAGCCTATGGATCAGAAACGAATGACGTGGAGTGCTGGAGATGCCGTGGAGGGACGACCTCCACTCAGCAGATGGAGGGAAGAATACAAAGAAGACTTCGATGCCTTTGCCAGGTTGGATACATAGCAGCGTCTAGCGAATAATCAAGACGTTTGACGCATAAGCGTCATTGCTAGGGCCTTCTACCTAGGTGATGACATCCAATCAAGACCATCGTGGGCTAATGAAGGCCGACTTAAAATGCTAGGGCCCTAACCAAAGTCAAGGGATGCAGCCTCAGGCATAGGTTGGAGAAAGTTAGGATCAAGTATCTGGGACGACTTTCTTTCGAATTCCAGCACTATCAATGAGAGTTCAACAAGTACCTCACCCATTCCTGAACCTCTCCTCATCCCTTTTTCTCTCCATGTCAACTCCCGCCATAGCCTGTCGGCAACACCAACAGCCATGCCGCCGCTAATACTGACGATTCGACCGCCGAAGTCAGCAGAATGGAGCTTACCACAGCCTCGAAAGCTTGGATTTCTACACCTTCCCCGCGAAATTCGAAATCATATCTACGAACACGCCTTGGTTGACCCCGTGGCACGTTGGGACAAGAGGCACAGCATCGGTTGCAAGTTCAAGACATTCAACCCGGCCGAAGCCGAGCCCCCTCCATTCGTACTATCACAAATCACCTTGCACGCCAATCCATTCAGCATGCATCAGTACTACAGCTGTGGTTGCGGCAAACGAAGCGGTCACCATCTTTTGCAGTCCAGTCGTAGGATACATGAGGAAGCTTCCCCCATATTCTGGAGTCGCAACAGGTTCTGTTTCCTCGACCTTCGGGAGTTCATGCTCATTTCGCAGAACTTGGTAAGCTCGATCCAGCATGAGTACATTCGATACATCAGTATCATGCCCCCAGGGACGTCCGGCACTTCACTTCACATCGTCTACGACGGGGTACGAGTCAACAATTGGGGGTGGTGCTGGCCCCTATTTTGGAAGGAGATCTCTCTTTTCAAGAACCTCAGAGAACTGGAGGTTGAACCTGTGTCGGTGTCTGATGAAGGGTTCAGCGTCACTAGTGAATGGGTGGAGTTTATCATGTCGTCCATGCCGGAGCTCAAGGTCCAATTAGTCGACTTATACTCATTTTGCGAAGGCCTATATCTGTATACGCCGACCGTTTCTGAGAAGGACGACAAACTCCATCGCAGCACGATTTACGCTAAGATGTCTTATCCCTTGATTCCCGGCAGCAACTATCATCCAGAAACGGGCGAATGTTTAAATCTCGCTCTAAGCGAGTTGTACAGGCGCACTGCTCGGGACATGCTTGACAAGTACACCGACGTGGAGGAAGCTATCGCGCTTTGCTTCTTTGAGGCGGATCCGAGCGACCGAGATAATTGGGAGGATTATTGGAAGATCCGGGAAGGCTTCGACGAATTCCACGACCAGTTACGAGTGACACTTCGCGACGGCAGTGCTCTCGACTTCCAGTTCTACGGCTTACCATCCAGCAAAGAGACGGAATCGCATGCAAATCAACAGAAGAAGTCCCGTGACATCAAGCAAATTGCATTCAACGGCCTGACAGTTGCACAGAATGAAGCGAGAAAGAGAGCGCGAGAGCGAAGAAGAGAATACCTGGAGAATGCACAAGCCAGGCATATACCTGCATGGAAACAGCGCTACATTATGTCTGGTGCTGCTCAACGCGACCCCATTCCCTCTTTCCCCAACGTCGACCAGAAAAGGAGTGCAACGAGACGAAAACGCGTATCGGAGAAGAGGAATGCAGAAGCCAGAAAACGGGAGAGAAAGAGAGTTCAGCGCAGACAAGGATGAAAGATGGCATGCATATCTCGAAAACCACAGGGTCCAGAATCGTGTATGTTTCGGTGATTGTGCTTTCAGTTAATGAGGTATCAGATGATATGATTACGCACGCAATCCTTGGCATCTGCTAGAATGATGACGGGCATAATTGTGCAATAATATTAAGGTTCAGTATCTTTTCGATGAGTTTCATTATCACGCAAAACCATGGTCGAAACAATCCAGATTATTGGAACATTTCTCAACTAAACCTCGCTAATAGCTCATTACATGAGTTCCGCCGTTGATAGACCACATGTCACCTGTAACATACGCTGCGTCTGAGGATATCATGAAAGCCAACAGCGCAGCAACTTCTTCCACTTTTCCTAGCCTCTGTAAAGGGACCTTCTTCAATCCTTCTTGCATGGCTGGACTTGCGTCAATTGACTTTTGCAACGTCGGTGTCAAGATAGGCCCAAGAGCCACCGTATTTGACCGAACATTGTCTTTGCCGTAGGTCGTTGCAGTGTGACGTGTCAACGCATGTACTGCTGCTTTTGAGGCGGCAAATGCTACTCTGAGGGGCTCCGGGGTGCCCAAATAGTGACCACTCATCTACTTAGTATCAGTTACCAGGTCTTAAAGATTTGGTGCATCGAAAGGTGCAATAGGAGAAGAAATCTACACTGGAGATGTTTATGATTGTTCCACCTCCAGCCCCCTGGAGGTGAGGAAGAGCATATTTCGTCGTCAAGGCGAAGCCGATGGTGTTGACTTGGAATGTTCGATGCCAAATTGCAGCATCCATGTCATGCACCGCGCGGTCGTTACCCATTGTCTGAGGACTGAGATCTGCCCCAATGTTCAAAAGACTGTCAAGGCCACCCAGAAACTCGGTGCCTTTCTCAATCAAGTTCTTGATAGACTGCTCGTCGGCGAGGTCAAACTCGATGACTGCTGCACTGCCCCCGGAATTCGTAATTTCCTCTCCAACTTCTTTGGCTGCGCTGATGTTGATATCAGCCACCACAACCTTGGCACCACGCCCTGCAAGATGCTTAGCTGTACCGGCACCGACACCGGTGGCTGCGCCTGCGAGGATAACACGGAGTCCAGTGATGCTTGCCATGTTGCCTGAAATCGACCAAGAAGAATTGGAAACAAATGGTTGAGTGTATCTGGAATACGTGTCGTGGGTTTCGATTTCGCTTTCATAGGCTTTCACGTCAGTCCCCATAACGTCTTGTCAGGCTCAATTGCCTTGGCAAATTGAGAAACCGTCTTGCGGGCGATGCTAAAACCACCCAGACCCGCGAAACCGAGACCGAGAGCGGACCGTCGCAGCGGACGGGAAGATCAGCCGTAGCACTAATGTGACCGCCGGTCGCTAACTAGCAACTGGGTTCCCTGATTGGCTGACCTCACCGAACTGACAACGTTCAACATGCTTTTCAATGGCATGCCATAATTTTGCAATAGCCGTCGGTCAGGTTCCCATCTCCAGAACGAGGGATAGTTGGCGAAGGTAGGTTTCACCATCCGAACTCAATGCCTGGATTGTAGGTGTGCTGTCAGGCAGAGTGACAACTACAGTCTTATGGCCATTGGATCAACGGACCGATATAACCATCACTCATCTCATGCTGGCCGTAGGCTGTCTTCTAAACACTATCCACGCTTTGATACCAAAGGCAGGCCCTCATCTCAGCTCCAAACAACCTTCAATAACTATGGCAAATGAATCGAGCTTTGCTGCCGCAGGCGCAACAGCTCTACTGGAACGCCTCCGGACCGGGTCTTCTACGTCATTAGTTGCTACAGGTCTGGTGGTGCTCTTTGTCCTTCTTGTTGTTCTTGACAAGTTCATCTCCGCGCCGGTGGACCCTCGTGAGCCCCCGGTGATCAAGGGAAACCTGCCTGTTCTCGGCCATCTTGTTGGACTGCGTACCCAGTATCCCGCAGTCTATGAGAGAATCGCGTAAGTTCACGCAACTCGAACATCACCCAATGTTCTGACCGGTGATAGCATACATGCTGACTGAACCCTTTTTGCTTCGCATTGGCACAGCAAAAGCTCAAAACTGCCAATTTGTACCCTTCCACTTTTGAACAAGAAGATGTACGTTGTCAACACGGCGTCGCTTGTTCAAAGCTGTATGCGGAACAAGAACTTGGATTTCGGCGCCCGCATTGAGGAAATTGCGGCAGCCATGGGCGTCGACACGACCATCACAAGAAGGCTTGTGCGCGAAAACGCCGTGGAAGAGATTTCCCGAGTTACGATATCAGCACTTTCCGGGGACAACCTGCTGAGACTCAACTTGATGGCGTTGGAGTACATCGGGAGCCGCTTCAACGAGGTCAAGGCCGGGACACCTATCGAGATTGACGACTTTTACCATTGGACTCGTGACCTTATTGGCACGGCGACCACTCGGGCTTTGTACGGAGAGCACAGCCCATTCAATGATCCGAAATTAGTGGATTGTATCTGGTATGCGGCTGTTTCCTGAAAGTAATTGCTGTTCTGACTTGGCAATCTCAGGAAATATGAGACCGGCCTAGGAAAGCTTCAATACGGCTGGCTCACCAAGCTGATCGCGGGCAAAGCTTTGGATGCCCGAAGAACAATGGTCACCGCCTTGGCAAGTTATTACGTGCGGAAACTTGACCAAGGAGATACCGTTTCCGCTGTCATACGCGGCCGGGCAGCCTTTTGGCGCTCTTTCGGTCTTTCGGATGCCACTATTGGTGCCATGGACTCTCTGCCGGCTGCATCAACGGTCAACACTGCACCGTCCATGTTTTGGCTCCTAGTCAACGTCTTCTCCAATCCGAAGTACTTGACTCGCCTTCGCGAAGAGGTGGAGGGAGCGACTGCAATTACCATCACCAAGGATGGAGATCGTCGCGTGGCCAACGTGGACGTTACCGCACTAGGAAACTCGTGTCCTTACTTGGTTGCGTGTTACCGCGAGACCTTGCGGTTCGAGAATACTGTCACCGGAAGCCGGATGGTTATGTCCAAAGACACCACAATCACCGATCACGAGACCGGCCGGGAGTACCTACTGAAGGAGGGAGTGGAGGTTCAGTGGAGCGCGTCGGTCATGCATAAGAAACCCGTATGGGGAGATGACAGAGAAGTCTTCAACCCAGAGAGGTGGCTTAAGTCAACCCCTGACCTCACTAAAGGCTCCAAAGAGTCATTTGTTCCTTTTGGCGGTGGCAAGCATCTTTGCCCTGGCCGTAACTTTGCATTTGCCGAGCTCTTGGGCTGCCTCGCCGTCTTGGCGGTTGGATACGAGGTTGAAGGAGTTCAAGTTCCTGCCCATGCTATGCTGTTCGAGCACTCCGGACTGAGATCACCAATTTACGGGAACAAGTCTAAGAAGGCCGTGTTGAGAAGGAGACAGAGTTGGGAGGACGTAAGTTGGCAATATCTGTGATTAGGCCACGGCAAAATTGTCCCTTTTTCTGGATTTGAATCCACGAGTTTTGTCTACGGGTGCGGTTCTGTGCTTTGGAACACCAACCTTCGCGCACTGAAGTCCATGTCATCGGACTATGAATATTCAACAGTTAACACGTAACAAACAACCCATTTATTCTTCCATGGAAGCAGACGACTAGTCACGAAGATGAGAAATATGACGCTCTCAAGACGCTCATCATCGTACGTTGTGCGGTAATGATTGTGGAAGCTGTAGTGATCCTGGTTGAGGGTTCTCAGCATGTCTGAGAGTTGCTTATAATTGTTGCATACTATGTGTGGTCTCCACCAAGGCTTGTAGTTTCCAGGTCAGCAAACCATCTTCAATTTGCTCTTGAACATTGAACGAAGATGCAAACAACATTGAACCTTTGAATTGGGGTTTGGATCCGGGCAGAAGTGGTCGTTGATCGTATTCTTTCCTCTCATATCTTCTACTGTAGACAGTTCCTGAAGGTAACAGCAATTAAGGGCTCAATTGATGGCGCACATGTGGTTGAGGATGATTCGGCTCGTGCTGACTTTCATGTTCAGAGCGTCGAATCACGAAGCCTTTCTGAGGCGCAATCCCGTGAATTCCAAGGAGAAACTTCGTAGAACTCATAGTCCAGGGCAATGATTGCCACCAGCGGCTAAGTTTTCCGCGTCCACGACTCAATTGCATAGCATATTGAGTATGTTGCGACTAATCATGTGTGTTATGAACCACAACATTTCCAAACGCCGGAGGTCAAGTCCTCCCGGCTTAGAAACAATTCCAGACAAATGTCGTAGGCGCGGGGCAAAGTTGATAGTTTGTCATCTTCTGAAGAGTTCCTCCGGACTGCTGTTCAGACAGCTGTTGCCCTGAGACGGAGTTCTCGCGGCACTCCGGAACCGAAACCGAAAACGGGAAAGCCCTAGGGCGGGGTCGTGTGCCCGTCGGGAGCCTGCAAACTCCGCTCGTTTTACCTGTCTCAAGCCGGGCCAGCCCGCGTTTAATCCCCGCTTTTCTGCGGACTTTGAGTATGGCTTTGTAAAAGGGGGAAGCAATGATCTCATGTTGAACAGCAGTAACGAATGACGTTTGTGTGTTGCGACCGGGGACCCATATCGTGCCCCTCGATCTTCGGATCAATATTGAGGGGTGAGAGCTGCATAAGTAAACCACCAACGTGCATCAGATATCGAAATTGTAGATTGAATGAGCTCAGTAAACCTACGTCAAAAGGTTAGAACCAAGTCGAAAAGCCTGAGTCACCGCAGGATAGGAGAATCCAACCATGAAAGTCGCGATCGTCGGAGCAACTGGAGAAACGGGCAGCTCCATCGTGAATGGGCTGCTCGCGTCGTCGGAGCCGAAGTTTGTAAGTGAAATCACTGAAGTTTATCCATTTTCGAAGCCGATTTAGTGAGCTCACCCCTGTGGTAGGAACTTACAGCTCTCATCCGACCATCGTCGCTTCAAAAGCCCGAGGTACAGGCTTTGGAGAAGAGGGGCGTCAAGATAGCCGGCGTTGACCTGGGCGGCTCTGAGGATGAGATTGTCAAGCAGGTTACCGGATTCGACGTTGTCATCTCAGCCATCGTTGCGGACGCTCTTCTCGATCAGCTGCCCCTGGCCAATGCCTCGAAGAAGGCTGGAGTCAAGCGATTTGTCCCTTGCTTCTTCGGGACGGTGATGCCTGCCAGGGGAATGCTTTGGTTCCGTGACCAGGTAAAGGCCCTGAACTTGCCTGAACTTTCCGGTGGCAACAGTTGTTAATCTTCGAGACGCAGAAAGAGGATGTTCTCAATCATGTTCAGACACTCTACCTCCCTTATACCGTTATCGACGTTGGCTGGTGGTACCAAATCACCTTGCCGCGTCTGCCGTCCGGCCGTATCGATGCTGTAGCTACACCTTTCGATAACTGGATCGCAGGAGATGGCACCGCCAAGTCGGCCTTCACGGACCTCAGAGACATTGGCAAGTACGTGGCACGCATCATTGCGGACCCCGGCACCCTTAATCAGAGGGTTTTTGCGTACACGGAGCTGCTTACCCAGAACGAAATTTACGAATTGCTTGAGAGGGTTAGCGGGGAGAAAATTGAGAGGAAACACGTACGTTGCGACCCGCTGAAGCTTTGTTGCTGTAAAGACTTTGCCGCTAAAACAAAAACGCAGCTTTCGGGAGAGGACATTGAGGCCGCCATAAAGGAAGCAAAGAATGATGTCGCCAACCCTCACAAGCTCTCCATACTGCAATATCGGAAGTCGTGGGGTCTACGAGGAGACAACTCGCCGGATTATGCGAAATACCTGGGCTACCAGATTGGCAAGGAGCTTTACCCGGACTTGACAGGGAAGTCTCTCGAAGATTTCTGCAAAGAGGCTTTGGATGGAAAGATCGAGCCCATCTTCCAGAAGAAGAGACGCGAAGCCATCGAAGCTGCTCAGAAACAAGCCGATGGTGGAAAGGCTTGATTTAGATATTGGGATGTAAGCCTGACTATGGAACCTTGATTCGGACCGAACACCAAGACAACCGTAGTAGGATATCAATCAACTAGCCTCGGCTGAATCCATAAGTTGAAACAGGTTCTGGATCCGCAGTGCCCAGATTTGAGCCTTCTCCTCGTGGATCGTTCGTTGTCTAGATCTTATCATTTGCGAAACGGGATTCCACCTGTTTATCTACGAAGCCGACGGGATCCCGCCGTGGGGCTCGCAGTAAACACGACCACGAGGTCTGTTTTCCCTTCTTGATTGGCCCGATCATTCCAGGTACGTATGTGATGTCTTTTGAAGCCTACGTGTCTGCCTTCATTGTTATTTTCTTGAGCCAGTAAGTTGCTGACATTGTCGAAGGTCATCAACCGACTCACTCTGTTACAACTGCACTGGAAGCTCAACAGTAAAGAACTTGACCTGTGCTGTCCAGAAAGATATCGATGTTAGTATCGGCTGACCAATCACAAAGGCAGCAATAAGTAGCGAATACGCTTTGATACGCCGTTGTACGATGAAATTCCATTGAGCTTTTCATGACTAAAGCCAAGCTTCAAGAGTTGGCTGCGGGTCTTATCACCGAGCACCGAGCTCTTCCACCCTCGGCGACATCGGAGCTTAGCTGACTAGACTTGGTAGTATCGTATTACTGAGCCCCTGCGCACTCGGTGCAATGGTCCGCCCTTTGCCGCTCGGTTATGTTACCTTGGTGAAGATTATTTGCTGCCTCTTTCTTCTGCCAAATGTGTCTTAATTTATCTCAGAATCAGCTGTCAGTTCATTGAAGCTTCAGAGTCTCTGCTCTCAGCTCCTGCGACTGTCCTGTCAGCAAGACTTTGACCAAGAACCCCTGGATGCCCCCGGATTTGTAGCGAAACCGGGAGACTGGATGCGTGGGGACGGCCCTCGGGACAAGTTAAAGTTCAAGCCGGTGGGGTGTTCCTAAAGCTTAACGTAAACTTAGCTATGACCTGATGTTCAACGGTTCATACCAACATCAGATATCAGTAGATCAGATAACAACTGATAACGTGCAATAATCAGATGGATTTCTCACTGTGAGAAGGAGCAGAAGTTACTATTTTAGCACCGCATCGGGCCCGGATAAACAGCCGATTTGCTCTTCTTCAGTAACAAGTTCTTCAAGTCACGGCCTTTGGAATCATCCCCGCTTATGACTCGAGCCTCGCCCGGCCTCATTTGTCACAAAGGCCTTGTCCATGCCACTCAGTGGAGCTCGCTTGCGTCGAACCTGCCAAAAGGAGGGATGGAGAGAAGCTCGCTAACACCTTCGGTGTAGTTAGAGGTAACGTTCCTCCGGCGTGATTGGTTCTGCTGCTTCGTCAAGGTGGCATTTGTCACCAGAAGTCAGCTACTACACGAGCTCTGGCCTCCACGAAGGGTCGGATCTACGCTTTTGGGAAATGCGCCATTAGCCAGGGATTGACAGGCATGAACCCCACAAGATGAGATGGAAATTTTTTATCAGATTGAGAGATAATCTGTTGGGGAGGAATCGGGATCTCCTGTTGTGTGATATACCTTTTCCTCCCGGGTCTGTTAGGACGGAGAGCATTCTTGCCCATTCCAAGTAACCGTTGGTAGAAGGCAATTGCGACAATGTCGGCCGAAAAGAGCTCTGTTGGAGAGAAAGTCCGAGGTAATGACACACGAGTCAAGATGTCCGGGTTTGTTGGTCAAGTTTGCTAATATGAGAACAACAGTTTTCTTCCTCGGTGACGAGGCGAAAAGTAAGGAGGAGAGAAGACTTGTTCAGAAGATCGGTAAGCAACATCGGGATACTCTTCAGAGGGTTGAAACTAACGGTAGCATCAGACTTCTTCATCCTGGTAACAGCATCCGTTAAGCTATATGAGACGCGCCCAACTGATGTCTTCGGCAGACTTACTGTTGTTTGAGTTACTTCTTCAACTTCCTCGGTAGGTGATGCATCTTCTTAAGATCAATGGGTTTTAGGAACTAATATGTTTCATGGCAGACCGTGCTGCTTTCGCCAATGCATACGTAAGCGTTCACCCATTTCATGCACCACATCATGATCCTGACGGTTGGTGTTTAGGTTGCCGGCCTTCGAGAGGCCCTTAACATGAAGGGCCATGACTACAACACAGTTCTTTCAGTAACGACGGCTGGGTATATCCATCATGTTCACCTCCAGCCACTTATCACCCAGTTCTAACCTTACGTGCAGCATGGCTATTGGTCAGATTCCTCACGGTTTGATCATCCAGAAGATTGCTCCGCGCATCTGGCTTCCTTCAATGGTCGTTGTTTGGGCGGCTTTGACAGTATATTCACGCCCATGAAGTCATTGGATTCCTTACCAGGTTGCAAGCTCACACTTATGATAGATGGTCAGCGCGGCCTGCAAGACCGTGACTCAACTTTGCGTTGTCCGCTTCTTCCTCGGCCTCGCAGAAGCTTCAACCTACGCCGGAACCATCTACATCATCGGATCATGGTACAAGCCGAAGGAAATCTCCAAGAGAACCGCGATCTTCACGGCGTCTGGTCAGGTCGGCACCATGTTTGCCGGTGTCATGATGGCAGCTATCTATAAGGGCATGGCGGGGCTCGGTGGCCTCGGAGGCTGGCAATGGGTGTTCCTCATTGGTTTGTTCCTCGCGCCTGATGTTCATGAGAAGCAACTGACCGGTCATTAGACGGCATCATCACCCTCCCCATCGCCTTCTTCGGCTTCTTCTACTTCCCCGATATCCCAGAGAACACAAAGGTCAACTACCTCAGCGAGTCCGAGAAGAAGATGGCTGTTGCTCGCCTGCCGCCCATCAAGGAAGGCGGACACAGCATCAGCCCGTTCTCGCTCATGAAGCGTCTCTTCCTTTCCCCCGCTTTGTACGTACATCTATCCTTCCATCATTTCACATCCCACTAACTAGTATCTCAGCTGGATTCTCGTCTTCTGGTCCCCAGTCTGCGCCACACTCGAAGCCTACGCCGTCCAGAACAACTTCCTTATCTGGCTCAAGTACCAATCCAGCCACTTCACCCAGAGCCAGATCAACACCTACCCCCTCGGCGTGCAAGCCGTCGGCATCGTCTCGAACATGCTGGCAGCCTGGCAAATGGACGCCACCGGCACCCGCGTCCCCATGGCCGTCCTCGCGGTCCTCCTGCAGCTCATCTGCGCCATCATGCTGCTGGTCCCCACGCTCCCCTTCGCCGGAACCTTCTTCGCATTCTACCTTTCCGGAACCGCGTACATGGTCAACCCGCTCATCTTCGGCTGGGCTAGTATCATTCTCCAGCGCACCGGCGACGATGCCGTGCGTAGTGTTACCGTCTACTGCATGAACGTCCTTTCGTTGACCTTGTATACCTTCTGGGGTATCGTGTTCTACGCGGCTGACGAGGCTCCTTACTGGAAGAAGGGAGGTATTGTCATGATTGTGTGCTGCTTTGTCATGCTGGGATACATGTGGGTTGTGTGGAAGGTAAGTCTTGATGAGATCCCCTCAACTGTTTGGAAACGTCGATGCTAATGTCTTGAAGCTGGACAAAACCACTCTCGAGAAGTACGAGCAGCCCTCTGCGCAGGACTCCGAGGCTTCGCCCGCAGTCTGTGAGAAGGCTTCTGGAATTGAGAAGACGGACAGCGTGGACGAGAAGAGGGCCACCTCCGAGAAGACCGTCTCCATCTAAATATGCGAACAGCAAGCACAAAACTAATATTATGGTCACTACGGCGATCATGACCTCGCTTGGAAGCGTCTACATCTGCGGTATGGTGGACTCGGAGTAAATCAAAACTTTTGTAGACTACCTGTGTTATCTTCCCTAAAGTAATACGACACGTACACTGTTGCTATGAAGCATGGCATCTGTCCCCTGAAGAACAGATTACGCGACATGAATCAAGCCCAGACCTTCCTGAACTTCTCGTCAAACTCCTGCTGCAGAAGCTTAAAGACTTTGTAAACCTTCATCAGCCCAGCTCCTTCATCCTCGTCCCAGCTTGTCGAAGTGCCACCTACGCCGTCATTCGTATTGATGCCTATCTCGCTCCCCTCGTCAGAATCATCGTTATCATCCCAAGAGTCTTGGACCTTCTTGCTCGGCGCCTTGGTCACCTTTGGCTGAATCTTAGGATCTTTCGCAGCAGTCTCAACGGTCGCCGACCCATGCGCGTCATCATCTTGGTCAGGAACAGCCTCCTCCTCGAGAATATCGCCGACATCCTGTAGGTCAACCATGGCGGCATCATCGAACTCGGCGCCGGTCTTGTCAAGGAAGTTTGCCAGGCTTGTAACAATCGTCGCAAGGATCAGCGAGAAGTCCTTGAGGTGGAACCAAACGTCTCCGCGTTTGATTCCGTTGTCACGAACTAGAGCTTCCATGTCGCCATGCTTGAAGAAATCCAAGATGTACGCGTTGAAAGGCACCCCGCCAGTCTCGTCAGGATAGATAGGAATGTAAGGGATGGATTCTTCTTCGAGAAATACGCCGGCACGGACTGTCTCGCACAGCTCATGGATGGTGGAGAAGTCGTCTGTGAAACCAGACAAGGCGGCAAATGGGGACCGGAGCGTCGTGGGAGGGAGAGTCTGGACGTTGGTGGCGGAAATATCGATGCTCTGGTTTCGGCTCGGCCCAACTTTGCGGTTGGTGAAAGGCAACACGTCATCAGGCGTATGGCTCAGGTGCTGTTCGACAAAGCTGCGTACGTAAGTTTGGAAAATTCCAAGGGTCTCCCGGTTGTGATCTCTGAGGGTGGCTGCGGCCTTTTCTGGAAGGCTAGGGAGGAGAACCACAGACGGCGATCGATAAACAACCTCTTTCAGCCACGCCTGGTCGTCGTATCTCGGGCATGGAATACGACAGAAAAGGTGGCATAAGACCTTCAGTAGCTCAACAAGCATGTATTTCTGCTTGTCCATGTTGTCGACGTCTTCACAGAGCTCGTGCAGGTATCCTTCCTTCATCAGGGAGTGGAAAGCAAAAGCTGCGTTCTCGGTGAAGTACAGATGTCCAACAAGTCCAGAAAAGTTCAGGGGGGCTCCTCCAGAAGATAGAAGATGCTGTCTCCGAAGGTACTCGATCGAAAATCGGAGGTGATGCTTGATTGACATCTGCGAGGATGGTCCTCCGAGATAAAGACGTGTTTGCGTCAGCAAGGACTGAATCGCGTTGATGGCGTAGTCTGAACCATCTGTGCCGTGAAGAAGTCCAAACAGACGAAGAATAAGAGTGACGGACATCGGAAACTGGCCTCGAAGGTCAGGCAGGCGAGATGACATGATCTCCATGACGCGATGATGGGGGATTCCGTGAAACACGACATTGCCGAGAAGATCGAAACCTCTTCGACCAGCGCGACCGGAGGCTTGACGGTAGTTGAGAGCGGTCAAGAAGACCGAGTCTCCTGTGAAGACGACCGTCTTGCAAGGCATGTTCAAACCCAGAGCTAATGTGCCCGTTGCAATCACCGCAGTCAAGAAGCCCTTTCGGAACAGCATCTCCACCCTATCGTTGAACGTTAGTTATTTACAGAGCATGAGCGTAACTCGAGTTGCTTACACTTGGCGGTACTTCCGATTCATTCCTGCATGGTGAACACCCAGTCCTCTCCGCAGCGCCTCAATGATAGGCTTCTTGATGTTGGCATACGCAAGAGAAGATATCAACTTCTCCAACTCTTCGGTCGAGATTTTGGTCGAGTCTGCGAAACTGAATCGCTCGATCGGCGCTTCCGGGTTGAAGCTTGCCCATGGGCTGGCCTCTTGACTGGCGTCGTCCACCAGTTGGTCCATCTTGCTGAACGTGGTGCCGTCGTCGTCGTCCTCTCGTCCATTGGAGACTCGAGAAGACTTGGCTTGCTTCCGCGATTTCTGTCCTTCCCGCCATTTTCGGAAGCTTTGCAGCTTCTTGTTCCACTCGGAGTCTGTCTGCCGGTAATTCTCCTCGGCAGTCTCAAGATTTTCCAAGATTTCGAACAGTATCGTTTCGCATCCTATCCGATCGTAGTTGAATATGATGGCAGGAAGTGCACCCCGAGATCGAAGATCCACCAGCAAGGGGAAGGTCGCTTTCACGGTGTTGTCAATCCCTGTGCTGGGTTTCGAAGTTGTCGCGAGGTGGTTGTGCAGGTCAGCAAATGGCGAGTTGGGGTCAGCCATCCACTGGTACAGCTGGTTCTTGAGCGCAACTTCCCATTCCAGAACGTCCGACTTTTTGATAACTTCCTTCAAGGCGTTTTTGGGATTGATAGAGTGGTCGACGGGAAAAGAGTCATTGGCGTACTCGGACATGGTTTGCCAGAGGTTCAGACAGTCCCGCGGCTCCAGGCTGACATCTTTTAACGTTTCCTTGCTTCTCCTGCGAATTGCAGTTAGTATCATGAGAGGCAAAGTGCTTCTTGTCTACTGTAAACTCACTTATTGACAATACTGCCGACGGGGTGGATGAACACAAACTGACTGTCGTCACTGTTCTCGGCATCCAGGCCAGGAAGAGGAAGACGCACAACGGGGTCCAAGCCATTGAACTTCCGATCTTTGGGGGGTTGGTAGACGAACTTCCGAAGATCAGAATATCTTGCACCGTGGACCACCATTTCGAGATCGAATCCCTTCGCCTTTTGCGTGCCGGCCAACCATTCTTTGAACGCAAGGGGGTTGCCGACGGTTGCAGACAGAGCGATAATGGGGCAGGGTGCCAATAGAAGCAGTTGCTCCCAAATCATGCCATCCTCCGCCTGGCCAATGCAGTGAACCTCATCGAAGATGATTCGCTTGACTCTGCGTGACCAGGAGCTCGGGGTCTTCGCATTTGAGGGTGCCAGGAGCATGATCTGGAGGATATGCGGGACAGTGACCAAAACTTGGCATCCTGATGAGTTATTAATGCGGTAATCGCGGGTATGAATGGCCCAGACTGATCGACCGCCGTTTGGGTACGTTTTCGAAAATCTCGCCTGGACTTCGGCCGCAATCTGGTTGACAAGTGCCTTTGTCGGAGCAACGTACACTAGAACGTCGTCATTGTTCGCCTGTAAAACTTTCTTCATGGCGTAGAAAGAAATGAAGGTTTTTCCCGCAGATGTCGGTGCGACCACGAAAAGACTCTTGTTCCTGTCGATGGCGTCGAGAACTTTGCGCTGCCATGCATCGGGCTGGAAAGGCACTCGCGGATCGGGAGCTGAGTCAAAGCTGCGCTCCAAATAAGGACCACAGTGCTCCAGCTGGAACTCGCCAGCTGTGTCGTACTCGGGTAGCTCTAGATGCTTTACAGCACTCTGGATCGCGGGTATGAAAGGCAGCGGGCGTTCGATCAATCTTGAAGCATCATCCGCGGGTGGTGGGAGCTCAAGAACAGATGTTAGATGCTTGAGCTGCTTTCTTGTCTCGACGGTGAGAGGCAGTTTGTACATTTCAAGTACATGAGCCCGAAGCAAAGCCACAGTATTCAGTTCTGTTGATAAATGTGTCAGTGGATTGGTCCTGAATGCCAAGGTGTTGACAGATAATGAATCATGCACACTCACCAAGAGCACCAAATGGCGGCTTGCCGATGACATTGGCCAGTGTTTTGCAGATGTACAACAATGCCTCTCCTCCGATAACCTCTCTGTCGGTACTCGAAAGAGTGAGCAGATACTTGTTAGCCTTCAAGTATCTCTGAACCAACGGTTTTACCTTGTCGAAGTCCTGACATTGCTGCGCAAAGAAAGCAACGACGGCCTGGCTCTTGGACTCGGCTTTCGCAACCTGGATGTTCTTCGCTGCCGCTAGAGCTTTTGCCTTTCCGCTCTTGGTGTTGTGCTTGGGCACCTTCGCGGCATCTCTTCGGGCGAGATCCGCTTTCCATGTCTGCGGCTTCGCAGCGTTGGACTTCATCTTGTCGCGGCCGTTCTTTTGAGGTTCCTGGGCGATGATGATCTCAGGTTCAATGTTCTTGCCAGCAGCGTTTGTCAGGCTGGCGGAGTATGCAATCGTGTCTGCCATGAATCTCTGGTTTCTCCTGAGGGCCTTCGGGTCCATCGGCTTGATGGCATGCTTCGGATCAACTGTCTTCTTGGCGTTGTGCCAGTGAGTCAACTCTTGGAAGATCTTGGAACCAGTGGCGGAATTCTGCCACTTCCGATCGGTGTCCAACTTGATATCCTCCAGGTACGGGTCCAAGACCGGATGGCTGAATGGAAGAACAGGGGCATTTGCGTGGTTCTGCAGTGAGGTCGTGATCACCCGTCGAACGGGCTGGTAGAGCTGCACGGGGTGGCCATCATGAGGTAAATGACAAAGAACATTGATCCCAACGAGGCCCTCGATGATCTTGCCGTAAGACCGAACATCAAAGACAAGCTTCAGGGAATCGATGTTCTGCAAGATATGAAAGAAGATTCGACCGTCGACCAAATCGTAGACGTGCCAGTCGATACTCGCACCAGCTTTGCTTCCGACATGACGTCGAATCAAAGTGATAGCAACGAACGAGAAGTCTTCGAGAAAACTGTGATCTTCATTGCTGACCTCTGCCTCAGGCTTCCTGCAGGACCGCTGGGCAAGTTCTCCAAGTTTTAAGAGCGCAATGTGGACGAGGAAAGCAGCGACGCGTCTCTCGGTATCGGTACCGGGCTTGGTTTTGAGTATCGAGGCACAGAAAACGAGGGCAATCCTTTCTCGGGCATCAATCTCTGTGCCGAAGTCGTGATCGGAAAATGGGACAGTTTGCCGGCCTAGCGCTGATGGGATCTGGCCGCATCCTAGGTCTTGCGTGTGTCGAGTTGCGGACTCAGATACCTGAATCGAGGTGAAGGCATTGGACGGGGTGACAACTTGAGTGTAGACCTTCCTCGGAATTAGCTGGGGTTCACGGTTGAGTTCATATCTGTCATGACTTACCTTTGAGCTCCTGAAGTCAAGACCGTCGATGAAAGAGAGGCTGTATCCCATCTTCGCGAACAAGTACATGACGAGGAGATGGTCGATGCTGCCGTTTGCATCCTCCGCATCTCTTCCCTGCGAACACATGACGAAATGAAGAGAGTTCTCTTCCATGTAGTCGGCGAACTCATCATTGCCGATCGCAGAGAAGACAAAGCTCATCGGGTCCTTCCCATTGTGGTGCTCTGTAGATCCATCGGGCGTGGTCTCGTGGTCAGTCTCGGGAGATCGGAGGTGCTCGATGAGGACGGCTCGCGTCAAGAGGTATTTGTGCCGGTATTTCTCGGGGATGCATCGCGGAACAGCGAGCTCCTCTTGGCTGTCGAACCAAAGAACGTGGAAGTTGCATCCACGCTCCCTCAGCTTGGAGAGGAAGGTCTCAACGGCGTGAACGGCGTGAAGGAGCTGAAATCCATCTAAAAATATCCACGGATGTCAGAAATTTGAAGGGAAAGTTGGGGGGCGGCAGGAGTGGCAGGCGCACCTGTAAAGTCGACCTTCGCTCGAGTGACGCAATGGCAGAGCAACGCCTCGCCATGAATGGCAAAGAGTTCCTTCCCTGCAAAATCTCCGACGATGTCGACTCTGAGAGGAGTAAGAGAGGCTTTCCACTTGGTCAGAGCCGTCAAGGCCGCGCTGCCGACCGGTGCCATGGTGGCGCGTAATATGGATGACGACGGCAAGGCTAGAAGATGAAGATGTCGATAGCAACGTAATGAGAGAAGATTTGGCTGATCAGAGAGTTTTTTTTTTAAAGCCTTCGGCCTGTTGTGTGGGAGTGGAACAGTGAAGGTGGTGAAAGTGAAGTGGCCGTGGAAAATTTGAAGTATGGAGGCGAAGGTGGTGAATCCGTTTGTTGTCAACGAAACTGCAGAATTTTCTAGTCAACACCACCTCATGCAACGATCCGGCGTTAAAGGCCTGGAAAAAAGCAGTTGCCTTTGGTCTTTGTTCAAAATACAAGCAAAAAAGCGCTGCAGGTCTTGATATTTATGCGGGAGAGTCGAGACCACCTACCATTTACGTCGCTGTCCTTTCCTTCACACGGGCGCAATGCAGCCAAAGTCAAAGCCATGATAATAAGGCCCTTTTCATTAGACCTTTGCATCCATGGACGTGAAATAAGACTTTGCCCCAGTATCTCTGCCTGTCTTATTGGTCTTTGATTCTGCAGGAGGCCGACAGCGAGCAAATAAAGTCGAGCTCGCCAGCATTGTCGATGCCCTTTTCCTCCTTGATTGACATGAATCCAAATTTTGCGAGCATTGTATTGGATTCAATAATATTGGAAAAGCGGGAGCATCGTTCATAGGAGCCAGGCTTGATTTGCTGACAAGTCACTTAGTTAAGTGGCTTGTAGGAGTGATCATTGTTGGCTCTCCATCAAATTCACTTGTCGTTTTCTTTAAATTCAAACTAATCATCCAGTGACTGAGAAACCAGAATTCTTTCCTGGCGCTTTTTGTCATTGTAGTCGGTCTTCAATAATGCCATCGTCGGTCAACAGCTATGAGAGAAGGGATCTTGTCTCATGAGGCTCTTGAATGCAGTTGAGTAGTCCATTAGAAAAAAGGCTATGACGTAATCATAGATCGTTTTATTGCAGATTTCCAGTATTTACTTTAGAAGACTTTCCCTTTAGTGAGATATCCCGCCTTTGTAGGTTAAACGTAGCCGCTCGTTTACTCATCTAACTGAGCTGCTCAACATCGGCAACGTGGTTCCGAACTTCCTCCAAATCACAAGGGAAAACCAACCGCATCCTTTTCCTCATTTGAGGCCCTTGTAACAAGGGTCTTATCTCCCTAACAAAGGATCTTTGGACCGACCAACAACGCCATTGTACCGACCAACAACGCCCCCTCGAGCTCCAACAAACACGCTCCAGCAAACAGCCGAGTCCCATATTTACACTTGGCGCCGGTGGGAATAGTGGTTCCATGTTAATCGAACTCATCGGGGCTCCCATTGTCCCTGGACTCGGACGTACGATATCCACGTCACGTCCGACATCCCGAGAGACCAACAAGAGCTTGGCCTTCAAACCCCGCCAAAAGTCTGCCCGCGCCGCCGTGCCCGCAGTCAACGCCGAAGGGCCGTCAGTCCAGCTCGATCCTTGATCCGTGCTCAAAAACACCGACGTCGATCAAGAGTCACCGAGGGCCGAACGTTTACAAACTCGATCACTGCAAAAGCGAATCTCAAAAGACTAAAAGAAGCTCACCTTGGCTTGATGTTGACTTCCCATGCTTCCAAAGTATGCAGGTTTGAGAGAACTCGGATCTCGATTCCCATCTCGTAGAAGGATCCGCATCCTACGGGGCCTACGGCTGGCGGAATCATCTCCTCATCCCCCCCCCGCGGGACGCATCATGGACCCATCTGGCCCACCAGATGCAACGCCGGCAAGGTTCCTACATGGGGAATACGTTTCAACCAAACCTCCAGGCCCCGTTGATCATTGGCGGACTCGGCCTTGTTTGCAACGTCAACCGCGCGACTTTCAGCGGAGTCCCTACCAACAACAGCATGAACCAAACCAACAGCAACCGAGGGGACTTTGAGGCAAACATCCGCGGTGGCCAGGGGGAGAGATACAGATGTAGAATTTGCCGCGAGGGGACCGGCGGTGGAGGCAACGGTCAAGAAAACATGGGACCGAGAAGTAGCAGCTTCAGATGTCCCTCCACCTCGAACCCAAAAGCGCCGTCCGAACTTGCCAACCACTCATCCGACACTTATAAAGCAACCCATCTCAACTTCCCGAGTCGTGCTCCTTCTCCTTTCGACAGCATCCTGACTCTCTCTTATACAACGATCCCTTCTTGACTCACATCCGCCCCTGGTAGAGTTCCGACCTGACTTGGGGAGATCGACGATGGGCTCCATCGACCACCTGGATAAGAGCCGCCTCAACGGCGGCGCTCGTAACGGGCACGGAGTCCACATCTCGGACGCCGTAATGGACTACGAGGCGCTCATCATCGGCGGCGGCTTCGGCGGCGTCTACGCCCTACACCAGCTCCGCAAGCACGGCTTCCGCGCCCACGTCCTCGAGGCCGGCGCCGCCCTCGGCGGCGTCTGGCACTGGAACAGCTACCCGGGTGCCCGCGTCGACTCCGAGGCGCCATACTACCAGTTCTCTGTCAAGGAGGTCTGGAAGGACTGGACCTGGTCGCAGCGGTTCCCCTCGCACGACGAGATCAAGCGGTACTTTAATCACGTCGACCAGGTGCTCGACATCTCGAAGGACGTGAGCTACAACACGGTTGTGGTCGGGGCCGACTTCGATGAGGCCGAGGGGCTGTGGCGGGTGCAGACGGCCGGGGGCCGGACTATCACGGCGAGGTTCCTGATTCCGGCGACGGGGAGCTCTCATAAACGTTACGAGCCCAACTTCGAGAACATGGAAGCGTTTTCCGGGACGGTCGTGCACTCGGCGTCGTGGCCCGAGGAGGAGATCGACTTCCGGAGCAAGCGGGTCGCCGTGATCGGGGCCGGCGCGACGGGTGTGCAGCTCGTGCAGGAGATCGCCAAGAAGCAGGGCGTCGAGCTGACGGTATACATCCGCAACCCCAACATCGCGCTCCCGATGCGGCAGCGGGACGTGACGGAGCTCGAGCAGGCCGCGTCCAAGTCCGTGTACGGGCTCCTCTTCAAGGCGGCGAGGGACAGCGTGTTCGGGATCCCGTGCGACGGGACGACGAAGGCGGCGATGCAGACGGCGGCGGAGGAGCGGCTGGCGTACTGGGAGGAGCTGTGGCAGCGCGGGGCGTTCAACTTCCAAGCGGGGAATTACGTCGATTTTCTGGTGGACGAGAGGGCGAACCGGATGATGTATGAGTTCTGGGCCGGGAAGACGGGGCCGAGGGTCCGGGACCCGGAGAAGAGGGCCGTCGTGGTCCCTGAGGAGCCGCCGTATCCTTTCGCCACGAAGCGGAGCAGTCTGGAACAGGACTACTATGAGTGTCTTGATCGGGATAATGTCAAGGTCGTAAACTTGAAGGGGAATCCCATCCGCGGGTTTACGCCGAGAGGCATCGTGACGGAAGATGGGACGGAGAGAGAGCACGACATCATTGTGCTTGCGACGGGATACGATAACTGCACGGGCAGTCTGACCAGCATGGGGTTGAGGGGGAAAGACGGCATCGACATGAAGGAGAGGTGGAAGAAGGGCGTGTGGACATACCTCGGGCTGATGGTCAGGGGATGCCCGAACATGTTCATGATTTACGGACCACAAGGTGAGTTTCTTCTCTCTCGTGTTACACACTCTGAGCAATTAAACTGACACGACGTCCGAACAGCGCCAACGGCCCTGACCAACGCCCCGCCCTTCATCGAGCAGCAAGTCGAGTTCATCGCGGAGTTCATGGCCAAGCTCCGCAAAGAGGGCGTCAAGTCGATCGAGCCGCGCCAATCGGCCACGGAGCAGTGGAAAGAGCTGATCATGGCCATGAACGACGCGACACTGTTCGTCAAGAACGACTCGTCGTGGTACCTGGGTGCCAACATCCCCGGCAAGCCGCGGGAGCAGCTCAACTACCTCGGCGGCATCCCGCCGTACATCAAGGCTTGCCGGGAGGGGACGAGCGACTGGACGAAGTTCGATGTCACCAGGACGGACGACACTGTTGACGCTGGTGTAGAGGGCATCGTGCCGATGAGACAGACTGGGGTAGGGCGAGAGTTGTGCTGAAGTCGGCGGGGAGTGGAACGAGGTTCATGGGTTACCATACATAGCCATGGAGTTTGCATATGGTGCTTGCGTAGTCATCAGAGAGCTATTGTGCTTTCGTTGGAAGCATATGTATCTACGGGAAGACCAGTCTACTACTTTATGAGATGTTCAATGTCTGAGTTGATCGATCACTTGCTATTCCGGCTGTGGCGACATGAAAGACAAGTAAACTTCAGTGCATATTATCAAGCAGCTTTTGATCGCTTTCAACCGGACTGTTGTACTTTCTTAGCTGCCAGTTGATTCGAATGTAGGATGAACGGTGTGCTTATCCTGGTAAGACTCATCGTGGTCGTGGTGGGCCCATACCTCCTCGAGGCCAGAACCTGTTCCACCCGCTCAACAACACAATCATCATTTCTGGGATAGGAAACAATGTATTTGTTATTTTTCTTCTCTTCTAGAACGTATTTATGTGTTAATATAAGGATTCTATCGTGGTGTTGGCTGCAGCCGAATTTCCAACTCAATTACATTGCACACTTAACAACGCAACTAGCTGAATGTCATAACATTCACCTAGGACTGAATCTGTAGAGCGCAAAGAGTCCTATTCCCAATCTGGGTTTCTTGATACAATTTCAGTACCAAAAGAGTCTCTTGAACAAGAACGTAACGTTTCTCGAGGATGTGAGCACATCTATCTTTCTTCAGTCCAACTTACCCATCAGACAAGTTGACAACTACACACACACATAAACAACATCCCGAGGCATATGAAAACCAACAAAGTCATCAACTCATATTCTTTCAAACCAAACATTCTCATTTAAGAGTCTAAATCAAGTCAACTACCGAGAATCCCATCTCGCATCCAATACCAGCCTCAACCACCACCACTCACAACCACGAATCACGAGTCACCAGATAAACATCGGCAGAATACACCTTACTCATAACCGCCGCCCATCTCCAAACAACCTCACATGCAAAAACCCCTCGCTCCCACCTACCTACCTCACTCTGTTTTGCCCAGCACGGATAAAAACCTTCGGCATAGACTCCAGATCGGACGAGAATGGTCTGGACCTTCCCTTCCCTTTCCCTCCCCCTCACCTCCCGCTCAGATGCTTCAGAGGGGGGGACGATTACCTTACTTATTTTGTAAATTTCCCGCCCGTATTAGTCAAGTACCTACCCATCGGGAAGTTTATTCACTGCAGGACATAAGCAATGCGAACCGAGGAACATCGAAAAAAACACACAGACCGGACACATGCCCATGCACCCACCACCACAGCACCAGGCACGGATATGCGAGTGCGATTCTTTCGATTCGCGGGTTCGGACGACGGATGGGAGAGACGGAAAAGGAGGGCCCGGGGATCGAGACGGAGAGGGCGCCTCCGACGGCCCCTCTTCGCCGACGGGCAGACGGGTTGAAGTTGTGTGGCGCCCCGAGGTCAGAACGCCACAGGTGCGGGGTCAGTCGGGTGGCTTGACATCATGCTGTGGCTGTGCAGCCACGTCGGACTCGCACCACCGGCTACGCGAAGCAGAAAACCTGCTCGGATTGCATGATCTTCAGGGGATGTGGGAGTGATGTACGGTTACATGATCCTCACTTGTGTCCGGCCAACGAGGGGCTCGCGATGTGTTTGTGGCGAGTGCTCGCTTGGATAAAGATCATGAGAGGGACGTGACTGGATGAGGGAGAGTCGCACTGCCACGACACGTGATTCTCGTTTTGCGAGCCAGCGAATTGATGGAATGTGGCTAGATCCGAGCGTTGGCGGGAAATCTTCAATGGCTGGCTGACATAACCCAACGCCAATGACGGAAGTGGTGCAACCAACGTGCTTGGGTTGTTTCTAAATCAAGGAACACGCCGGCAGCAACAGCGTGAATTCGAAGTCACATTCAGCCCCCTCAGTATTTCCCAAGCCAGAAAGCAGCCAAATCGTGCAAATTACCTGCGGCCCGGGAACACCTCGAATTGTTTTTGCAGTGGCTCATGCGTTATCATGGCCTTGACAGCGGGAAGTGGCCCCCCGTTTCCTACCGAGGCTTGGCCTTCCGTAAAAGACACGCTAAGCCCGAAATGAGCAGCGCAGAACGTCGACTGAGTCGTGAAGGTTGTTTGTCCCGGGCTCAGCCCCCCGGGCGAAGAGCCTGATAACGGAAATTTCTAGTTGGCCAAAAGACGAAGGGGAAAGAGCGAAAAAAAAAACAAGGTTTGTTCAAGGCGGGCCTGCAAGTTGCAAGGCTCGGCATGGACGGATTGATTGCGCGGTGGGGGAGGCGATTTTGGAATGTGGGAATGGTGAACCGGCGAGGTTGTATTGGGCGATGAGAAACAAAAAAGCCCGTGGAGGCTGGAGAATGACGATGAAATGAGGGCTTCAGGGGAAAGTTGGTTGTACCGGCCAGAATATACCATTACTGTTAACATTCAGGATGTCCGGGTCAGGAGTTGAGGGTTCGACGAGCGGGAGGAAGCTCGAGGAGGGGAAGAATGCCAGACACCGTTCTAGAACAACGAAGAGGGGAGGGTATCGACTGAGACTCCTGGTATGTGACTGGTCGGATCTTGCCAAAACCTCCCTGATCTGCTGGCGATGCGCCGATGTGGGCGATCATACCGAAGCCATTCCTGGGAACGGGGGCGACGGTTTGACATGGGATGACGGCCATCAGGAGTGCAGACTGCATGCAGGGCTTCGCTCTCTTCAGCTTCGACTCGGTAACGCGGTAGCGTCTTTCGAGCCTCCAAGGGGCTTTGAAGTTCTGGCGTGATGCTTCAAGATGGGCGACCCCTATGTGCTCGAAGCCTTGTCGTTATTGGATAAGCCTTGGCCCGTCAGCCATGCCGGGCCCGATGGGGTGTTTGAATGCTAAGTGCCGGGGCGCCGGGGCTGGCGGCGCGTGCTGGGAGACGGAAAGACAGCCGTTCTGGAAATGCTGGTGCTTGTGGTGGGAAGTGCCGCAGGTGAAACAAGGCGTCTCGATGTTCTATTTTTGAACACGGCCAACGTCATGGTTCTCTGGGGAGCAGCATTAGCTAATGTTGATCACTGCGGCATAACAACAAGCCAGGAGAACTTTATGTAAGCTTCTGCTCCACGGACGACGCTGACTGGTCCGTCGGAGGGTCGGCCGTGGCTTTCTGGCAGGTTTGTGCACGCACTGCGGCGTGTGCGAAGAAGCGAAGCGTCAGTGGCACAAGTCCACAACGGCACAAAGGTCGGGAATGTGGGAGGATATCGGGACCGGTGGGGGAAGAGCGAAGACGGCCGAGACACTTTGAGTTTGTGGAACAGAGAGCTGGAGAATGCCGAAACGGCGCCGGGGTCTTGAGCCGGCTCAGTTTCCGCGGTCTGAAATTCAGACTTCTTCGAGCCTCGAGGTCCAGACTCGAGGCCGGGGTAGGCGAGATGGTGAGGAACATGAGATAGCCTCGAGCCTAGGGGATGCAACAAGCTCAATCTCCATGCTGTATCGGCCTTATTGTGGCGGGCGTCTGGTCTTTGGTCTTTGATTTTTGGAGACTTTTTTGTTTGTTGTTCTCGGCATTTGCATCCACGATCCACCGCCCGTCGTGGAAGTTCGGCAGAATTGAATATTCGCAAAGTCTGATTGCCTGTTTCCGTCCGGCGTGTTTCTGCCGACATGGCGAGCAGGCCAGTCGGTGTCCAGCGATACGGTTGACAGTAAACAACGGAAAGAGAGGCCGGTTGACAGCCACGAGCACCCGTGCTCCGTGTTTGTGCTTGTAGAATGCAGACGGCACAGCCCATGAGCAGTGATTCTGCTGGCAAATTGGGCGACGGTGGTGATTTGCTAGGTTCGATAGTTGATAGCAGGCGTGGTGGCAGTGCATGAATTATCGAGGTAGGGTCAGGGAACGGAAATCATGTTGCGTCCCACCGCACGGAATGAAGGTCTGCAGTCTTCACAAAGCGAGCGGCATTTCCAGCACGAGAGACGAGAGGGTCATCCCCTGAAGTCTGGAGGAAGCAGAGGGGTGAATGACAGCAGAGGCCAGTCAGAGACCTCGGTGAGCACGGGGCATGATCCGGGCTCCAAACTCTTCTGATTTATGCCGTCGAGAACGGACGGACGACAACTTCCGCTTCGGGGCAGCTGAAAGAAGTTTTGAGATTTTTCGATTGGGGTCGAGTGAAGGGGCTTGTGTCAGCGCATGGTCGTGCTGCGAGCTTCTTCGGAGGAGCCTTTTCGTGATGTGGGAAGTGATCGGGAGCCGCAATCTATGCCGTGAATTGTGCTTCAAGGGGCGTGGCCGAGACCTAGGGTGAGGATGAGGCTGTTGGAGAGTGGGAAGTGATCGGGAGCCGCAATCTATGCCGTGAATTGTGCTTCAAGGGGCGTGGCCGAGACCTAGGGTGAGGATGAGGCTGTTGGAGAGTGCGGTAAAACGGTTGCTCTTGTCAGGAAGTGGCATGGCGAGTCGAACGAGGGCTGAAATGCGTTGGGTGAGCATTTGGCAGATGCATGTCAAGAAATACCAAGCCCGACTGGAGCAGCTGGAAGATTTCGAGAATTTGGCGATCATGAACCGAGTTGAGCGTCGTGTCTTGGATGATTGAGGCTTAGCACGCAACCTTGAGCAGCAACGGTTCCTATTTGCTGATGGTGGTAAGAGTGAGAGGTCGGAGGTGCATCAACCCACGCCAACGCCAGAGCGCCAACTGGAACAGCCACACCGGGAACGCGGCATGCTTGTAGCCGGTACTCGAGGGCGCATAGTGGAGTGGGTGTCGACTCGGGTAGCGGTACGGTCAGATGGAGGAACGACAGTCCGCCGCCGCCTCCGTCGGGCAGTGGGCAGTGAGTGATTCGAACAGCACTCGATTTGTCGTATCGCACCCGCTCTCGCTCTCTTCGGATTTCGCTTTGCGCCCGAAGCCATAAGACCGCAAGGTAAGACGGGATTCAGTTCAACGCCAGCGCCTCCGTCGGGCCCGAGTCGCCGGGTCGCTGTATTCATTTACCCTTTCGGGGTTATTCGAAATGATTCTTTCGACGACGAATAGGCCGCGTCTATCTGCAGAGATTGACATTCCAGTGGTTGCCTGCTGTCGTCAGTCAGACAGAAGAGCAGAGCAGAAGGACAGAGAGCGGGAGGGGAAAAAAGGACGGAAAAAATTGGGAATACAACCAAAAAAACTCAATAGGCGTGCGGTATTCGTGGACTCGTCGTCAGCAGTCAAAAAAAACAGCGACATGGCGCCATCCCATTGTCGGCGGCCCAGCAGGTTGGATACTGGATTGATATCAAAACAAGCCGTGGTCTGCCATTCGAGTGACGAGGCCTGCGTCGAATTCCACAGCACCGGGGCTCACCAAAAGGACGATTGGGACCCTAATTCCACCCAAAAGGGCAGCTGGCGTCGTCATCCTCAGGCCGCAGACGTGTACAATCTGGCAGGCAGGAGTGATTTTGATTGGCTGAAATGTGATTGCCGAAGTTTTGGCGGGTATTAGGATATGTCCCGGGCGAGAAGGCACAGAGGAAGGAGCAGCCCGTTGCGCCTGTATTGCACCTTCCTCTCACTGATTTCTCACTGTCGAGGCAGGCACACACACGGCAGGAACTCACAATCAGCAGCAGCGCCTGCCTCTTCCTCAGTAATTCTCACCCACCACTCACAGACCACCGCGCTATTCCCAATCGGGTCTACTCTTCCTTCGAGCTTACGCGTCCCTCTTTCCCTCCCATCAGCGCCCCCCCCCTCGTCTGGCGAGAGACATCCCTGCCTCAAGCCCGCTTGGCCCGCCTTCCCTCACCCCGTCACCCTGTTCCTCCGACCGGCCAGGCACCCAAATCCATTCAGCAAGAAACGGAGGCCCCGTGCTCGTGCTCTCCTCTCTGCTCTCCCGTCTCTCTTGCAGTCTCGCTCTCTCACTTCCAGGCGCTCCCCTTTTGTTACAGACGCCGACCCTCCTCATCCTCGTCTCGTACACCCTCTACCTAACATACACCCCTCCCTCCCTCATCTACCCTCCCGTCGCCTGCTTGCCTTTTCTCATCAATACCTGCTGTTCCCTTTTTTCCCTTTCTCCATCAACATCTCCCTTCAACAACCCAAACCACCAAACGAAACATTCACCTGAGGCATTGGTACCCATCGTCACCAGCCTCATCATCGACCGCGTATACGATACCAAGAACCGATTAGGATCCACGAACAATACCTCGAGAGGTTCGCCACTGATCCGAAGGTGCGGTCTTGCATCCACCACCAAACCAACACACATCAAAGCCGTTAGAGGGACCGATTCCCTCTTTCAACCGCCGATAACATGACTTCGAATCACAACGTCGACAACATCGACGCTCTCCTCGACTTCAGCGAGTACGACAACGTCTCCTACCAGTCTCCCTCCCTCTCTCCCGCTGCCGCCGCCAAGAACACCTTCTCTCGCCCATCAGTTAGCTCTGTCGCGACACCGACTCTGCCCTCAGCATCGCAGCCTCTCACCGGCCCGAGCCACCAGTATGATCTGTACAAGCAGCAGACCGGCATCGTTCCCGGTGCTCTCGCCAGCACCTTGGCTGTGAACGAGGCCAACTCCCAGATCACTGGCTACAACGGTGGATTCAGCTTGGACTACCTCGGTGGTGGCATGAGCCCCGAGAACGATCTCTTCGACTTCAACACCTCTCCCTCCCAGAACTCGACTGGCTTGGATATGGACATGGAATTCGACTCTCCTCCTGACTCTCAGTACTTCTTCCCCAACTCTACTGTCAACCCCACTGCCATCGGCGGACAGGAGTCACCGGTTGTGCCCTCTCAGCAGAGCAACGTTGGCAGACTCTGGCCTGGCATGCACTCCCAGGCTGCCCTCGCCAAGGCCCAGGCTCAGCAGAGGCAACAACAGCAGATCATCCAGCAGCAGCAGCAACGCCAGCAGATGGGCAAGCAGCGCACCAAGAGCCAGCAGCCCACCGACCCCATTGTCGAGCAGAAGATCACCCAGCTCCTCAACTCTATGCGTGCTAAGCCCGCTGATGAGGACGGCTCCCCTAGCCCTCTCATGAACCTGCCCCGCCCCAAGAAGGACGAGGAGGATATGGACGAGGACGAGAGACTGCTCGCCAGTGAGGAGGGCAAGAAGCTCAGCAGCAAGGAGCGCCGCCAGCTCCGCAACAAGGTTTCCGCCCGCGCCTTCCGTTCCCGCAGAAAGGGTAAGCATCACTTCCTCGCTCGCACCGAAACATCCGCTAACAAGTCGCAGAGTACATCACTCAGCTCGAGGCCGAGATTGCCAACAAGGTCACCGAGAACGGCGACCTCCGTGCCCACAACCGCGCCCTGGCCGACGAGAACAAGCGTCTCCAGGACCTCACTCGCATGCTCCTGTCTTCTCCCTCCTTCTCCAACTTCCTCGACCACATGAGCACCAACCCCCAGGCTGTTCAACAGCAGGCCCCCGTCGTCAAGATGGAGAGACAACCCGAGCAGCGTCAGGTCCCCAAGGATGTCAACCCCTACAACAACCAGCAGCAACAGCAGCAGATTGGCATGGCCATGATCCCCGAGCAGAACATGGACTTCGGCATGCTCAGCATGGACAACGCCGACTTCAGCTACCAGCCCCAGGTCTTCACTGTCGAGACCCCTGAGATCCCCGTCACCATCGACGCTGAGGTCCTCTCCGGCAAGTCTTCCAACTTCGTCGGCGAGCAGTTCGAGTCGGACGACGAGAAGATCGAGCTCCCCGCTATCGAGGCTCCCAAGGTCCTCGCCCCCGAGGTCTCCTTCCAGGCGCCTGCCGAGGAGGAAGTCTTCGACGACGACTTTGAGAACGACCCCGAATTTGCCCTCTACCACTCTGTTCCCGCCCCTGCCACTGAAGGACCCATCGAACTGGACACCGACGCTTTCTCCCACGTTGAGATCTTCGGTGGTGTCGAGTCCGAGAAGGTCCTCGCCCGCTACGAACTTGTTGACGCCTCGGAAGAAGAACAAAATGCCTGTGTCGCCATGGCCAAGGTTGAGCGCATCTCCGCTAGCCTGGAACCCATCATGGCGAGATTAGAGGCCATGTTCCTCTAACTTCACACATTCTCTCCTCCACTTTCTTTACAGCAACTTTATTGCGGGCATTGAGTCGTTACACCATTTCCTGTGCATACTAGCTTGATATCTGGGACACGGCGTTGGGATTCACATGGGACTACTACACCCGCACCGGGATGGCATCTATTTCTTTTATTTTTTTTTTACTTTGTGTGTGGCGGATGAAAAGAATTCTATAGGAACCAAGTCGGTTCGGTATGATTGATGATAGTTATCATTGGCAAGCAAGAGGTTGGATTACGGTTGGCCATGGCCATCGTGTACTAGATAGATTGGGAGCTCCCGCAACTCGATCTAAACAATAAAGAGAATTCTCCAAAACATCATTCCCTCCCATCGTGCAATGTCTTGATCTGCAAACGCTTCCCGTTCCGTGTCACGCAGTTTCTATGGGCCCGGTAGATGGTTGAAGCACGAAACGTCGCGTGGTTCCATCTCAAGAAACCTGCTCAACGCATTTTCGCCCGATCTTTCGCATCCCCCCCCCCTCCAGCCACTCATTATGCCTTGTTCCCCTCCTAACCTACCAGTGACCTGTCAATGAAACGCTTGGCTTTCAGCTTTGATCAACCCTTGGTAGGTATGCAGCATTTGTCCCCCGACCCCAACCGATCGAATCTCGTGGCATTCTCCTCCCGTGGATCCCACCTTCCGAAGCCTTATCTGAGTATCCCTGCAACCCGCCCGTTCCTAGCATCCTTAGCCGTTTGGCGGCGGCGGCTCTGGCTGCTTCCCATGTCTTCGGGACGGTGGTGGTGGAGGAGGCCTCTTGGGCAGACGGACAGAGGAAGGAAGGGATGGATGGATGGATTTGAGACCCGGCTTTTCCGATGCAAGGGTCCGTTGCGGGTGATATCTACTGAGACGTTGACAAGCGTAGTTTATTGGTGTTTGGACACGTTTGTTGTTGGTTCGCATTGAGCTGAGAGATCGTACCGGGGACGGAAAACATGGTGGGTGGTGGTGGGATGGCAGAGGGGGAGTTGCCTTGTTTGGTGATGGTGCCGGTTGTTGGGTGTGGTAATTCGTCTGGTTTGTTCGGTTGATGGATGGAGTTGGGATTCTTTTGAGGATGGACGGATGGTTGTGAGCTCTTCGATATATTTGGCTCGTAATTTGCATTATGTCTGAAGACAAGTCTGATGCAAGTATCATTCGGGAAGGTGAAAATCGAGGCCCCGTGCTTCCATGTAGGAAAGATCATGTATTATTAAAGATGTCGTAGATATTGACACCACATTACCAACAACCCACAGAGTAAACTCAACCTCCTGCACTTCTCTTTCAGCCTAAACATCACTCCAATCCTCCCGAATCAACTCCGCCCCCTTCTCGCCAATCATAAACACTGACGCAACGATGTTGACGTCCGGCAGGATCGGGATGATGCTGCAGTCCACCACCCGCAGCCCCTCGACCCCGTACACCCTCAGCCGCGGGTCGACAACCCCGCCGTCCGCCTCCGGCAGCATCTGGTTCGTCCCGGACGCGTGCCAGTTCGGGATCGTGTTCTGTCGGACGTAGGCGAGCACGGCCTCCTCGTCGTCCTCGGACACGGCGGCGCCCGGGGAGACTTCGCCGTGGTCGGGGCCGACGGTGTACTCGGACATGCGCGGGTGGGCGAGAATCTTGCGGAGGTACTTGAAGGATGCGAGGGCGATTTTGCGGTCTGCTTCGTGGGCGTAGTACTGTGCGGGGTGTTAGCTGTGGTCTTATCCTGGGAGGGATGGGGACGTACGTTGGGGTTGATAACAGGGAACTCGGCCATCGAGTTCGACCTCAGAGTGACGTTGCCCCTCGACAGCGCGACCATGCTGGATGCCGTCAGGGAGATGTACGTCTCGTTGCCCTTCGGCGTGTAGTACGGTGTGGGGCCGCTGGGGTAGAAGACGCTTTCGAAGAGGTACTCGACGTGCGACTGGTTCGCGAGACCGGCGGTCACGACATCCCCAGCGCCGATTTCAAAGAGCTCCGCCTCGGAAAGCTTCTGGAAGGCGTTCGTGATACCCGAAGGCGCCGTGTAATCACCCGTCAAGTTCGTGCGGAACTCCTCCTGGGCTTCGCGCAGTGCGGAGTAGGTCGCGGCCATGTCTGTTGTCGAGAACTCCGGGGTCGAGAGGGCCATGATGGAGAAGACGGAGTGGTCGTTGAGACTTAAAGGGGTTAGTGGTTTGATGAACGATGGGAGATAGACTGCTTACTGTTGACCGACGTTCTCGTTGATTAGGACTGGTTCGATGCCAAACTTCTCTAGTTGGTTCTTCGGTCCGATGCCCTGGGCCTTGTTAGACTCTTTTCCTCTATGACCTTTTTCGGGTGTCCACTTACGGAGACCATGAGCAGCTGAGGCGAGTTGAAAGCCCCCGAACTCACGATAACCTCCTTCTTGGCCTTGACCTCATGCACCTCACCCGTGGGGTGATCCATGAAAGCCACGCCCGTGGCCTTCGGCTTCTCGCCCTCGGTGTCGAAGCTGATCTTCCACACGGGCGCAAAGTAAACAACGTCGAGATTCGTCCGGTTGATTGCCTGCTTGAGGTAGCTGTCGTAGCTGGAGCTACGGTGGAAGCGAGAGTCGAGGTGCCCGGTGCCCTGCTTGACACCGGTGCTGTTGCCCGTGTTGTAATCCTCGACAATGGGGATCTGCAGGGCTTCCGAGGAGGCCTCGATGAAGCCGACGCCCGAGGGCGGGACGTAGCCCTGGAAGCCGAGCTGTAGGGGCCCGTCGGAGTAGGCGGAAGGGTCCCATGTCTTGTAGGAGACGTCGAAGCCTTTGACTTCGTGGTCTGTTGGGGGGTTGAAGGTCGTGCCCTTTGTTCTGTGTCAGTATCATTCAAGGGTTGTTCAATGAGGACGCTCACCTTGACGAAGAGAGGGTAGACGTCGCCCCACCCCCACCCCGGGTTCCCGACCTTGACCCAGTCGTCGTACACTGAAGCGCTTCCGCGGCCGTAGAAAAAGCCGTTCGTCACGCTGCTGCCACCAAGGCAGCGGCCGCGGTGGTATCGCAGGATACGGTCGTCAAGGTGTTCTTGGGGTGTGGTGTAGAAGGACCAGTCGATGGCAGTGCCGCCGAGGAACTGGTTGCCGCCGGGGGCCTTGTAGGCGGAGACGACGTCGGGGGCCGGCCCCGCTTCGAGGACGAGGACCCGCTGTTTGCCGGACTCGGAGAGGCGGTTCGCAAGGACCAGGCCGGCGGTTCCGCCTGTGAGGTGTGTTAGTATTTCGTCATTCGGGAACCATTTTGGGTTTGAATTTATCTGGGTATGGGACGAGGGCGTGGCGGCGCGAGAGCGAGAGCGAATTGGGGCAAGGGTGTGTGACGAGGGTACATACCTCCTGCGATGATGAAGTCGTATTCATCCTCGATCTTTTCGCGGTGGAAGTCTTTGAGCGGCGCGGCGGAAGCGACCGCGGCCAGAGCTAAGACCGAAAGGGTGAGCTTCATTGTGAAGTCCTCTCAGGGCCTCAAGGGAAGCAACCGATTGCTGGGTGTGTGCCTCGGATTATCGTAGGCAGCAAGAGACGCCAGTTCAGCAAGAGATCGCACCCAATTGAGCTGCGAAGGACGATAGCTGATCCAAACAGATGGATCGCGATACCATTCCATACTGCCTCGAAAATGGGGTAGGGCACCCATCAAAGATATATTCGTCCTTCACCATCCTCCATGACGGCCGTTGAGCGCTCATTCTTGGAAACGAGACCTACCAAGGCAGAAAGTCTCAATAAGCGTACGACTACTGGTGCGTCATCGTGCCTTGGGAGGTGTCAGCCCCGGGCGAAGGCGAGGCGTGCCGTGGTCGAGCTTGGCGATTTTTGTTGTTGTTCATTTTCGGTGGTCATCTCTGGGCGCGTCAATAGAGCAGTAAAGGATGAACAAAAGTCTGGGGGAGCAGGGGGTTGGAGATGGGCAGCTGGGCTAAGGTACCCACCTGGCATCTAGCTTCCTTCCTTCCACACCGCATGGATGAGCTTCTTTCTCAAAAAGAACGAAAAAACCTTGGATCTATTGAGCAAGCCGCAGCAGAATTGAGGCACAGCACCTCGAATCACACGGCAACGAGAAACACTTGCAGAGACAGGCATCGCGAAGGATCGAATGACCGACGTATGTCAAGACATTCCGTCGACGGTCTAGCGTGCCGGGGGTGCCGGGGCAAACTCCGTAAATCGCCGTCCACTTTCTGCCGCCGAATACTTAAGGCAGTTCACGAAGCTAAATTAAAGTATCTCGTCATCTGAATGTCGGGAAGCTAGACTTTCTGCTTCCCATCTTGGCCGAATAATTTTCTTGTCAATGTGGACATTCACATATGGCAAGGTGGATAGATATGGCCAAGAATATGAGATGCAGGCTCGAAGGAATCCCGCCGACGTACCTCCAGCTCAGCGCTGCAGGCCGAATCCAACCAAATCCCTCCCCTTCCCCGCAGAGACCTTACCCCAAGGCCGCGCCGCCGAGCCGCCTTACGAGGATCGGTGTGAGATTGAGGCGTCATGGGAAGCGATGATGAGTGGAACTTGCATTTTCGGCGGTTGAGAAAGATCTCCGATTGTTCCTTTGGCAGATCACCCGGGAAAGGCTGACTCGGGGCGAGGTTTGTTTATTGTTTAACCTTGTTCTCTCGGACTGGGCGGATAATACGTCGTATTTCGGGTCCTTCGAAGCCAAGTGTGATGCTTCGAAGCTCCTTGTTAAGACGGGGTACGTACATGGTCATTCTGGCTTGGCGATGCGGGCTGCGGCGCCTTGTTGATCGGCATCTATTCCGCCTTGGGCAGTTCAAAGTCGCCTCCAATATCCCAGTGACATGTCTCACATAATCCTGCTGTTTGGACAGGCGGCTTGGAAGCCTTGACATTGGGTGGCCTCGCCTACGTTACGTTACCAAGACATGTCTGAATACCTGAGGTTTTGGGTCAGCGGATGACCAGATGTTCCTCGCTCTCGCCTCGGGATTTGGGGAAAGACAGCCTCAAAATTAGGCAACTCGCCAAGTTGTGGTTTGTTTGTCAGATTCACGTGGGATTTGATCTTCGAGGATTTCCGTCCCACCATACATCCGACTGTGTGCGGCCACACGAGATACAGAACTCTGGAAAAAGTCACTGCCTATTTAGTTTGTGCCTGCTAGTCTTGCATGAATATCTGCCTTGCCATTTATTATGACGATCTGGAGACGCAGTACTCGGGGCTTCGGTGGTCTTTTGAGTTTACTCAAGAACAGCCGGATCGAAATTCCATGCCCAGCTACTTTGAGTACCAAAACATACCAGTATCCTAGAGACCTCGGAAACTTTCGTGAACAAAGACTCTGTCTGTTACTGACGACAATAAACAAGAATTGCTTGGTGAAAAAGGCGTTAATGAATTGCATTCGTGTGTTGATGACCTCAACAGAGGTGAGAATTGAACAAAATACCACATTTCCAACTCAATGAAAGCTCTATCAAGAGAGCTCCCTAATCCAGGACTGAGATGGTCCGAAACTTCCAAAAATGCGTAAAGAGCGTCCGGAGTCCACCTGGAGTTCAACTTCCATCCAGCTTCGTCCCTTGTTGCATCAACTTATTTCTCCCTGGGCTGTGCCTACATTCCCCATATCTTGTACGCAACCCTTCTCTCCTTCACTTCCATTCTCTCAGAAATCGGAATGTCCACCTGAGACCCCATGAATTAGAACCTGAAGACCTCAACGAGAATCTACATCTTTCTATCCACGGTCCACAGTCAAGAACCAGCGTAGGTAGGCGGCTGGGGCACCCATCCACTTGATAAAGGTCTCCTGCCAAGGGCTTCCCGGGCTCCCCGCCGAAGGGCATCGGAAGGGCATACATGTAGCCCGTTCGGCACCACGTTTCCTCGGCAATCCAATACGAGGGAGATGATGTTAAGGACAAGCCCCAGCCGGCCTGAACATTCCCTTCCTCGATTGGTGCTGGCGTAAGAGGTTGGTGTCACCAAATAGGCCGCGCGGATGCCTCAACAGATGCCCTTCAGCGGGTAATCTGGGAAGCCCTCGGCAAGAGCAAAACTGTAACCCGTTAATCCATTCGCGCACCCGCCTGTTGATGGCGACTTCAAGACACCGTCACGCTGTTGTGATGGTGTGTCGTATTGCAAAGTCGCCTACCAACAAGCGTCTGCGGCAGCATGGCTCTGTAGCTTTGGGACGGGATTGGTACGTTACCACGTGAGAAGATACGGTCCATGAACGAAGCCTGTGGGATGATGCCAAGGTGAACCATGACCCGTTCAGCAGCGTTCAGATCTCCACTGTCTTTGAACACCGCGCCGATGATGGCCTCCACAGTGGTTGCTTTGATGCGCCTGGATACGACACCCTGTTGTGCGGGATTACCCGCGATGCAACCAGTCAAGCCAGCTCTGTCACAGAGAGTAGCGAGGCGGTCGTTCCGCGCGTACCTCTGGATCAGAGCATTGGTGTCACCTATTCTCAAGATCAGTACTAAATTTGATAGTGAGGGAGTAGTTGCAGGGAGCAACGAGAGTGCTGCAATCCTCGAGGCAAATATGGAGGGCTCACCGATGCTGGTATTTTCATCGTAGGCCCCATTGGTGATCACCAAGGACATCACTCTGTCTCCGATCCCAGCAAGTGGCTTGTTGCCTTCGCAGCCGAGGCGCCGGTTGCCGACAACGAGGTTCGGCGAGCCCGCCGCCTGCAGGGCTTCCCACAACAAGTCGGGGATCTCGAAAACATAGGTCGGGGCCAAGATGGTTGCCGCCGTGTCTAACTTGTTGTTGTTCATAGTAGCGATGTTGTCGTGAGTATCAATTGACTGTGTCTGTCAGGATAGTAGAAGACAATGAAAGTTGAGCGTGGTGTTGGAAGAAGAGTGAACCACCAAGTCTAAGGGGCCTTCGCGCGGTTTTTGATGCCACGGTCAGGGCCCCGTTGCCGGCTGGGACGGTTCATCTATCAACCCCTCAATATGCATGTTGCGCTTCTGGCTTCAAGGATGCATACGGCAGATCATAGTATCGAATCATAACTTCAGAATTAAGACAGCCGCCGGTGGGCGAAGCCAATTGAGCTGAGCCATTCAAGGGCCTCAGGTCCGTGTCTCAGGAACAAAAGAAAAGAGCATCAGGCTTCAAACTGGGAGTCACGTTGCGAATTAATGATGTAAAGTATATGGCGGGTGAACGAGACGAGTTATTAGCGTGATGAGAAGAGGCCCTAGATAACAGAGCTAAGTGTAAAAGATCAGCATCATGAACGTCATGGAATATCGCTTCAAGCTTGACAGTCTCAACGCATAGGCGAAGATTCACATTGCCTCATCTTTTCTTCTTCGTAATTGACTATTGGCCATGCGGGAACAGCTTGACCGGAAGAAGACCAGTTCATCGTTATGTCTCTGGTAATGTGGTCGCGGAATAAGTATCTGTGGTATCTCGTTTGTTATGAACCCTCATCGGCAACCTTAACTCGCTTCCCTGCCGACGTTATTACAGGGGCTGCGGCATCGCCGCTTCGAATAGCCTGCGCAGCACCAACAGCCTCAAGAATCCCGATATGCTTCATGACCCGATGCGCAACATTGAGGTCTTTGCCGCTGTCGAGGAAGACAGCTCCTATCAAAGCCTCAACCGTGGTTGCCTTCACGTTTTTCCCCGCCAAGATTTGTGAAGAGTTTAGATTGATGCATGCCGTGAGGCCGATCCTATCGCATAAAGCCGCGAAGTTGTCGTTGATGGCCATTGATTTCAACTGCCTGTCCGCCACCACTGAACCCGCCAGGCTGTCAGATCATGTTCACGCGACCATCAAGGGGTTGACTGAACAGCGGGATCATACCTCTGTAGTCGTTCGCTTCAACTACGTTCTGAACGATGACGAGACCGATGACCTTATCGCCGAGGAGAGCCAGGCGCTTATTGCCTTCATCGATGGCGCGGTCCCGGATGACGAGTACGTCAGACCGGGCGCCTTGTAAAGCTTCCCACAGCCATCTCTCCGGGTCTTTGAATTCGTAATTTGCGATACGGGCTGCGTGTGCAAGTTTCTTGCCTTGGTCGGGGTTTGAGGGAACTGTAGGAGCCGTTGTCGATGAGATTGTGTGGGAGTGCCGCAAGGACACAGAGAAAGGTCTGATGTGAAGCGAAGAGGTCGAGGCCAGGCAGACAAATTGATCAGGCAGAACCAGACGACTGCTAGATGCCGCATTTCGGGTTAACAGCCGCCGAGCAGCCACTGAACATGACCCGACAATCCGTCTCATGATGTTGGGTGTTGGCGGTTGTGATTGATGTTGGAATCAGAAGAACGCTCGGCCCTATCCATGGATCCCCGCGGTACCTCATCATCGTGAGGACGCGGGGTAATATTGATGCGGTGCACCCCTTGCAACCCGCATTTGGTGACGAGCTTCCTTACTTGTCAACCTCACGTCTCATCGATGCCAACTAACGCCATTGCCTACGTATGTTTACTTTCGATAACAGAGACGTATCTCAAGTAAGTTTGAAGCGCAAGACGGGAAAAGTGTACAAATCCACTGACGCTCAACGGGATAACCCAGTAGGACAATAGCCAGTCAATCAATGTCTCTCCATTACATTAGTAAAAGTTGGAAATTCATTCAGAAAAATGAAGGAGGCAAGTTTGTATAGATTTGGAGACTTTCGAGAAATTTATTTGTCATGAGTTGCAATTTGTCGTGATGAGAAAGGCAGGGCAAGACGAATAGCAAAGCACTTGGCCTACCAACCCCAGAAACATAGATTGCAAACACCGCTGTCGAAATGAACATATTACTCGTTCGGTCTGACGAGAGGAGTGGCCCAAAGAAATCTACGTTGAATGCTGCTCACCCACAAGATCTGTATCAAATTAAAGTCGCAATGCCCGCGAGTCACAATTGGTGAGCTGTCTGGGATACTATGGTTTCTCGGTACTGCTGAAAGTGCCATACTGTTGCCGTGAAACAGCAACATCATCAATATAGAAATGATATGTCCTAGAAAGCCGCAAAAGCTCCTGGTTACTTCACCTAACCGAATTTGTCTTTGCGTGGGAGTTGAGTTGAGATTTCTGGATCTTCTATTGTCAAATATCGCATCAATACAACCGGGCATTCATTTTTTAATGTGATTTTTGTTTTAAATAACTAACCGCAACAAAAACTCTGTTTCCTGTAAGCCGAGGCTCTCAGCCACCGTAGAGTCGTTGCGGAATGAGTCACTATCATAACACTTTCTCCTCCAATCTACGGGGCGGAGATGATCGCATCAAACCTTCGGTCAACAGTTCAAGGTATGGAACTTCGTAGAAGCAGCTAGAATCTAACGATATTGTGGTTAGAGTTGCTCTCGCCTGCCTAAACCTTCCACGGGTAGCCGCTTCAAGGAAGAAGCCTTGTGGTGAGGGTTACCAAGATGATCTTCTTTTGAGTAAGAATCAGAATTCCATCAATAAGGCATCGAAGAAATATGTACACTGATTTTAGAAACAACAAACATTGTTCCAAAATCTACCATAACATGGAGTTGGAAGCCCAAAATCTTTCAAGCATGGAAAAAACCTGCAGCAGAGAGGGAATGGACCGGACTTGAATACTAGAAAGATGAGTGAAAAATCGAAGGAGGAAGTAGTGGCCAGAGGGAATCGGAAGAATAGAGGGGCGATAAAAAAAGTTGGAGTTTTTGAGACCTTTTGTTGAATTCACCAGACAGGACTTTCCTGGAGCCTTCACCTTGGCTTTGTTCTTTTCAACTGGCAACTGCCACTCGACCCTCGCGCCTTCCTGTGCCGCCTTCGTTGTCGAAAAGACTCCAAACTTCTAGCTGGGCTTTTTCTTTTTCAACTTCTTCACCCACAACCTCATCTTTTCGGCCACAAATAAATCACCCAACCCATACCCTTACACTTCAATATTTCCAATCGCATCCTACCACAACGAACATTCTTCACAAACCTCGACGAAAAAACACACGATGAAGGCCGGCAAGAACACCGTCACCGGAGCTTCGACCTCCCCCACTGCCGCTACCGGTCCCGCTCCTGCCTCCGCTGCCGGTTTCGGTCCCGTCTCACCTATCGGCCCCGGTCCTGCCACTTCTCCCAACGGCGCTCTTACCAACCGTACCGGATCAGTCACCCCGGCCAAGCGATCCCTGCCTGATTCGCCTCTAAGAGAGAACGAGATGTTCTGTGAGAAGTGCAAGCAGGTCCGCCTCAAGTCGGACTTTCTCCGCAACACAACGATGGGCAGGCCGGAGTATTTCAAGCAGTGCGAACCGTGCCGCGACAAGAAGAGGAAATCTTCAGCCGCCCTCAAGGCTCGCAGACAGAAGGAGGAGCAGGAGAAGAACGAGAACGAGACCAAGAAACGTCAGACGCCGAAGAACGATGGTGGCAAGAGTCGCCAGAAGGTGAAGGCCGAGAATGATGACGTCCAGTCACGGCAACAAGAACGGAATCAAGGAGGAAAGACGTACCAAAGAGAGCAAACGCAGGCTCAAGAGCAGCAGGAGCACCAAGGCCAGCAGAATCATGGATATCAGCAACCTGAACACCAGTATTATGGACAGTACAGTTCTGGAGAGCAGCACCTCGGACAGCAGCATCTTGGCCAACAGAATCATGAACAGCAGAATTCTGAGCTGCAGCAGCATGAACCGCAGCCGCTTGAACCGTACGCCCAAGCTGCGCAGAGACCTCTGCAACAGCAGGAGTCCGAAGAATGCCTGCAAGCTCAGCAGCAAGATTTCCGGACTCTGCAGCAAGGTTCTCCAATGCCGGACGTCGACATGAATGAGGAACTGGGTACCGCGTACTCAACGAGCCGCCTCATGCCACAGGCTGAGTCTTACTCATCTCCGGGTACCGATGTTTCGGAGGAGATGCCTGGCCATCAGTCCCACGCCTTGTCGACGCCAGTGGCTGATCCAACCGCTCAAACCCAGCACCCAATGAACCTCGTGCGTGTTCACCTTCATCCTGTGTCCCAATAACCATACCGGAACTAATACCAATCACAGGACTACATGCAATTGGAAGAAGACATGGCGTACTACAACGACCAACCCGCCGGATCTGTTTCGCCGAGCGCTTTCCTCACCACCGACCTCGAGGTCCCCGATGGCATCACCGCTTGTGATTCGAACCCGGCTAGCATGGATGGTTCCCGACCTGGACGCGCCGGCAACTTGGTCGTCTCCGACACTGGTTCACCCGGCTTCGTCGTCCCCCATGCCGGACCATCGAAAGCCGACCCTTATCCTTCAGCCAGTCCCCTCGGTGACCTGAGCGTCTCGCTGATGCCCTATTCAACTGCCGGCCAGATCCCCGGAGGTGTCAAGCTCACCAGCGAGCACTTCGAGCTCACCCATACGGTGGTTCTCAAAACCGCTTTCCCGGACGATGTCATCAAAACCCGGATCGACTTCGAGCGCAGGAAATTCAGGGATGCGATGAGAACTTGCCACTTTCTCCGTTGCCAGAGCGATGAGAGTTTGCGCCGGATCTGGAGAAAGCGCGAGGCTGCCATCGTCCTGGATCTTATCGTGGTTCCACTCCCTGAGCCGCAGCCCGTCTTCGGCTCAAGCTATGGTGACGGATCTCACCGAAACATTCGGGGTGCTTACTCCCAGGCTGACCCGACCCCTAAGCCCTGGGCCTGAGGTGGCTTGAGCTTGTTTTCTATCTCCGACCACGCACAGATGAAACGATACCCGCTCGATGAGAGCCTTGATTTTGTATGTTAGTTTTACTTTGGGATGAATCGGGGAACCAGGATGAGTTTTGTTGGTACGTGTGAACATAGCAAGTTTGGACCCGGAGGGCGTAGCTTCGTGGCTGGTATCACGGCATCAATTTTGCAGTGGCCAGGCATCGCCTAGATCAGTTTAGCCCCGCTCAGACTTGAGTTTATTAGATAGCTTTATTCTTCTATAAGGAATAGCCATCGAGAATATTTGCCAGTGAGAACCGTCTTGTGGGCATTTCAAAGAAAACACACGAATCATCCTCAAGGATCAGTCGAGCCAATGCGATAAAATCACGAGGGAGTTAGCATTGAAGGCGAAGAAAAAAAAGTGAGCAAGCTGAATAACAACACCGGGAGCGGCGAACGCCCACCAATTTAAGCTTTGTGTTGACCAAGGGAGCTGTTCATTTGGCTCAGAGTTTACATCTTGAAGTTTTCTCCGTTGACATAGAGCTTGATGGTCAGAATGACCCTCAATAATGTATATAAAGTCGTCCCGGTATCCTTCTGAGAGTGGTTTTCTCCTGCTCATTCACCAAAAATCAAACCACCCTTGTTCATCACTCCTCTTATCTATCTTCAACTCCACCTTGATAACTACCACAACTTTCGACAAGAACAAACGCACCCCTAAGATGAATAACACCAAGATGAACGACATTATCAACGATACCGATGACATCAACGCCATCAAGAAAAAGGCTCGCATCATGACCTGCCTCGACAAAGAAAGAGTCCAACAAGCAATGGAGATCATCGGCTACGACCTCAGCGAAACTGACTGGCTCTGGGAGGCTCTGCAAGCCCCAGGGTCAGTAGTAAAACAAATCGGTGACCGCTTACTCCTCGAAGGCAACCGAAGCCTCGCGGCACACGGCACGAAGGTGATCGATCTGTCAATCTCCGCGATGGCAGTTCGATCAGGTATGGTCGCCGGCCAGATCAACGACCTCGCGCAGAAAATCAACAACAAGCGGTTTCTCGCGGCGATCTGCGATAAAGCTGGCTTGACAGACTGTATCAATCAGAACTTGTCACAGAAGAACGGAGTCCCGGAGAGAGTCAAGGCCAATACAGTCGAGGCTGTAATTGCCGCGGTTTTGTTGGATGGCGGACACGGGGCAGCACTCAAGGTCATGCTGCACTTGGGGGTCCTGCCGGTCTTGTCAGCCTGAGTAGGAGAGCTTTAACGTTCCAAGCTCTTCTTTCTCTCGAGAAGTGTGTCGAGCTACTGTCGATACTCGGAGGGCTTCATTGTAAACAATCGGAGGGCTCTACTGTCAATACTTACTCGGGGGGGCCCTATTGTCAATGCTTGGAGGGCGACGGACAAAGAAGACGGACGACGAAGAGATATGAAGTATGATAATGAACAATAATGAACGAGCCACGAATTGGATATGTAATTACTTAAGGAAATGTTTCGTATCGTTCATGGGTTGATAGAAATGATATCATCGGCATCCACTCCATCAGGCAAATTGAATCGTCAATCCTTCATGGTTCTCAGAATACCACCGATCCCAGCAAAATCCAATTCAGCCAAAGTCTCATCCCAGACGCGGTCCATTAACACCTTGCCTTCAGGTGTATACAGCAAGGCAGCAAATCTGCAAACTTCTGATTAGCGAATATGCTGTACAAGAATTGTTGAACACATACGGATGGACCTGCCAGCTCATCAAGAAACAGCCGTGCGATTCCTTCCCTTTGTTGACTACAGCATCAACGAAACACGAAGCCCCGACGCGTGGGGTTCTGCCAGTTGCACCAAAGGCCCAAAGACCCCATTTCAGCAAGCCAGGGGCATCGCGTCCGAGGGCGGTGCCCTTGCACCAAGCGGGATCTGCCAGGTTGATGATGACATCGTCGGCGGAGACATGGTCGACGAGCTTCCATAGGAACATGTGCGCCATCAGCTTGGAAGAGTTGTATGTCTCGGTGCTGAAGTACTTCGGGTCGTCGAAGGATGGGAGTAGCGGGTTGGCATCCTTGTTGGGAAAGGTGGCCGCCAGAGTAAGTGCTGCACTGACAATAGTCAACCGAGCAGGTTCGGCGTTGTTTGGGCGCTTAGCCTTTAGGATAGGCAAGAGAAGACCTGCCAAGAGCATCGTGGACAGGTAGTTGACTTGGAAGGTTTCTTCGTGTCCGGTGCTTGAATTCTTAGAGAACGCCATCTTCATGATGCCTGCGTTGAGAATCACAATGTCAATGCGGGCTGGGTGGCGCTCGGCCTTGCTGACGAAATCCTGGATAGAGTCATACGAGCTCATATCAAGCTGCCAGATGTCGATGGTAGTCTTGGGGTGTAGCTTGCGTAGCTTGGCAGCGGCTTCATTGCCCCTTTCGAGAGATCGAACGGCGAGAATGAGATGCGATAGTCCGAGGTCTAATAGTTGCAGGCCAGCCTCGTAGCCAAGCCCGGTGTTGGCACCAGTTATGATTGCTGTTTTGCCTGAGAGGTTGGTGCCTGGATTGGGCCATTGGGGTTTGGCACAAAATTGATTGTAGAAGAATACTCGACCAAAGGAGAGAGTTGACGGAGAGAGATCCTTTGAGCCAGTCATGTTGACAAGGAGTGAACTGAATGGGAGAATTGATGAGTCGAGTGGTCGAGAGATATGATGAAGATGTCCTGAATGCTGTGATCTGGGAAAAGAGTAGAGTTCAAGATGTTACAGACGTCTCAAATGACCATTATTTATACATTGGCGCTTCATTCATCTCTCGCAGCTTCGGGATGCTGCCATATCTCCGAAGACCAGTTTGTATGCCATTTTGGGTAAAGGCGATGAACGGTCAGCGCGGCTGATGGAAGCTATTCCCAAATTGGCAAACATTGTGGTCAAAGCCCGAGCGACGATCATCGTTACCCTCCAACTATTCCCGATGTCCTAGATCACTTTCGTAGTTAAGGAGAAGTCCAATGCAGACTCTACGAAACTGCGCCCGGCTTTATGAACGGGTAGCGCTATGCGATAACTGACACCAGAGACAGACTCAGGCGAACTAAACATATCCAGCCAGACTTTTGAGATTTGAGATTTGAGATTTGAGATTTGGATTCAATGATCTCTTGTGTCTTGGTATGATAAGTAGACCACTGTCAAGCCACCTTGATATGGATGAAAGTGGCAAACAGGAGAAACTCTATTCATTCGAGAGAATGTGTGGTCCATCCCCTCCTCGATGGACGATGTTCAAGCTTCATGGTGAGATGCCGCGATTTCCTTCTCGTCGCGCGCCAGAGCACCAGCATGACCGTCTACCCGACGCTGGTCGATGATCTCCTCCGTCTGTCGGCGCCAAGTGCGTGGCATGCCCTTCCGTGTGAAAAGAATATCCATGTCTTCGAGGGAAATACCTTTCGTCTCAGGAATCAGGAAGAAGGTGAAGGTGAAGCCAATCACCACCGAGCATGCAAACAACAAAAACGTGCCATACGTGATATCTGTCATCATATACGGCGTTGAGTAAACGATGGTGAACTGCCCAAGCCATTGCGCACATGTTGTGAAAACGAGACAGATTGATCGGATTCCCATTGGAAAGACCTCAGCACTAGAAGAAGCTGTGAGCAAGACCATCGTTGTTTCCTGAAGTTCGCATGGAACTCACCAAAAGATCCATGGAATACCGTTCCAAGAAATGGCGTAAAATACGGCGAAGATGTAGATCATGACGATTGCGACGTAAGCACCTGGAGTTCTGTCGCCTGCAGAAAGCTGGCCCGCATCGAAAGACCCAGACAGTTTGGCGAAGGCTCCAAGATAGAACAAGGCGATAGCAGCTCCCACTGAACCGATCATAAGAGACTGCCGTCGGCCGAGAGAATCAACGCCCCAGATCATATACAGCATGGTTGCAAATGCTTTGACGATGCCGAAAATGCCCGTGGCTAGAAGACCGACGCTCGTGCCAGTAAACCCAATCGATTGGAAGATCGATGGTGAATAATAGTTCAAAGCGTTGATTCCACTGAGGTTTTGTAGGAACATCAAAGCGATACCAAGGAGCAGGCGGCGCCGGTTCGTGGGAAGTTTGATTTCACGGAGCTTTTCAAGCACCCCTCTGTTTGCCCCGAGAGCGTTTTCTTCCTCAATCTGTTGGAGAACGGTATTGATCTCCCAGTTGAGGTATGGATGGTCGGCAGGTAGCTTCCGTAGGCGCTGAAGTACTTTGCGCGCCTTTTCCGTCCGACCAGCGTTGAGGAGCCACCGGGGGGACTCGGGTTGAAGGAACATACAGATACAAAGAAGACTTCCTGGAATAATCTGCAGCGCGAAAGGGATATGCCACTGCATATCTGAGGTGCCCGAGATGTGGATGTTGACTCCGTAGTTAACCCAGAATCCAATGATCTGAGAGAACTGAAGGAAAATTTCGAATACGCCGATGAGACGCCCCCGAATGGCCGGCGGACCGGACTCGGAGATGTAGACAGGGATGATCATGGAAGACGCTCCAACCGCGAGACCTAGCCGAAATTGATGTCAGCTCAATTTCTTTGATTTATCTTCAAGCATAATAATTGCGAGAAGATTGCAGAGCTTACCTGTAAGTACGCGGCCAGCGTAAATGAGAGCGAGATTGCCACTTGCGACAAGCTGCAAGACGGCACCAAGGTCGAACAGGGCGCCACATCCGATCAGCACCCATCGACGGCCAAGTTTTTCAACAATATAGTAACAAAATAGGACACCGAAGAAGCAGCCGCCTTGAAAGGTGCTGACAATATTTGCTCGAAGTGCAGCGAGTGCGGTGCCAGTTGACGAGTCGAGGCCGAATCGGCTTTGAAAGGATGGAAGAGCCATAGTGCCCCCAATGAACGCGGAGTCGTATCCGAACATAGCAGATCCCATGGCAGCAGAAGCCGCGAGCCCGTAGATCCGCCAATTGTAGACCTCAGCCGGCGCTGGGTTAGCCGAGTCATCCTGCGGCCGTTTGAATATGTTCACCATGATCGCTAAAGGCTGTGTGATGAATGGAAAAGAGCAAACAACCAAAACAAACTGCTACCGTGGCACTGGTACCGAAGGTAAGGTGATGCATGCGTTAGCAAGATATCGGGTGGGTTCGTCCGTTTATTTTGACTCCCAACCCCAGGTTTTACCCCAGACATCCACATTCCAATACCCCAGACTCATGATGTAGAATTGGGTGAACGTTCTCCCCTAAATCGACGTACCAGCTATCATCGCAGCCGCGAAAGAGGGGGTTTAGGATAAGGAAGAGTGTTCTGCCGCTGCCAAGAGGTCAATCGAGCAATCACGATGATTGCTAGCAGATTTCGATTCCAATGATTCGATAGGAGATGTATCTTTCAAGATAGTGGGGCATGCAGAGTGTGCCAGCTTGCCTATTCGTGTGACCAGTCGACTTGGCCTACTACCGATTGGATGGCTAGAGTACCGTGTATCGCAGGCGGCCTGCCGGGTGTGTATTAAACCGTCATCCCTGAAAGAGCGACAGATGAGCATAGGGCCAAGGTATTTAATCATTCCTTTTGTCGCCAAGCGCGTCCATGTGGCTATGACCTTGGCATCTGGGCATGATTTATCATGCTTTGAATGATCTAATGAGCAAAAGAAGGTTTGATGGTTTACTCAATCAACAGATTGACGTCAATAATATCAATCTGGTTCACAATCCTACATGTAGGAATGAACTGAGAGCTCGTGGTAGGCCTGTTGAGTATCGTCTAAGCCATGCATAGCCACCATGCGCATGTCATACTCTTTAAACGTCTATCGTCGCTACACGAATGATCAAGTAGCCACTTCATGAGAGTGTATTGTCTACCCAAGCCAGAAACATTGCAGGCAGTAATTTGTCTGCTCGAAGTTAAATCCCACCCGGCCGGGACAGAACACGCGTTCAGCCCCGGTGACGGAGACTATAACGCGCACAGGGGTGTAAAAGAGCCTGGAACGCAGATTTTGAGTCCCCCGCTCACTTCAGTATAAGTTAATATGCTTGGCACCGAGTAAGTGTTTAGTCAGTTAAAAGGAATGCGAAGGAGGTAGAAGTTTGCGTTTGTGCCCATGTTGCAAACGCTTGGTGTGTCGCCTTATCATCGAGAATGGATTTGTGAGTAATATGTGCAGCAGGCACATGTATTATTTATCCCGAAATCACAGATATTCAACCAATTGACGGTGTAAGCACCATGAAGCGTGGAGTAGAAATCAGATAACAGGTTATTGAATACAAAATAACCATTCAGGATGCTCCATACACAAAAACAAGAACCAATGGCATGTAGTCCATCGCTGTATAGATCGAAAGTCCAACAAGCTTGAGTCAGACGGGAGACCCCTCCTTGCAACGAGCGCGAGCAGTTCCGCAGTCGCTCGCCACACCATAAGAACAGCAGCCGCCGCTTGAGTTGCACTCGAACGCATGCGTGCGAACACGCTTCGTCTTGATCGCGTACGTTCCGGCTCCAACTACACAGTTACCACAGTACACACCCTGCGACAGCCCACTGACGCATTGACAGCCGTTGTAGGTACAAGCCCGCTCCGATAGCTCGGCTGGGAGAGCTTCGCGGGCTTGGACGGATGAAGTATGGACCGTGGCGACCGCAGCGGCGAGAATGAAGACGATTGACGTTATCTTCATTGTGATGAAAGGGTGAAAACTGAATGAAACCTGAAGCATGATTAGTTCAAAGTATCAGCATGACCTTCGCAAGAAAACTAACGGCTCGTTTGCAGATGGATAAGGTGACTGCTTGATTTGAGTTTTCGCCGTATCTGAATAAGGTGACTCCAAGCGCTGAGACAATACGACCACCAGAGTAATAGTACTGGCGAATCCAGTAGTTGGGGTGTTACTCTACGTGCACCAGACTTTATAGCTACTCCTCATGTTTCTAAAGCAAACACATCGACTAGTCGCCGCAAAAGGCTGTCCGTCTGACATCGTTGGATGCTACATTGTGCAGCACACTTGAACTTGTGTAGTGCGGAGTGGCCAGTAACCACCTTATTCTGGAAGGTGATCGCTGTGGGGAATCACTAGTTCATTCAGCTCCAGCTGCAGTCAAGATAATCAGTCTTGTAATTGTGCATCATCAGCCAATGGCTAGCTGCAAATGAAAACTCGTTTAGAGGCGGTGTGTCAAAGCTGCGAATTGAACGCATTTACTGGTTAAAGTCTCGCGTAGATGATGTTGAAGCGCAACTAGACAAAGATGGATGGAAGACTCACGGTAGCTGGCTAAGCAATACTTTACTTACAACTCGAGAGCATCGTTCGTCCGTCAGTCACCTCAATCTAATATCCAAGCACCGCATTAGTTCACATCTAACGCACCAATCATCTCTTATTATTGGCGGCGACATGTAAGACCAATCAGCTCATGCACGTCGAGCATTACATCAGTAAAACTTTTGTTGTGTTGGTTCCCGCAAGAATACGCCTGCGACTTCTTCAAGCGATGTTTTTCAAATTGAGCTATGTCTGCTTGTGACACATACGAGATCAAAAACACAGCAAAGATCTCAGACAGTCGGACGCCGGTCACCCTTAACTAATGGCATTGCGTACGCACGGCGATAATGTATACTAAACATGCATTTCAATCCCATTGCAGCTCATTGACTGCCTTCTACTTAGTTTGTTTAACTGAAAGTACCAAGAGGATTTCCCAGTTATTGCTCGCAGCCCAAGTCCATTCATAACTTCAGAGTCAAAGGCTGCGGAGTGTTATGGCCTGATATAAGTGAACATTGGCAAAAAGCATTTTGGCCTATTTAAAGAAGTATTGACTGAGGTCTGTTAAGAAACTGGATCCCGCGTCTTTCTGTGCATCTAGGAAGCGCTCAGAGACTGAATTTACTGGTGTGTCGGCACGTTTCCGAACCTACTACGTCTCGGGTACAGATCCGGGCGGGGCTAGTGATAACCCGGCGACTGATTCACATTCGGGGCCTGTCTCCGAAGGCCGAGCCGCCGACATCGCCAAGCATGTGGGTCTTAAATACTTCCAGAGCAAACTTGCTAACGTCCTTGTCCACTAGTGGACAGTAGAGGCTTCGGCTTCCGGTCCGTGTGGTGCACCCGAGGATAGCGAGTATTCTCATGAATGGCTTCTTAGATATCAAACATGGCCCACCACGGCTGATAGGAACTATGCCATTATCAGCACCGAAATTCTAGGAGTCACTCATCTCATGATATCGGATCACAAGCCGATGATGATAAGGTCTGTCACCGTCTGTGATAGTTATGCCTGACTGTTGATACAAAAGATGCGTTCATACTCCGTGACAATAGATATTTCCAGGTGGTGAGACTTCAAAATTCACAATTCTTCAACACCTTTCGCCCAAAGAGATTTCATCATGCAGATAGTTAACCCAGTCGGCTGGGTAAGTATAATACGACTCTAGGTTGGAAGGGTTGCTAACACGAGGATTAGTACGGACTTGGCTCCATGGGCCTGCCAATGGCCCTGAACCTGCATAAGAAGCTGCAGTCACATGGGTCCAGCTTGACGTTCTCCAACCGGACGCTTTCCAAGGGTGCCGAATTGGTGGATGCAGGGGCTGTTGCGAAAAGCAGCATTGTAGAAGTTGTCCAAGCATGTGATGACATCTTCACTATGGTCAGTTCATGCGGCTTTTCGCCCGTCAATGCCTCATTTTTCTCACGTTTGATACAGGTTTCTGCCGATGCAGTCCTCCAATCATTGGTGGACGAGCTTCTAGCCAGCGGTAATAGTCTTAAGGGCAAGACTTTGATCGACTGTTCCACCATTCATCCCGATACGGCTGCATTGGTTTCCGAGAGACTAGAGGCTGCAGGTGCCTCATTTGTTGCTGCTCCTGTCTTTGGAGCAAGTCCCGTGGCTCAAGCAGGGAGGCTTGTATTCGCCATGGCCGGTCCCCAAGCCGCACTTCAGCGTTTGGAGCCTCTGGTTGTTGATGTCATGGGAAGGAAGGTTATCAATATGGGCAGTGATGTTACGAAGGCGCCTATGTTGAAAGTTACAGGGTACGTATACCAGAAACTGTATCTATCTCACAATCTGACTTTGACTCGCAGCAACGTTCTTCTGGTTGTCTTTCTCGAAGCAATCTCCGAAACTCAGGTCCTCGCCGAGCAAAATGGCATTGGTATGACGGCCATGGAAGAGCTAATCTTCGAAGTCTTCGGACCGGTTCTCGGAAGCTACTCACGCCGACTGACGAGTGGCTCTTGGGCACCAAAGGAGGGCGCGGCTGGGTTTGCTGTTTCCAATACCATCAAAGACGCGAAGCATGCCCTGCGAGTGGCCAACGATCTCGGCGTCAGAATGCCGGCTCTAGACATTGCAACCAACAACATGTTGAGCGCAAGAGCATTTGGAGGGGAAAACCTGGATGGTGCTGCGCTCTACGGCACTTTGAGATCGCAGGCTGGCCTGCCATTTTGGTCAGAGAACAGCCGCCAAGAATGAATAATCAGGCAATTGCGAGGGAACTTCAGAGAGAGATAAACATAGACATATTAGACAGATACCCTCAATATCATTTATTTAGAATGCGCCTTTTAGCTTGCCTGTTCTAATCTCGAAGCAGAATATTCAAGTACTTCATTTCTGCAACAAGCACTAATTTGAGTGGAAAGAAAACGGATGTTTATGTTTGCTCGCGTTAGGTTTCTGCGTGCGGCAAGTGCGTCTCGTTCATCCACAAGTGGTGGAGTATAGAGATACTCGATAATTAACATCGACATGTTCAAAAAAGCAACGGCTTACGCGAAAAGGAAAAAGAAATCAGAAAAAAAGAGGTTACGGAGCCCCTTCCGGACAGGATCCACCTGTCGGCCCCACCCTCGGGTCCGAACGGACGCATGTCTCCGAGAACATGACTGAAGGCACAATGTCCTCCAAAACGAAAAGGAGTTCAACTGTTCGTCTGATAGTCGACCAGTTTTCGGTGTTATTTATCAAGAATTTCATCACTGTTGAAATGTATGGCGGCATCGTTGACACAACTAGCAAATAGTCATCTCATTTGTCGTTCTCAACAAGGTTGCCAAGACCTGATACCAAGAATACCAAGCAACCGCTAGAGGCCGCTTGTTTCCTGGCATTGCGAGTAAGCAATCGCGAATATCACGCCTTTTTCTTGGTATATCGCATCATCATCCCGGAATCTGGAATAAAGCTCTGATTTTCGCCCTCGTCAACCACGCCTCTCGGTCTCAACCGCGCGATTTCTCGACTGGCGTGGACTCAGCACTGCCACAGCCAAGGACCTAGCCTTCACCCAAGAGATGGTGACATTGTTTCCCAGCTGCTCGTCTACATGATAACACTCACAATCAGCATTGGCGCTCACATAACTCCCTGGCTCTTCGAATTTGGCAAAGTCTTGGCTGTGCAGCTACCTGGATCTCTCGGTGTTCATTCACCCTCCGATTTCTCTTTATGATGAAAGCTGCAAGGCTCAAATAATGCAACCCGGCTTGGATTCTGGGCATGCATACGATGGGATGCTAAGTGATTAAGAAATTTAGGCGACGTGTAAAATTTGCGAGCAGTTTTAAAGCTAGCTAGACCCTCGCGTCTTGACATACATGGCTTGACATTGAAACCCTTTGTGAGCTTGCGCCCTATTAACACGCCAAAATGTCTGAGAAGCAAGCAATCGAACGAGATTCGTCCCGGTCTTCGGATCAGGGTAGTAAGAAAGAACCGTCCGACTCGGTCAAGCTTGACCAAACGGACGAAGACATCGAGCGAGAGAGAAATAAGATTCTGCGCGAGCAGGAAGATCTCCGCAAGCAAGATGCGCCAATCATTCCCATTATGTCCTTCTTCAAGAAGAGAAAGGGCTACGACGAGAATGCTATAGCAACCCAGCCCTCGGTCTACGACAACCCTTCAACTGCGAAGTTCTTCCAGCCGCATCCGCGGTACGAAAATCTTCATCGGTTCGACCCGTCCTTCCGCTGGACTTGGGGCGAGGAGCTTCGACTCATCAACAAGCTGGATTGGAAGATTACTCTTTTTGCCTGCCTTGGTAAGGTTATTTCTTCAAATCCCTGCTTCATTTCCTGACATAGGCCTAGCATTCTTCGCACTGGATCTTCCCCGTGGCAATCTGAGTCAAGCAAACTCCGCATCCTTCCTCGAGAGCCTCGGCATGGACACGAACGATTATAACTTGGGAAACACGGTCTTCCAAATATCCTTCTTGCTGGCAGAGTTGCCGTCGCAAATGATCAGCAAAAAGATCGGACCAGATCGCTGGATACCTTTCATCATGTGTTCATGGAGTCTGGTGTCCGGGTGCCAGTTCTGGCTCAGCGGAAGAACTTCTTTTCTTGTCTGCCGTGCGCTGATTGGCGTACTTCAAGGTGGTTTCATTCCGGACATGGTGCTTTACCTCACCTACTTCTTCAAGTCTACTGAGCTACCGTTTCGATTGGCCATGTTCTGGACTGTTCGCCGCATCACGGATATCGTTGCGCCACTATTGGCTCTCGGTGTCCTCCGTATGGATGGGATCAACGGATACGACGGCTGGCGCTGGCTATTCCTGATCGAAGGCATCCTGACGATGTCAATCAGTATATGGGCCTGGTTCATGATGGCTCCGTCACCAACGCAGACCAAAGCCCCCTGGCGACCAGCCGGATGGTTCAACGAGCAGGAAGAAAAGGTATTGGTCAACCGAATCTTGCGGGATGACCCTTCAAAGTGTGATATGCACAACCGACAGGCTATCACTCCCAAGCTACTGCTGAAATCTTTGGCCGACTGGGAGCTCTGGCCCATCTACATCTTCGGTCTCATTTGGGAGATCCCGGCCGGACCACCCGACCAGTACCTCACTCTCACGCTGAGAAATCTGGGCTTCAGTACGAACGACACCAACCTGCTCAGCATTCCACCCCAGTTTCTTGGCGCAGTTTTCATGATGATGACAACGTATTTGTCCGAGATCTGGGACTCGAGAGCGTTGTTCGGTGCTTTCACTCAGCTCTGGTACCTTCCTAACCTGATTGCCATGGCTGTATTACCATCAAATAGCAGCCCATGGGCGCAATATGCTGTGGTTACAGTTCTGCTTTCCTATCCCTCGCGTAGGTTTTCCGGCGTGCGACCTGACTTTGACCTTGCTAACAGAGCCGCCAGCGCACGCGATGCATGTTTCTTGGGCCTCGCGCAACTCCCATTCCGTCCGCACCAGAGCAGTTTCTGCAGCTTTGTACAAGTAAGTCGGCGAGACAGCCAACGTCCGGTTTCTGCAGCATCCGGACTGACGCATGTGACAGCATGATGGTTCAGCTTGCTCGCGTTATCTACTCAAACATTTATCGTGAGGATGACCGGCCTGAATGTGAGAAAACATCCTGGACCCCTCAAGCTGTTGGCTTCAGCTAACCCCGATCCAAGATCGGCGCGGAAACAGAGTACTGATTGGGATCTGCTGTATGAACATCTGCATCTACCTTCTTGCGAAGCTGTTCTACATGTGGTGCAACTCGAAGCGCGAGAAGGAATGGAACGCCATGACAGAAGAAGTATGAAGACAAATATCCGTCATAACGTACTTTCAAGTTGCTAACATTTGTCACAGGAACGCAACCACTACTTGGAAACTACCACAGACCAAGGCAGCAACAGAAAGGATGTGCGGTTCAAGCACTAGAGAATCGTTGGAATGACATGAAGCTTGATCACAGCCAAGGCACCGACAGAAGTTGCTATCTGCATCAGCAGTCTTGCAATCTGGTCTTTTTAATAACAGCATATGGACTCTTCTTTTTCTGTTGCAGGTAGATCAAGACTTTTCTTTCACTGGATAACCGTTTCCTATTCCATTAGAACCCGACCCGATCTTCTGGATCGCGGTTTGCTTCTTTTCGAAAGCTTTCCAACTCTAATTTCAAAATACCATCCGTGACATAGTGATTGTAGAACTTCTCGACCCCGTGCTCGGGTGCTTCCAGTAGTTTTCCAATTAGCTCAAACGCCACTTTCTTCCAAGCAATATGGCTCCATGGCTCTTCGCCTAATGTCACACCTGCGACGTTCTCCCACCTCTCTTCACGAGGCTGAAGTAGTACTTGCAATACGCTGCCATAGACGCTGTTGTCGGCTCGCTCATCGCTAATTGGGTACCAGTCCTCGTGAGAAACTCTAATGGTCCAACCGAGCGCAGCCAACCAGTTTTGTGGACTTCCGTACTCGCTACACGTATCATCCACAACCTCCTCAAGCCGGCTGATCAGAAAGATACCACGCGCATATGCCTCATCTCCGATTCTTTCGGGAAGGTACCAGGACTCTGCCACTTTCCTATCCTCTATCGAACGGCGGCTTTTGAGTTCGGCCTCGTAATGCAGTACACATGCCCTAACGCGGTCGACCAGCCAGGGGAAGACATAGTCGAACCTATCGTCATGTCCACGGGGTTCAATGGGCTTTGGGTCTCTGAGATGCTTCCATTGCTTTTCAGAATCCCAGATGTCAGATGAGAAAGGCTGAGGCATAGGCATGGCAATGACCTCGATCCTGTCAGGCGATGCTGTGGTGGCTCGACGCTCGCGGTATGTGCGCTCAAAGATCTCGCACGCCAGCTCCCTTGAGCGACCGGGACGTAGAGCCTCTGGTGTTGTGTCATAAAAAACAAACGCGTATGGGGGCCGGTGGGCTGTGAGACTGGCTTCGTCGTCGTCGGCAACTGTCTCCGGGACCGCGTAAGCGACATAGGCTTGGGATCCGTCATGAGTTGGTGCTTGATGAACCACTATTTTCCTTTTCGGCGGTGGTTCTCGCAAACTTCTGGTCTGAGGCTGCCGTCCACCGCGCTTCAGAAGCTCTGGATGCTGTTGTAGCTTCTCCATGGCTTGCTCTTCTTGCCGTGCTGCAAACGCCATCTCCTCCTCATCGTCGGCGGAAGTGCATCCCTGGTCATCTGAAAAGTTTGACCATGGATAGAGGCCAAGCTTTGGACAACTATAACACATAGTTGAAAATATTCCGACCAAGGTAGGATATTAATGATGCTGGACGAAGCTTTTTCCAGCACCAACAATGACGATGGTGATCAGATAAATTTCTCGGAGTAAAATAAGGCAGAGTCACGTGCTTGATTTGCACAACTATGGAATTCCCCTTATGCCATGCATAGTGTGTGCTCGACCGGAGAGGTTGAAGGGCCGTATCAGACCAACAAAAGTCCCGGATCTTACCTGATAAGGGATCAAAATCCCACGTAATCATGCTTTGACGAATGGAGATTTGGCGGTTAATTAATACGTAAGATTGAGAATTCCTCATTTCAGTTAGTACTTGGTGAAAGCAACCAAGTCGGAACCTTTTGACAAACCTCCAGACTAGCGTCCAACCGGCTGTCTCTTAAGTCTCCGACGAGTGCTGACAATCAACGCCACAAATCCTACAAGCTAACGGTCTTTAACATCCTCAAATATCGACAGTCCTGTCCCCAGTTTCTCACGTGAGACAGGTTCTCCTTCTTTTATTTCCAAACTATCCTTCAAGAGTATAATACCCGCGAGTTCGACCTCTTCTGGGCCTGACTTCGCAAGCTTGAACACGAGAAGCGCTGGTTACACCAACTCTATCAACAAACATGGCCTCGATGGACCCAATGTCTCCACACATCCTGCGCAACGTTATTGACGTGTGTATTGTTGGCGCTGGCCCTGCTGGGCTATCCGCGGCCTTGACTCTTGGAAGAGTTGTTCGAAGTGTTGTTGTTCTCGATACTGGAGTTCACAGATACGGAGCTTTGAGTGAGGCACATCTTCCTGGCGACAACGATGAGGCGGCCTTGATACGAAGCGGCATGAGAGCAGAGGTGCAGAGGAAGTATAAGACGATCACGTTCGCAAAGGCTGGGGCCAAGAACATCCGCAAGATAGGTCCTATCTTCGAGGTGGAGGACGACACAGGCCGGTTATGGAAAGGGAGGAAGGTTATTTTGGCCACCGGGTGCAAAACTGTAGCCCCAAGCATACCGGGGTATACGGAGTCGTGGGGGAGAGGAATGTGAGTATGACCTGTGATATCGCGCCAAAGGCGCATGCATACCATATCTTGGGGTCTGACTAATAGCCTCGCAGCTTTGATTGCCTACATCGCCGAGGATTCGAGCACTTCGGCGTTTCAAGTGCCGCTGTCCTTGTCACACCTTCTTCGAAGTCTTGGCTGCCTGACGCGATGTCACACGCTCGGTTGGCCAAACAATTTTCCACGAAGGTGTCAATATTGACCAACGGACTGGAGGCTTCGAATGAAATACTAGAAGCAGCAGAAAGCCAGAACTTCAGGATTGAAAAGCGAGAGATTCGAAGGTTGAAGACTGTAGGATATGGGGATGACTCTTCAATGGCCGTTGAGTTCGAAGACGGATCAACCTCGTCATTTGGATTCTTGTTCCACAAGCCTGAAACTATCTTCAGCGGGGATTTTGCTGCCCAGCTAGGTTTACAGAGTACGGAATCAGGGGAAATTCTGATTTCCGGCACAATGCAGGAGACGAGCGAGAGAGGCGTATTCGCTGCGGGCGACTGCGCCTCCCCTGTGAAGCAAGTTTCTGTTGCGATGGGAGCGGGCTCTGTCGCTAGAGTCGGTGCCAACGCGCAGATTTTGCAGGATGATTACGAGCAGCCTTGGTGATAGTCTGAAGTTTATTTAAAACGTTGTGACAATGGAGAAGAACTATTTTCATCGGCCCTGGTTGACTGGTGAACGCCACCAAGGGCAGTCGGCAGGACGTGTTGCTTCGCCACGATACGAGCCTACGTGGATACCACGCGGTCCGGCATCGGGCACAACAGAATGATAAGATATGAATTCCAGGAAATGCTAATCTTGACTGAAGCTCTATGTGTGTGCTTCCTATGGTGGGATTTGGAGACGGTTGCTCTGCTATTGATGCCACTTTGGCTAGGACTACTCTTCTTTTACTGGTAAGCAGTTTCACGCAATAATTCGTGGCAAGGAGGTCCAGAATGTCGAAAATACACATCTATGTAAGTAACTGTGAATGAGAAGCACATATTTACAATTGGGAATATGGAATACACATCAGTTATGATGGCTTGACTTATGAAAATCTCCGATCATACTCAGGGAGGCTGCTCTAAATAATGGTCTACATCGGGACATACAGACTCGGAGCCAGGCCAAGAGAAGCGTTCAGTGATCCGCAACAGAGACACGGACAAGGTCAGGTTCTCTCTGGAATACCACTTGGCGTCCTTATCATTACCTCCTGTACGGGCTGGGTTGTTGATTCGATCATCGAAATCCATATCGCATGACATTATTGTCAACCTTTTATGGAGAATCCGTCCTGTGATTAGGTGTTGAAGTCGATAAGACACAGCTATAACTGGCGGGAGATCGCACAAGAGGTGCAGCGCCCCGATCGGGATACATACTGAGAAGGAACGACTGAATCATCAATATCGGTAGCGAAAAGTCCTGCCTCAAAGGAGCAGAATCTCGGAACACAAATGGGGTAGTTCCGAGTTCGGTCTCGCTGTAGTTCCTGATGGGCCAGCCATTGGCATTGCATAAGTGTCATTTGAACCTTTCTACATCTGAAAGATGGGACCAAAGAATCAACGTAGAAAACTGAGTTATTTGTCAAAACAGCGGCTGAAAATCGGAAACTGAGAACCGATGAAGGCAACGTGTAATCACCCAACCCAAGTGGCCGGAGCGCTGCCGCGCCATGATTACCCTGGCTCTCCCCCACAACTGCGAAAGCGAACTCAACTGCGCTTCTCGCCGAAATGCTTCTAGATCAGCCAAATGACCCAGAGCTGCCACAAAACACTGGACGACTGGCCTATGCTACCTCGGACTTCAGACAAACATGGAGTGACGGCGAAAGCGAGCCGGAAGACCCTGGCCGCAGCCGACGGGTTGGTCCGAGCTGACCAGACCATCCTGATGATGGCCGTTGAGAAGTGTATTCTCGTGAAGCTGGACAATGTGTCTGCCACAGAAGAAGCAAACTCACTTAACTTGTGGGACAAATTCAAGCTACTGAAGAATTAATTTGCTCGGCACGGTCGTTGCCGTTGGAAAACTGGGACTGATATTGCGCCAACATTGGCGTTTGGATGGTACCTCCTTTCACACGAAGGCCAAGACAAACAAAAGGGGTCATTGTCAATCGTCTGCATCGTTGTTCTTTCTTGGTGTCTCGTCTGACTGATGGCGAAGCATTGTCGAGAACCTATGACATCCAGCCGAGGACGGGAAATCCACTCTCTTATCGAAACCGAGCCTCCAAAGCGTTTTGATTTGAACTCTACCGTCCTCCCGCCCCTTGACAGACCCCTTCATTGGTCCACGTCGGTATTTGCAATCCTAGTGTCGATCTGAAATCGGGCAGGTTCCCCCACACGCGGCAGGAGAAACTGGGATTCAGTGGACACACCGGTTTACGTTGATTGAGATGGGTGGCTTGGCTCCAGATAAAATTCTCCGCTAGTCCACCGTAGGGCAGATCGTCGCAAGGCACGGCAAGGCAGACTGGGCAGGGTGAACTAGTGTCACTAGCACCGGCAGTCTTCGCAAAGTGACAAGAGTTTAAGATAGGACCTCACAAGGTGTGTGAAACCTCTTGTTGCAATCACAACACCCACCGGATGGCAGATCCTAAGTATACAAGCTGGGGCGATCCTGGTATCACGGGCCGGATGGGACCAGCCGGCCGCCGATGATTGGGTCAACCGCCGTGTCGACGCCCGGAGGCTCCACTCGGGGCTACCCGTGCATCGTACATAGCAACGCGGGGACTCTGAATCGCTCTCGGTCTCGGTCTCGCGGGTGGGGATGACAATTGCGCAGAGTTCCATTTCCAGGCTGTGTAGTATTCCAGACACGAAGATTTGACTATCTCGTCAGTGATCTTACTATTGTTGTGCAGTCTGAACCTGTTTTAGACTCAAACGCCGTCATGGACAATGACTCGATGTGAAGGCTAGAGAATTCTTTAATACTCTTTGAAAACCACCTGTAAAAACTTCCGAAAACATCGTCAACGCCTCAACAAGCCTTCTCAAGTGAACAACATTGACAGCTTTACTCATACCCAGCGAGATACCCCGAGGTGCTCTTGCCTACCCGTCTCTATTGGATCAACTCAGTTCGAAATTCATTTACAAGCAAACCAAAACGCTTATCCGAAGAGTCCGAGACAGTACAAGTCATCAAAATGGCCGACCACTCGACAGCAAACTTTCCTCCCGTCTCGAGCGACGTCGTCAACCTTGCGATCGCCGAATTGGCCATCTACGCCATCATGTTTCCGGCAGCGGTATGGATTACATGGAAGCACGGCAAGAAGGGAATGGTGTGCTGGCCGATTTTCCTGTCACATTTCTTTGGGAGATTCATTGCCGATATCTACCAAATCGTCAAGAAGGATGAGCCGCTGTTACCGAATCAAGTCAATATCATGACCAATGCGGCCAGCGTTGCATGCCTTTCACTGACACTGATCGGCATTGTTTACGAAGCGTAAGACGACAGAGGCAGCGATTACGAGATTAATAAAGCTGACATTGATTCAACAGCAATATCATTCTGCCCTCACCTCCCAAGCGATGGACTGAAAAGATCATTCTCGGAGTCACTCATCTTGCGAACACGGCCGGTATTGGAATGGGAACCTACGGAGGATCACCTAGCCCTAAGGGTGGCGTCATCAACGAGAACATCAACCAAATCGGCCAATGTCTACAACTCTTTGTCCTTTTTGGAGTCTGCGGTTGGATGTGGCCCACCTACAAGCGCATCCGATCCGCGTCGTCGCCGAACTGCCGTCCTGCCATGCTCATGCTCCGCGCCGCGGTCATCGGCATGCCGTTTCATCTGATCCACCTGGCTTACACGACGACATACGCCTTCGACCGCATCCCGAGTCTGGACCCCGTCATGGGAACCTTCGCAACGAAGCTCGTCCTGCTCTTCGGCACAGAGCTGGGCGTTTCCATCGCCATGATCGGCGGCGGTTGGCTCGGTATGTCTGCCGACGTCCCCAAGGCCGTTCAGATGGAGCTGTCCCCTGTCGATGTGGAGGGCAGCAATAACGATCCTGTGAGAGACGACATTCCTTTGTCCCGGGACTGGAACAGAGACGACATTGCCAGGGCGAAGCTGGGCTTCGTCTAAGTGCAGGCGGTCGTTTCTCTTTGTTTCTTGGAATTTTCGCGCGAATACATCTTCTCGCCTCGCAAATAGTCAGGAAACTGACATGGAGCCCTCTTCTTAGGATTGCACATCACGAACCGAGAGATTCCGCCTTGGACGGACCAGGTCGAGGAAGGGTGCGAGGGCTTGGGAGACGGGCGTCAGTGAGCACAGGGATTAGTGCCCGGGTCTTGACGTGCAGGACACGGAGACTGCACTGAGACGGAGATTCGATGTACACAAACAAATAGAGGGATTCGGCCCTCTGGTTCATTTGTCGAATTGTCTCCAGTCATCCACTCGCTTGGCATGAAGTCTCTTGAGGTTGCCTTTGTTTTTTTTTTTAGCATATAGAGTGTATCATGATTTGGCTTGCAGCGTCTACATCCTCTTGCTTCTTACCTGCATCTGCTTTTCTTTTTTTGGATACCAGCTCTTAATGGAACTAAAATTGATCGCACGCGCCATCTTGAGTACTCTCAGTTTGTGCATTATGTCATCGTTGTAACATTGTTCGGCTGCGTGCTGACGAATCGTCGCAGCATGTATCATATTAACCCAGGTGTTACATGAATTCAGTGCCCAACGCAACCTGATGACGGCGAGGAAAACAACCAATGCAATATTGCGAGGAAAGCAAGTTCGTGGTCCGTACATGGGCACAGCATGTCTGTTGTCGTTTTTTCTTCTCTTTCGACAACACATTTACGTCCGTAAAGGTGAGGTTCATAGCAACGGGCAGCCCCGATTCTTCACCCATGTGATATTTTAACATTAGGAGCAAGGTTGGTGGATGATGAAGTCACAACTTGGATGGTTTCTTCTTAAGCGCTGAAACGTGTCTACCCGGTAGCACTTCCCTGATTCCCAAGAGGCCACGGCCACATCACTCGTGTTGCCGATACTTCCAAAAGGTCTCAGCACTATCTTGGCGAAATTGGCGACCCTTCTTTATCATTACCAAGAACAGAGAAATCACAGCTAGAGCTGCGAAAGCGGCCACCAAAAATGCATTCTGCCAACCCATGTCCGTGACCCATGGAGTGATACTGTGATTATCGTGTTAGTTCGGGTCACTACACGTTCGGAGATGTGGCGCAGGCTAGCTTACCCGTATGAAACTGCGAAGCTCATGGTATTCCTAATGAGGATGACTGTAACAATGGCATCTGCGCCAAGTTCCTTGTACGAGTCGATGCAGTACGTGATAGTCAGCTGGCATCCAGCGGTGACACCGGCACTCAGTGCTCCCATCGCGAATATCAAGCCGAACCAATGGACTTGGTGAGCTGCCCCAACACCCCATAGGAGGAGCGAGCCGGGCACAACGACCATCAGTACGGAAAAGAGCCAAAGTCGGAACTCGGGCTCCATGATGCCTTGATTCCTGCGAGCCTTCCAAAGAGTGAAAGAATCGCCGAAGTAGCCGGAGAACACGAATCTGTATCTCGAGGTCAATACTATGACTGTTCAACAGCACACGCATGGCGCCCAAGAATAGCTACTTACCCAATAGCAACACCAATCAGACAAGAAACGTATGATAGTCCAACGATGCTAGCCCTGAAGTTGTATGGAGGGCTCGAAAGAATGAGAGACGCCGTGCCGTTGAGGACGTTGAAGTAACACAGGATCGCCCCATATACAAACCCGCTGAATACGACGACGGGAAGCGAGAAGTAGATGAAAGGTCGGATAACCATATCCTTGAGAGACGCTCGGCTGTCGAAGTCCTGCTTGCGGAAAAGCATAATCTTTTCAACAAAGGTCTTCTGCGTTGGGCTGCTCGAGGTCGTGGTTGCGTGATCCTGAGTTGGGGTGGGATGTCCAGAGTCGGACGGAGCCTTGGTGCCCTTCTCAACGGAAGCATCCGTGGGATCTTCGGTGTACAACTCTGCATTCAACACAGTCATGCGCTGGTAGTTGGTCTCTTCCATGAAGAAGAAGCATATCAAGAAACCAATACCGCAGAAAATGGCGCACCAGTGCTGGAGTATTCGAATTAGCTAGTGGCGTGCAAGGTTGGATGGCCCTGTCGTCACTCACGAGAACCCATTCCCATCCCTGGCCATCGTTAATGAAACCGGCAATGACCGGGGCTAGAAAGTTGCTGCCGCACAGGAACAGAGCGTAGTAGCCCATGTAGGTGCCTCTCTCGTGAGTGAACCACTGTGCGGTGATGTCAATGATCGCGTACAGCAAAACATCAATGCGGCTAGATCGGAATGAAGAGCTTCCGCGGTTCCGGCTAAGATACGACATACCACATCAGCGATAGAAATCTCGCATAAGGATTCAATAGGGGCACCGAAGAACCCTTCCAAAACCTTGTTTGCAATCCACTAGCTGCTTGTCGTTGCATATGGAGCCCAGACCATAATGCCCTACATAGTTCGTACTTGTTAGTTTACTATTGGTTAAGGATATGGAGCAATCGTATTCTTCGCTTACGAGAGTTGTAATCAAGCTGAACAGATAGACTGGACGCTTGCCATACTTCTGGGCCAGTGGTTGCCAGACTAAACATCCCCAACCCAGTGTCAAGAACATATATCCAGTGCCGGCGTTCAGGTCTCCGAGGGTCAGATCCGTTGCTTCTGAGATAGGCACGAGAACCGAGTAGATTGCAGCCGAAGCTATGCCGATGGCTAGACAGTAGCTTCGGCAGCTAGTCAGAGATTGTCATTGTGATCGAGGAATCGTGGTTTGACGCTTACACACCAAGGCAGCAGAGATGCTGAAACTTCCTACGTGGTGACCAATTCAGAGGATCGTCGGGATCGCTTGATGGCGTTGGGATCAGAACGATGTCTCGAGCACCACCATCTGCGTGACGCGATGACATCGTTCCATGAAGGTCGACTAGATGAACGGTACCCGGGATGAATCCCGGAGGGGGCCCAGAAGGCACTGTCGAAGATGCCATGACGTTTCCGATCGAGAGTTTTGTGTACAGTTGGCTTCAGTAATCAAAGATCACATAAGTCCAGGTTGAGTTGGAGGTTTCGATTCGGTAGACTATTGGGGAAAATGCCGTTGACTTATCAAGGCAGTCCGTATATGAGTGATGAACCTGCGTCGACCTGTTCGTTATCAAACGCTGGGGTTTCTCGAGTCCCCACAAACTGTTGCTTAACCCAGCTGTTGCCCACTTGATCGGACGAAAGGGAAGTGAGTACACCTAGCTCGCATGGATGCTATGCGATTACAGTATCGACCAATGTCAAGTAATTGCGAAGATCTGTCGTTGATATCAACGGGCTCTGGCAACAGATACGATGATATCGTCGATGAAGATCCAGGCACTCGGATAAGAAAATGACCTGGGGTAAACAGCTCAACGTTGTGACGAACACAACGTCAAGCTTCGGGTGTAATCTAAACTGGAGACTGATCAGATGCATCGACCAATCAAGGATAATTGCGAATCGAACGCCAACGCGACTGCTGATAATGGACCCAATGTTAGCCAATCATTTGTAATTGCGACGTGATGCAGCGAACCTGTGTTCGTCCGCTGCCTGCAGAGATACACCTTTCAAAGCCACGGGATTAAGTACTCTTCAAGCATCAGCATGATCCACCATGTACAGCTTGGAAAATTCCATGTAGACTCACTTTCCTATCCCCTTACCCCGCATCAAGGGGTTCGTCATGTCGAGACGTCATCCCTGAATGATTGGAGAATGAAGTAACACGGCATGATAAGGCTCGGAAACGATGATAATACACTAAATGCTGCATTTGGTGGATATGACTAACAAACTGTCAACTCTGGTGGATCGGGATATTGTTAGCCGGCGTCTTCACTCATCATTCTGTCTATTATTTAGGTAACACCTCCCAAGCACCCAAGGTTGAGCACGCCCTTCAACAAACACGGTAAACAACGACCATCCTTTTGATCTTATCTGTGTAGACTTTTCACTTCACCATGTCTGAACCTGCACATTGGGAGGCCAAGGCCGAACCTTGCCGAAAGATTCTCCAGGAGTCGCTCAAACCGGAGTGGCTTCTGCCTTCCTCTCAACTACCGCCATCCAGCCAACTCAACGTATCGAACTTCATCGAGTCATGTGGACTGCTCACTCCGAGGGAGTTAAAGATCACAGCAAGCACTGCAACCGAGATTCTGAGCCAGATGGGTGACGGGAGGCTTACAGCGGTTGAGACTGTGACAGCGTTCCTCAAGCGGAGCCACGTCGCGCATCAGCTGGTAAACTTCGCCACCGAGTTCATGGTCGAGGATGCATTGGCTGCTGCAGAAGAGCTTGATGCGCACTTCAAGGCAACTGGAAAGCTTTTCGGGCCTTTACATGGCCTCCCTATTTCCATCAAGGAACATATTGGTCTAAAAGGCCGCAGATGTCATTCGGGTTATGTCGCCTGGGCAGACAACATCGTCGACGAAGATGCGTTGGTCGTGCGCTTGGGTAAAGCTGCGGGAGCTGTGTTTCACGTACGGACGAATGAGCCTCAGAGTGTGATGGTAAGACACGAACTTCTTGAGCACTTTCAACGTGACTAACTTAGTTATCGTTCAGCATCTTGACTGCAGCAATCCCATTTACGGGACTACTGTCAACCCGCACAACAGAAACTTGACAAGTGGTGGCTCTAGTGGAGGGGAGGGTGCCTCCTTAGGTCTCCGTTGTGCTGTGCTCGGTATCGGGACAGACATTGGAGGTTCTGTTAGAGTCCCAGCTGCGTTTTGCGGTTCTTACGGTCTGAGAACCACTGCAATGCGAAATCCCTACAAGGGAATCTGCATTCCTGGTCTTGGACAGGAGAGCATTCGCTGCGTACTCTCGCCTCTGGCAAACAACATCGCGGATCTCGATCTCTTTCAAAGAGTCATCATCGACCAGGAACCGTGGGAAGAGGAGACCTCCCTGGTGCCGTTGCCCTGGAAGAGAACAGAGCCATACCAGCCTGGAAGCTTCACAGTCGGCGTCATTTGGGATGACGGGTAAGTAGAAGTTGTGGAGAACTTTGTTTTCAATCAAGAGGTGCTAATTGATGCTACTCACACAGAAATGTCCGTCCGCACCCACCCGTTACTCGCGCTTTGCAGCATGCCGTCACGAAATTGAAGGCGTCCGGAATCAAGGTCGTCGACTTCGAACCCTACAACCACAAAGAAGGAGCTGAGATCATCACTACCCTCTACTTTCCCGATGCCGCCGCCACCCAGAGAGAAATTCTGGCCAAGGGAGGTGAGCCTGTCGCGGCCTTGACGGAATGGGCTTTTAACAACTCGAAACCCGATCCGCTCTCTATCCGGGAGAACTGGGAACTCAATGTCCGTCGTGACGCATTTCGAGACGCGTAAGTTATTTCTCAACCCCGTTGCTCTCTTTAAACATATCGATCATAGCTGACTCTCGATATAGGTACCACAAGGTCATGAAAGAACGCGGCGTCGACTTCATCCTATGCCCGGCATACGTTGGAGCTGCTGCTAAACTCGGGGACGCACAATACTGGCACTACACCACGATCTGGAACATTCTTGATCAACCAAGCGTCACGTTCCCGACGGGGTTGAAGGTCGATCCAGTCATCGATATTGTCGAAAAGGACTACAAGCCTCGCTCAGCAGAGGATGAACGAGAGTACAAGAAGTGTAAGTTTCATCAAGCTGTCATACGAGACATCATACACTGACCATGGGATCTTTCGCAGATATCCCGGAAGATTTTGCGGAGGCTCCGATTGCGTTGCAACTCGCTGGAAAGCACTTCCGCGACGAAGACACTCTGGCAGCGGCTGAAACAGTTTGCAAGGTGATCCAGCAATGAATTCAGTAACCCGGAATTGGAATCACTGGACATTGATGAGATATCTCAGAGCTGAGGGTGGCTGTCGTACGAGCATGCATGTAGATTGCAAAAAAAAAAATATTCTGCCAAGTTATCCCATACGTCCAGACCCGACATGGAAATAGTTCCCCCCTTCTCTTTCATCTGCTTGGCGAAGTACTCCAGCGAGTCAGGGCGCTACTTGTGTAGTTTCCCCGGACTTTCAGGGGTCTGGGTTGTTCGGCAATCAAGCGCGCTCCGCCGCGGTCTCAGGAGATGGTCCACAAGAGATAACGTGCGGGGTTTTGGCATTGTCCATGATAAGAGCAATGTCTGTCGCGGACCTCCGCCATATTGCGCATCCAGTTCATTTCAAGTATACCCAAACGTATACAATACAGAATACTCAGTAGCGCCTACAAATTTGCCCGCCACAGATATGCCGAAAGCCAGATTACGGACCAAGACGGGTTGTTCCACATGTAATCCAGCCACCCCCTTGCAAAGTTTTCTCCATCCATGACCGACCATTCTGACCACCTTACAGGCAGACAGCGGAAAGTGAAGTGTGGGGAACAGAGGCCCATCTGTGGAAACTGCGTTGCTGCAGCTCGTGATTGTTCATGGCCATCATCGGACGACCTCCAGGACAGGCGTTTCCGTGCTGTTGCCGGGCGATCCAGTGCGTCTCCACGGCGGCTACAACGTGCCCCAACATGGGAAGAGAGCTCCATCTTATCCATGGGGAATAGAGAGATGCCGGAACTTGAGCATGATCTCACATATCATTATCTGAATGTCTTGCTTTCGACATTGCTGCTTCCGACTGCCTCCGAGGCAGATGTGGAAGACTATGGAACTCAGATTATGAGCATGATGATGAGCTCAAACAGCGTCAAATTTGCCATTCTGGCTAATTGCGCCTCCAACAAGTACATGCTCACGAAGGAGTGTCGGTACCACAACACTGCGTTCACGTTTTACTCGAAGGCTATCGAGCTAGTTAAGAGAAGTCTTCATGATCTAAGCTCGACCCACGAGAGCCCCGACGACGAACTGCTGACAACAGTAGTGTATTTATATCTTTATAATGTCAGTAACATGTTAAGCTGTCGATTTAATACTCTGATACTGAAACAGCTTTTGCATTCTAGTTCTGGGGCTCGGACACGGCTTTGGATGCAACAAAACATGTCGACGGTGCCGTGAGCTTGTTGAAGTTGCGATATGAAGACCAACGTTCACCACTTTCCATGACACAGACGCTTCACCGGGTTGCAATGGAGAGTGTCATTTACCAAGCGTTTCTACTGGCAGCCCGAAAGCCATTCGCCTCAACTTTCCACATCGACTCGCAATTTCTGGCACAGTCGGAGAACATCCTTCTTACAAAAGGCCTAGGGCACACTTTGTTTACCGACTCAACGCTCGTATTAGGAATCCCGCTCCCTCTCTACCGCTTGACGGCGGAGATCATCGACTTTCTCAACTCACCCGAGCAGCCTAGTGCGGAATCTACTGCTAGGCTGCTTGAGGAAATCAAGCCTTGGGAGCATTTTGTCCTTGCCGGTACCACAGACGCCGAGGCCCTGGAATTTCCAACAACGCAATCAAATTTCCAGACAGAAGCAATTACTCTTTTCGTCCTGGCCGCTTCCCTGCTTCTGGATTATATCAACGAGTCTTCTATCTCAGCGACCTCCAACAAAGACGTAGGCCTCTTGGGCATCACTGGCGGGGCCGCCGCATCTTCTCCTGGGTCAACACGGTGGCAGGTAGCGAAGGCATTTTCGATTTTGCGTCGACCAGAAGCATACCGAACGTGGACACGATGCTATCTTGGTGCTTGGCCGATGCTGATTCTTGGCTATTCGGTAGATCGCGAGGAAGACGCCGCCTTGATACGACTATCGCTCACGCATATGCGGGATCGTATGGGGTACGGAGAGATACAAAGAATTCTAGATGATTTAGAAGCTGCATGGAGTGTACGACTTGGAAGGACGGGTGGTTAATCATCACCTTTCATACAAAACTCCAGGGAAGAAAAGCAAGAAAATGAAACAGACATCGATAAACAAATTACCAAGTTAACCTTCATGCACGAAAGTAGTGTTCATAATCGCTGCGATTATACCGTGAAACTAATAGCTATCATATATAGATTCGTTTCTCTCGTTGCATGTCTAGTGTGGTTTCCGAATAATGGCCGAGTCGGATAGGCGTAAGCAACGTTGATCGGAGATGACACTATTGTCTCAACCGTTTTCTGGAACCTGATGTCATAGCCTATACTTTCATGTGATTTGTGACATTTTAGGCGAAGTTCAACACATTATGTTGGGCACGTAACGGTAAGGCAACCGTCGACGTAGCACATATCCTCTCAAGTGGCCAAAGCCAATGTCTGTACTACATGTATAATGCGGAACAGGCGCTGTAAGAAAATGTGATAGTATGTGGCGTACATGTGATCGTTTTCATTCATGGTCATTGGCTATAGGTCACAAGAAGGTTGCAAGCTTACAGGCAGCGAAGACGTCCTCATTGGTGCATGACTTGCATGATGCAATACGGGGAAGATCAAATCCAATGCTGACAACATCTGCAATCAGGCTGTGAGCGAACATGCCAAAGACCTGACCCTCTCCCTGTCCCCCCCTCGTCCCAATGCCCCGTCTTCAACTATTGTCATCTTTCCGTTGCAGTTCCATTTTCTACTTCCCATACCCTGCTGTCGCCCAGACCACCGTTCACGTCACATTCGAAATCATATGCTATTCTGTATTGTCTCGAACAGATTCGATTTATGACATATCTGCTGCAATCTTACTACACATATTCAAGCTTTGTGTGATTCTACATAGGCGCGAATTGGAGTGCTGCAGAACGGAGACACTTGCACCAAAGCGGAACGCACGGGATCTTGGACTTTCAATGTAAACCCAGGATGCGGCTACTTCGACGCAGCGGCAAAGACCATTTCATTCTAACGAAGGAAGTGGACGGGGGGGACATTCCTAGATATGCCATACTGTCACACACCTGGCTCGAAGACAATGATCAAGAGGTCACTTTCCACGACCTTACATCTGGGAACCCCAGGTCAAAGCCCAAGGGTTTCGCTAAGCTTCAGTTCTGTGGCGAACAGGCTGCAGAAGATGGCCTCGAATATTTCTGGGTTGACACATGCTGTATCAACAAAGAAAGCAGCAGCGAGCTTCAGGAAGCCATGATATCTATGTTTGCTTGGTACAGCAGAGCAGACCGATGTTATGCTTATCTGAGCGACGTGTCGGAGGCCTTCGACCCCACAGCATCTCAGGCCGTCTCAATGAGAGATTGGGAACCGCAATTCCGCCGCAGTAAATGGTTCACGCGAGGCTGGACGCTCCAAGAGCTTCTTGCCCCGAAGTTTGTCGAATTCTTTTCGCACCAGGGTACCAAACTCGGCGACAAAACCTCCCTTGAAACCGTCATCCATGACATTACAGGGATTCCTGTCGAGGCGCTGAGAGGTGCTGATCTCAGAAGGTTCAGCGTCGAGGAACGACTCTCGTGGGCTGAACATCGTCAAACCAAGCGCCGAGAGGACAAGGCATACTGTCTACTCGGAATATTCAATGTTTTCATGACTCTTATGTATGGAGAGAAAGACTCCGCATTTGTTCGACTGCGAAAGAAAATCGACAAGAATAACAGAGGACGAGAAGACTGGGAGTACTTCCTCGCCAAGTTACCTTGGGTCCAAGGGGCGGCTTACAATGCCCTTCAAAGTCAACATCAACCAACTTGTCTTCCGAATACACGGACTGAGCTTCTCAGAGACATAAGGACTTGGATTTATGGGGATGACAGGAGTTACATCTTCTGGCTGAATGGGAAGGCTGGCACAGGGAAGTCTACCGTTGCACGCACAGTTGCGAGGTACCACCAGAAGCATTATGGTGTCGCTGGCAGCTTCTTCTTCTCTAAAGGTGGTGGCGACCTCAGCAAGACCACTAGACTAGCCACAGCACTCGCTCGACAACTAGTGGACCAAATACCGGAAGTTATGCATCATGTTTGCAAAGCCATCAAGGACCGCGAAGACATACTGGAGCAACCACTCGAAGACCAATGGAAATTGTTGATCACTGGCCCACTCAAGAAGCTTCCGGACCACTGGCGCTCGTCTCCCATCCTTTTTGTGATCGATGCGCTGGATGAATGCGACAACAAGAACGACATTCTAAGCCTTCTTCATACTTTGAACACTGTAAACACGCTTACCAACGTTCGACTGAGGATTTTCATCACAAGCAGACCCGAAGCAGCAGTTCAACATGGGTTTCAAGACATACCGCAGCCAGAACGCGCGAGCTTCGTTCTCCATGAGATCTCGCGCCAATTGATTAATAGAGACCTCAGTCTGTTCTTCGAACATCAGTTGGCAATGCTTAGGACAAGCAGTGGCTTTGATGAAGACTGGCCTGGAAGTCATAGGATAGAACAGCTTGTTCAGACTTCATCCGAGCTATTCATCTGGGCTGCTACAGCTTGCCGTTTTATCTCAAAGCCTGGTCAACCAACTGTCATTATCAGGCGATTGGATCGTCTTCTCGGTGGACTACCTGCCGTGGAACGCCTAGAGAAGGGGCTCGATCAAATCTATACGGCCGTACTCCAGGACTATATTGAACAGCCAGGTCACGGGCTAGGGCGAGAGGAGATGGAGACATACGCACTTCTCAGCAGGGTTATGGGGAGTGTCCTTGTGTTGCGCTCGCCCCTTCCCATCGAACCTCTTTCCAAGTTAGTAAGGGAAGAGTCTGGCGACCTCAAAGGCTGTCTGGAGGACCTGGACACCATATTCCAGGTTCCTAGAGAAGACTCATATCCTGTTCAACTACACCATCCCACCTTCCGGGACTTTCTGCTCAACAAAGAGCGGTGTCTTGATCCCAGGTTTTGGATAGATGCGGCTCAAGCCCACAAGAATTTGGGCGATCATTGCATAT